TATATCTATGTGCACGGGCTGCAAGCATTTTCGCCTCCATCGAAAATGCACCTGCTGTGGCCGGTATTCAATCCCGCGTCGTTCGGGTCAGTTCAGTAGTCGATTGCCGTAATGGTTGTACACCCTGGTAAGTAAAAAGAAAAAAGTATTTTAAAAAAAAGGAAAAGAAAAGTTGGGTTTCGATATTGACGGGTCGGATTTGCAATTAGGTGCAAGTAAACGTAGTCTGACGTCACTGGAAGACAGCAACTTACCACAATCTAGCAGTAGCTGCGATCGGCAGTCAGTCGCACGTGGTGGACCTAAACAACGATGAGTGAATTGTTGACAAGCAACTACTAACAGTGATTTTTGTGCTTTAGGTGGCATGCAGGATGTAGTAAACTCATCGTGGTAATGTTTATTGCGATGTAACCGGCTGGTTGCAGATGCTTGGTGAAAACAATTTTAAAATCAAAGCAGCTGATAGTTCTGCTCGCTAAGCAAACGAAAAAAAAAAAGTCTTTAAAGGAGCACTGACATGAAATTTCATGTTCGAGATGCGCTCATCATTCAATCGCTTGGTATGCATAGGTCTTCTTGGCCAAATTTGAACGGCATCCGTCACATGGAAGTTATTTTAATTCCATGTCAAACAGCGTAGAAAAGATAAGGGGAAAAAAGTGAAAATAGACTGCCCTGCAACATCGACGCTAGTGCTACGTGTTCGGTGTGATACATTCCACAAATACCATCCTGAGTGACGATGCCCTAGTAGCGATAACGTGTACGATCCGAGTGTCCTTATCGTGGCGCCGAAGCGCAAAAACGCACTCACTCGTCGCGTCTGATCTTGACTGCACCGGTTTGAACGATTTCGTGAAATTATTAAGATAAAAACCACCTTTAAAAGAACGGCGAAAGAAAAGAGCAGGATTAAACGTGGGCTTGTCAGTCAGCATGTCGGGGAATCGTTGCGAGTTGGAGTCGTCTAGTTCAAAGCACAGAAAAGCGCAATGAGGGTGTCCTTTCATATCACGTATGTGTTACACATCAACACGACCACAAGCTATCAAAAGTGGAACAGCGTATAGTCAGATATCATTGCTAACAAGTAACAACACGCAGGTAGCGTTGAATTTTAGTTAATCTGTAGACTATGCGTCCACGTAAAAGTGGTAATACCGTGTTAACCGCGAGAGGCTGGGTAGGTGGGGCCATCCGGGGTCACAAAAAGGAACCTGGCAAGCAGGAAGTAGCGACGCGACCTATTGTATTGCTCTGCTGATGCTCATTCGCAATAGCCATATTGCATTGACCCCTCTGCGTATACCTGAATGCTTTGCACGCCATAACACACTAATATAGCTGAGACACACGAGCGAACATGGCTGAAGCACGCATCCTCAGGCACCTCTGCAGTGCTGCTTGGAATGGCGTTCATTTCGGAATCACTGTTCTGCAAAAGGTCGATCAAAGCAAAAATAATTCGTGACATCGCGAATCGCGGGGATTCCAAGCTCCAGACTATCGTATTGAACCCTAGTGGACACAATGCAGGTGACAAGGCATGAGTGAATGTGTCTACGTAGCAGACGAAATGTTTGCGGAGCAGCTGAGCTTGACGTCACTCTTTTTTGTGGAAAAGTGGTCAGCTGTGGCGTGATCTGGAGGTGAATGCGAGGTAGCGTCACTGCTGGGGCTCCGAGCGCTAAAAATGGCAGTATTGCCTGCCGTTTTGAATAGTGCTAGATACCAATGATATAAATCAATAAAAGTGATAGTTATTCATCCCTCAGTTGGGGTTTTGGTCGCGAATCGCTGCCACGGGGTATATAGCTACTCGCTGACGCAAAAATATTGGCATGAGTAAATTTGATCTCAGTGCTCCTTTAAAGAAGCTGTATTTTTCTGTGTGTTTCTTTTTTGACTCCTAGAAACATTTATTAGTAGTCAATATTTTCGATAGCAGCAACATTGAAGCATGTGCAAACAAAGACAAAGGGAGGGGATGGCAACACAATTTACTCTTCCTTAATCCTGTTCGCGCACATTCCAAAAATACTGGCAACACTTTTTAAGAATGGTCAGAAAATGCCGCCTATCGCTAGTCGAGACTCTTGAGAACATGCGTGTGAAATATTATAGCGCAGCATGAGGCCTACAATTTAAAATAAGTTCTCAAAGCTAGCTGCAAATCACTTTCTCTTCTCTCGACAAAAGACGCTACAGGCTCAAAAATCACTGCGTCACGGGCCATGTGTCAGTCATTGGCAGATTTGATAGATGGATCTTTTGATGAATGCGTGGAGTCCCTAGTCTGGGACCTCATTGGCTTGCGCCATGGTCCTTGTGGCCTCTTGGACCGCCCGGTCCGGGCTGGATAGGGCCGCCTCTCTCCTGTCTAAATTCTTGAAGACAACTGTTTTGAACATGTTGCTCTGGCACACCCATATCTTAGAGTGTAACTAGATTAGTGTTGCACAGCCTACATGTGGGTGAAGGGTAGCTGTCAGGGTTGATTTTAGAAAGTACAAGTGGGTTGGGATACAATAACACTTGTATACGGCACCATGCTACCTGTGTGGCTTTACTCAGTTGAGAATGCAGTGAGGAGTATCTTCTCTGCGCAAGCGTTTGTTTTTGTAATACTTCTGTGGAATGGCTGGAATCTGGAATGGCTGGAGTCCCTGCACTTACCTTAGAGTCCCGGGGTGGCCAGGTGTCCATATAAGTTCTTTCCAGTCTGCCTCAGGACGGCCGCCTGCTGCTTGTTGAGCATGGCAGGCTCGGTACTGGGGCCACCGCAGGAGGCCGCGACTTGTACGTGCGCACAATCACACTGAAAAGACGTGCATTAGAACAAAGAAAAAAAATTTCAAGGTCAGTGGCGCGTGTGATGCATTTTCTTGCCCTGTGCCATCCCTCCCTGCTTAGCTTCCAGCATTTTCATTTAGACGAGAGAAGAGAAAATGCAATTTAATTGTGCTCGTACTGGACGGATTTTGAAAATGTTTTGCTGTGGTGAATATGTGAGGCAATGAGCTCCTTTAGTGAATCCCTTTCATGGTTACTTGGAAAAGTGTTGGAGGGCTTCTTGAAGTGTTCTGCTCTGGAAAACTAACTCGCCCAAAAATTAGTGCTCCTGTGCTTTCATCCCTTTAAAAAAAGTGCACACTTTGCAAATGAAACAGAAACAGAAAGCTATGTTGCATTTGGAAACGAGTCTGTGCATGTGTGGTCTGCCATGGTGGATCAGTGACTGGCTACAGTGCCGTGGGTTCGATCCTGGCCGAGCTGGTCACATTTCGGTGGTGGCGAAGTGGTAGATGCGCACGGTGTACTGTGCGATGTCAGCGCACATTAAAGAACACCCGGGGTCAAAATTTTCTTAGCGCTTCACTTCAGTGTTTCTCATAACCATATCGTGGTTTTTATGTGCATGTGTGTATCTTCCATTGTCTTTTAATGCGCGCATTTCGAGAAACTTGGGATCTGCAGCAAATGAAGGTGCACACTGGCTCATCGATGTGAGGCATCTTGTTTTAACGATAAAGGTAAACGGGAACTTTATGAAAGATCTCCTAATGAAAAATAATAGCTTTGCAGGAAATTCAACGTTATTATCCCAGCAGTTTCGCAAATCTCGTGCCTGGCAAATCTTCCGATTTGCCCAGGACACGGAGACTTCCGACTGTGCGAGCACGGCCATAAATTTCCGAAAACAGCCCACACTACGAAAAGAAAATATAAGCAAAGGACAATGGTTTCAAGATTTTGAACCATGGCTTGTCTCGTGCGAAATGCTCGTCACTTTGGCCGCAGTACACTGGTGTCGTGCGGGAAAGCGTGTTGACATTATGAAGGAGCAACAAGGATGTCTGAAGATACAGCGCATTTTGAGCCGTAATTGTGTAGGTTTCGAGATTCCCAGGCTGGCTTGTGTGAAATTCTCACATTCGAAATATCTCGGAATTTATCGGCAAGCACTGAAAAATTGAGTCCCTGAGGATGTAGCATTGCATACAGGCGCAGTATTCTCTTTATTGGTAGTGCATTCGCTTGTGCAAGATTTCGTATGACTCAGCACGGGACACGTGAGAGTGTACAGTTCACAGCGATTTGGGCGCTGTGCGAACCTCGCGACTATAGTTACTATATATTCTCTCTTAAGGAGCTAGAAGTGCGCTAAGGTACACCATCTTGGGTTTCAAAGTTTTGTGGGAAAACCACCCCCCTTCCGCACAGGTAAGAGCCATGCTAGCGTGTGCGCGCAGCTCCTCCTTGCGCGCAAGTAGCACTTTGTTACGATTGTGGTTATACGAACACTTAAGCTGCATTGTTGTCGTGATTTTCAGAATAAAGTACAAATCTTATAACATTGCCACGTGTGTTCTGCATGCGAGTTAGTGTGCAGCGATGGCTACTCAAGCTGATAGGAAATGTACCGGTGGTCTCCGATGTGCGAAAGACGCATTAAGGTTACTAACGAAAGTGTGCTTCATAGTGGCATGCACACTAAAGAATGAATTTGCCCCATAAAGCCAAAAAAATTATATTCTGTGGTTGAATTAATTCTCTGGGCATTCAAAGCACAACTTTGAATGCCCAGAGCCCCGCCGCGGTGGTCTAGTGGCTAAGGTACTCGGCTGCTGACCCGCAGGTCGCGGGTTCGAATCCCGGCTGCGGCGGCTGCATTTCCGATGGAGGCGGAAATGTTGTAGGCCCGTGTACTCAGATTTGGGTGCACGTTAAAGAACCCCAGGTGGTCAATATTTCCGGAGCCCTCCACTACGGCGTCTCTCATAATCAAATGGTGGTTTTGGGACGTTAAACCCCACAAATCAATCAATCAATTGAATGCCCAGAGTTGTGCTTCACTGAATTTCTTCAGCAGGCAATAGCATCCCTCTTAAATTGTTGCAGCCTGCCAGAACAAAAATGTGTTAGAATTGCTTGATATTTTGGGGGGGGGGGAATACAACAACCTCTACATGTCATTTCTTTGTTTTAACTTCCAGATCGTGCAATAGTGCAAGACCTGCGGCAGCTGCGTGTCAGCATAGCGGACTTCGAGGTGAAGACAGTTATTGGTCGCGGCCACTTTGGCGACATCCGCATGGTCAAGGAAAAGGCCACCGGCGACATCTATGCCATGAAGATTTTGCGCAAGGATGAAACCCTGAGCCAGCGAGAGGTCAGTGTCCACCTTTGACAGTATAGGCCCACCTTTGATCAAGGGGCAATGTCACGTGATATCATGTGACATCATAGTGACATCGCAAATTTTGCTGACTTGTCACTTCATGGTGATGTTGCGGCTGCAGTCATAACATGATCATTGTTTGAATCGCTAGTCTTGATGCTGACAGTGACATTCACTTTTCACATCGACTGTCTCACGTGGACTGAGGAGGGGACGTGTAATTGATGCCTCTGTATACACATAGCCCACACCGGCACCACCTCTTAGCTTACACCACCAGAGAAATTTTAGACTGTAGTGTATACATATCCCAAAGGAGTACGACCACTACCATGGGTCCGGCCTTAGCGAGTCGCAGGGCATGTGTTAACCATCGCCGTGGCGAGAACACGGTACTACTCAAAGTCTCAACACTTTATTGTCTGCGGCAACACCAAAAACGCAGTTCAGAGCCCGTTGCAACAGGGGCAGCGGAAAAGCAAATGAGCTTATCCACGCCCCAGGCAAGAAGTGCTATACAGGGGTGCCGCGAGCACGTCTCCATGATAAAAGTGATATGGCTTGGCGTATTCTGGCCACGCACTAGGACATCGCACCGCTCTCCAGCCTAGCGTTTGGAAGGGGGGGGGGGGGTCAACAAAAGGTAAGCGTTCGCCGCGGGCGCAAGGCGCTGTTGGCAAAGTCTGAATGAGCCCCAAACAAAGGGAGCTGAGGGACGGAAAAGAAATGCGTACTTATCCCATGTCGTCCCCGAGAAATTCTCTCTCACCCGCAACGCGCGCGCACGAAACGTCACGATAAACTTGGAGTTACTGTATATGCTACCGTAAGTAGCATAGTTGCACCTCTGACAGAACTCGTTGCTCGTGCCACCATTCACGAAGCATGCTCACGTGAGCAAGAAGCGGCCGTTTTAGGGAAAACCAACTTCACGGTCGCGCGGGTGCTGTGATTTTGTGCGACTATCGAGCCGTTGAGAAAAATAGAATGGGACAAAAGGGTAAAAATGGGCGTTAGTGAATGTGTGAAAGCGGCGTTGTGCATGAATATAAACATTACAGGTCTATCAAAGCGGCATGATTCATTCCGAGCACTAGTGGCTTAAAGGTTTGAAGATTTAACGAATGTTTAGTTTATGCCTAGTTAAACAAAAAAATGCTCTTTAGTTTGCGTCATTTGTAAAACACATTGTAGTAATTTTAAGACTTGTTTTCTTGAGCCATTTACTAAATCTTTTAAAGTGCTGCATCAAAAAATACGTGAAACGAATGATTAGCCGAATTTATTTTTTTGTCCAGAATCGTATCCGTCGAAGTTTTCGAGAGTTGGCGATTTAAAACAACGATATTACTCCCAATAGTAACTGCCTGTTCTATCTCGGTTCATTGTTGGTCTGAGCTTTCCATATATTTTTTTTTCTTGTTATCGATAGTCATTGCACTAGCGCCAGCCTATAGCCAGTAATTATTGTTTGCGGGGGTAGGGGGCCAACTTGCTGAAGACCTTGAAAAACACTCATTTTTATGAGTCATTTTCAGTAAAATACACGTACACATCAGAGTTTCAGAAAAGGGAGGAGCTTCGATTCCCCCCTTCCCTTTAGCTATGGGCCAGCGTAAGTGACGCGTTATGAACGAGCGTACACTGTGAAAATAGACACGGAGCTGCTAAGCCGCATCGGCTCCTACACTCTAGAGGGGTGGTTTTTCTGCTCAACATGGACGCGCCAGTGGGCAAGATGGCAGACCTATGCGCAACTCTGCTACCTACGGTAGCATTTACAGTAACTCTAGAGAGACTCCGCACACAGCGCCACAGTCGACATCCGCTACCGGATGAGAGGCGTTAAACGTCATTCCTCGCTATCCCAGCGCGGCAGGCCACGGAGGAGGGGAAAGTCATGTCAGGACATGAGAACGCAGAAAGAGGAGGCATAGCCCGCGCAAAGGCGGCGGACATCCGTTACTGGGTGAGAGAAGTTAAACATCACTCCCCACTCTCCCAGCGTGGCAGACCATGGAGGGGAGAGTCATTTCAGGACATGAGAATGCAGCAAGAGGCGACAAAGCCCGCACAAAGCCGGTGGGCTAGCCTCGATTCCTGCATACCCCTTTCCTAAATATACCCATTACCGTTCTGCAAAGGCAGCCAGACGTCACCCATGCAGTTAAAATGACACTGCTATGAGCAACAGCTAACCTTAGTCCAGCCCTGTAACTGCTGCTAAATAATTGATGATAAAGGAGAAAACATTAATAACAAAATAAACACATGACAAAATGAATATTTGCGAAAGGGAGTAAAGAAAGTAAGGCTAGTGCGTGGTGCTGAGGCGGGTTAGCGTCCACCGCGCGGAGGGGCGGAAGAGCGTGACAATGTCTGTTTGGTGCGATACCCGTGTGCAAGGTGTCACGGAAGGGGGGCCTCACTGATGGCTCGTGGCTGCTGTTCGTTAGTCGCGAGTCCGACGAATGCCGCTTCGGTGGTGGTTCAGAGGCCCCGCATTTCTCAATGGATGACGCGAAAACTTCGCTGGGAAGCCGGGCCTCTCTAGGGATCAGGGAGGCCAAACCGGAATCAGCTGCGAGGCGCCCTGGCGTTGGTTGGCAGCGTGTAGCTGTTGTCAGCTGGCCTCGCGCAGGTAGCCATGGTGGAAAAGTGTGGTAGGGCCTATCGGCGATGGCCGAGAGCAGGGCACAGCCGGACTGTCTCGTGTCACTGGGTCAGGGGCCCAAGCACCTCTAGTGTTCACGTCGATGGGGTCGAAATCACGACGCGCACTCTTTCCGGGCACGCACAGAAGCATGCACGCACATACACATCGCCGACTGCTGCGCGAGCAAAGGCACAAAGCGTCCTTCGTACCTCTTTCCACACATAAGCTCAATGTTGAAGGGCACAACTCCCTTCGCCGGTAGACGAAATAATCACGGAAGAAAAATTAAGACAGGGCAAGAATGACTCTGAATATCTGGCCAAAAGAGAATAAAAACATAAAATAGAAATGAACACTTAATATTAGACAAAATAAACATAATATACACATGAACACTTTAAAAAAAAAGAAACACTGGCAGCAAACTGGGCGGGGTCGACTATTTTACGAGAACTGGCCGTAAAGAAGCTAACCTCTACTGAGGCTAGACAGTAAACTGAGGGCCTTCGGTTGTGGAGAAGTCTGCCGTCCGGCGCGAAATCACAAAGCTGACCACTTTCTCAGTTTATACCGGTTCGGGGGTCCGAAATGCGGTCAGCCGCCCCAGGTGTGCCCATCGCTTGCGCAAAGTGTTGCTGGGCGCTGGCGCGAGCTCGTCAGACCGTGACAAATGGTTTCAGGTCTGCGATGTGGGCACGGCTGAGTTTTCCCGAAAGGGGATCCTTCAGCAAGCACGCGCCACGGCGTACGCTCACTGACAATTGGTTCATAAGACCAGGTGGCTTGCCAACCCTTAGTTCCACCGTTTGTGATGTGGCAGGAACGGAATAGCAATAAATGTCATGGTTCGTGCCAAGCCAGGTCACAACGTTGCTCAGTTTGCGAAAACTTTCAGGCCACTCAGGTGACCGGCCAGGCCATGAGTTCGTCGTGGGAGGATCGCAACAGTGCGGCTCTCAAACTTTTTGGGGCATAGCCACCTTAAACGGATCCGCAGACGTCTTGCCGGTGGCTATATAGTTCAGCAGGAGCCCGTCATGGTCCAGCAAAATAAATCCGCCGGGGACTCAGCGACACACGCTGTTTCAGCCCCCTACTCACGCCCGCCGCAGAACAAGCAGCGTAAAGGCGCTCCGTCTCTTCGAGACAGTCGTTGTCGGCGCCCGCCCTAGAGCCAGCAGCGTATACGGCGCTCCGTCTCTCCTAGACTCGAAGCGGATCACTCTGCTGAGCCTTCAGTAGTTCTTCACTGCCGAAAGCGATTCCCAGTCTTCCAAAGGGGGGAGTCTGGTATCGCGCCCACTCAGGACTGCAGTAACCGCCGCTTGCACGGCGCCACGGGCTCGCTCGGCACTGCCTTCGGAAAGTTCGCCACTCAGCCGCTACACGGTGCGCCGCTTATCTAGATAGCAGCCAAGGTCATCTGCATGGGGACTTTCCCTTTTCGCCGCTGTTTCGCCCCCGACGCCTGCATGTGCTAAGGCACCATGAGCGGCCATCGCACCAGAATCCAAGTTCTCTGCAGACAACAGGGGGCACGAGATAGCACGTCAGCTACCACGTTGGTTGTGCGTACACCACAAAAGGAGGTGAAGATTCGGACGGGTGCTGAGGGTGCCTGTCGATAGAGACGATGGCCTCTTTGTGCAACGCCGCATCCGCCTGAAATACTTTATTGTCTGCGGCAACAACAAAAACGCAGTACAGAGCCCGTTGCAACAGGGGTGGCGGGTAAGCAAATGGGCTTATCCACTCCCCAGGCGACGAGTACTGCACAAGGGTGCCGCGAGCACGTCTCCGTGGTAAAAGTGATTCACGGGGACACCGGGACAAAGGCCCAGTTGCTCGAGCGAGGGCAAAGGCGCTTGCATCGGCTTCGCAGAGATACGAGTCGGCGTAGCCTGGTCTCACACTAGGACACCGCACTGCTTTTCAGCCTAGCAATGGGACGGGGGGGGGGCAATGAAAGGTAAGCGTTCGCTGCGGGCGCAAAGCACTGTTAGCGAAGTCCGAACGAGCCCCAAACAAAGGGAGCCGACGAACGGAAAAGAAGTGCGTGCTTACCCCATGTCGTCCCCGAGAGATTCTTTCTCACTCCCGACGTGCGCGAAATGCCCCGAGAGACTTCGTGCGCAGCGCCACAGTCGACATCTGCTACCGGGTGAAAGGGGTTAAATGTCACTCCCCGCTGTACCAGCGGGGCAGACCACGGAGGAGGGGAGAGTCATGGACATGAGAACGCAGAAAGAGGCGGCAAAGCCCGCGCAAAGCCCGCGGGCCAGCCTCGATTCCCTCAAGACAAAGGGTAGGGTTACTGCCATGTAACAGATATATACTCGCTGTACCTACATTAAATGCAACTATTGCCATATTTAAGTGTAATGTCCATTGCTTTATTCTCTGACATTTGTTCAGTGTTTCCTTCGGATGTGAAACCCTGCAGTGCACTTTGTCTATTCTCAGGTGGCATTCTTTGAAGAGGAGCGGGATATCTTGGCGAGGGCGGCACAGACGGGTCCCTGGCTGACCAGGCTGCAGTATGCCTTCCAGGACGCTGGCCACCTGTACCTGGTCATGGAACTGCTGCCCTGGCGGCGACCTGTTCAACTTGCTTGACCGCTCAGGGGGCCTGCTGCCTGAGGAGGAAGCCCGCTTCTATCTCGCGGAGCTCACGCTTGCCATCCACGCTCTGCATTCTCTGGGATACGCGCACAGGTGTGTGGTAGCTTTGTTCCATCAACTGTGAGGGTCTGTATGGGGAAAGCCAGTCCAATTCGTAAGGCATTGAAGCATGCTATGGGAAGTAAAGCTTGGTTCAGAACTGGTTTATGAAGCAGCATAATAAGGAAACAGTTTCCAATGTAAAAGGAGGGCGGAGGGAAAAAGAACCTCCTGTGGGGCAGTATGAAGACATACAGACTGTCGTATATGAAACTAATTGAAATGAAGCATAATGTAAGACTTAACTTTGAAAACAGTGTGCCGCCCGTGTGTATCGTACCATGTACTTAATGCCAGCATTGTTTGAAAGATTGATAACGGTTGCTACAGTGGCTGTCTAGTTCTTAAGGTAGTGTAACAAAATAATAGATGGATGCTATTGTGCTTCTGCTGTATGTTACATGCTTCTCACACTACATCAAATTGCTGCAGGGAATTTTGCCACAGGCTTTTTTTGTTTTATATAGCAGTTTCAGGAATGTGTTGTCTGTAAAATTTAAAGATGGAAGGCTCTCTAAGAGGTAGCTTGTGTTGATATCTTACAGTGGAGTTTTGAACTACTTTTTTTTTACAATGGGAGAAAGGGGCTTTTGTTAACTTAAGTAAAATGTTAAATATAATGCTTGTTTTTAGAAAACCTTTGACAGATACTTTATTGCAATACTAGTCTCAAGAGGGGCAAGAGTAGAAAAAGAGCTGTGAGAGATTGTTAAGCCTATCATATTTAGGTAGCTATAACTACTGGCACAATGTGCTAATGTTGGTTAATGTTTGCTAACTGTTTGCTATAAAAGTAATTTAATGTAAATAGAAGTAGTAATTACAGGTAATGCCTTTGCATTTGTCTCGCATTGCCTACAAATTATCTCAGAGTCAGCTGCAATGTTTACAGGTGCCATTGGCTCTTCCTGAAGAAGGCAGACTTGTTTCGCACAAACATTGGTGATGGCAGTTTTCTCTTACATTTCATGCAGAGACGTGAAGCCCGACAATGTGCTTATAGACCGCACGGGCCACATCAAGCTTGCCGATTTTGGATCGGCTGCCAAGCTGTCCGACAAGAAAAGCGTGAGTGCATGTGTAGCACACACAGAAATTTTCCCACCACCTTGTATAGTCACGAGTTTTTTTTTTTTTTTTGGACTTTCTAGGAGCACTGAACTGATTTAAAGACAGATAGTCCGATAAAATAAGGCTAAAATTGTTATCGCCATATCCAACAGCTGCAGTCTTGTTAGTGCTTGGAATTCTCGATGTTTATACTGGTATGGGACAAGAGAATGCTGTTGCATTGGTGCAGAATTCAGCAACCCACTGATAAGGATCCGTGATAAGGATCGCTTTTCATTCTTAGTCGCACCCATTGTGACGGCTTAGCAGGTAATTCTGCTACGGTCAAAGACACAGGTTCATTCCTGGCCAAGGAGGCCAGATATTGATAGGAAGAAAGTAGTCCAAGAATGCCTGTGGGCTTAAATAGAGATACATATTAAAGATATCTTGGTGGTCAAAATTAATCCGGCGTCCACCACTACGGTATGCTTTATAATCATGTCACAATTTTGGCTCGTAAAACCATTACTACTATACTTTTCATTCTTGATAAGCTTCACTATGTTGCGCACGTCTTGACAACATTGCGAAAGTCACAGGCACGTGTGATATGACCAGTGCATATAAGACTCCATGCTCATGACTTATGCATGCTCTTCCAGCCATACAGGTGCACTAAAGCTGTATAGTGTCTTGTCTTGATACGATTCGCTATATTTTTATGCAGAAGTGCATCGACAGTCCTATTTATTCATTTGTAGAACTTAGCATCTCTTTCGGGCAAGTAACTAGCCGACAAGTTGACTGTTCAAGACCTTTCTGGCAAGCTTGCAGTTCTCAAAACCCCAAATCTTGGACACTGAGGCTGTTCCCTTTGAGTCAAAATCATCGCTCTCTCACTTTGTTCAGTATACAATTCTTTGTTGAGTTATTTGGTGTGGACATCGGTTAAGTTCTTTAGCAAGGAAATTATGTCTTATTTAGGTTCATTATAATTTGCTTATACTTTTTTGCATTATATTGTGCATTAACTATGGCTAATGTAATTCTATCTTTATGGATGTTCACTTGCAAAATAAGTTAAATAACATATCACTAGTACTAACCAGTTACTTTCTTTAGCAGCCCTTAAGAAGGAACTTCTTTCATTTTATTCCTCACCCTTAAAACAGGTCTGCAACAACTAATCAATGTTGCTATGGTTTATCTTTCTCACATTTTTGTTTTTGCAATGATCACTTTGCATTCCGAAAAAATTCTCATGTATATTTTCTGTATTTCTGTTGTTAAACTAGTTGATTGTTTATCTCCAATCAATTTCTAACTGAAAGCCTTCCTTCAACCATTTGCTGCTAGGCTTCCATCTGAAAAATAATCCTTGTTTTTGTTGTGAGGGAATAAAGCTTGATTGATTGATTGAATGCTTGATTAAATTATTATACCTGCTCACAGATTTCAAGTCGTCTTCCTGTCGGCACACCTCACTATGTGGCCCCCGAGGTGCTGAGTTCCATGAGCGGGGGCCTCAATGCCTGCGCCACCGTTCAGGGCCCAGCCGTGGACTGGTGGTCGCTGGGTGTGCTGGCGTACGAGATGCTCTACGGCTTCAACCCGTTTGCCGACGATCGCGTGGTCGTCACTTACAACAGGATCATGAACTTCAGCGTAAGAGGATTCCTTTTTTTGTACAGATTTTAATTCTGTGACCCTGGGACAACCGAGACGTGCAATCATTCAAAAGCATACAAAGCAAATGTGAAGGTGCCTTAGCTCAATGTACGCTTCAGGCCTCATAGGTTTTTATTATTTTTATTCATCAGTTTTAAAACAAAATGCCAGTGGTGCTTGTACATTAACTGCCAGAGAGATAATTACAATAGATTCTCAGTAAACAGAATCACTGCCTCAATGGAGAAACCACCTCGAATGTGACTGTATTCTTACTTGAAAAATGCATCTCCATTCATCTCACGTTTTCCTAGTCCCTTTAGGTTCCATTTAACGAGCCTGCTGTATATAAGCCGTTGCTGATGCTATGTCTGATGGCCAACAGTGGCCAGAAATAAGCCTAACCACATTTATGTTTTGTTTTAATATTCACGTTAACACTTGTGAAATTGAGCTGATGGACCTAATAAAGCTTGCATATTTGTGTTCCTCAATTTCAATGCTCATTAAATAAAACTTAAAATGTGATTGACTGTAGAGATCAAACTTTGTGCTTTAGCTGCAGCCTTTTTCTGAGTGCTACAGTATTCTGGTTACGAACGGTCATTACAAAGGCTTCGCCATAATTGCCTCCTTACTGCGAGGCTGTTCGTTCTTGTGCCAGGCACGTGACTTCGTATAGCAACAAGATGACCTTGCTTCAGGTTGCCTGACATGACCTTTCAGTGCGTAAAACTATAGGGGTTTGGCTGCCGTCAATATGTAGGCTGAATGCGGCATGATCATGCTAAAAATCAAGCACTCAACACAGACCAAGAACACAGCTAGCAATGCTTAATACTGAATTAAACAAATGAACAAGGTTTAAATAATATAATTAATGGAAATGATAAAGAAGTAATTGCAATGACCAACTTAAAATAGCTTGAAACGTTTCGAAAACATTAGCTAAGTCCTTTGCCTTGCGAGAGAGGGTGCCATGGTTTGCTAAGCAAGCGATAGCTTTCCCACCAACGCTTGGTACATCTGAATGGGTAAGCAACCAGACAGAATTCGCTGCAGACAGCGTGTATCTCAACTGACAAAACGAGTAGGAAGTCGATAAAGTGCAGCAAAAAGTAGCGTGCGTGTCACCCACGGAGTTAGCAAATCAACCTTAACAAGATTCTGCTTGTGCTGGGAAAACCCTATGTGCATACCTCAAACATTGGTGTCATCGATGCTTTGACAAATGGAGTGGCGGGAACTCTACGAACTGTAATTGCTGGGTGCCCGTGGTACCAACTTCCTCAGAAGTCGCACTCGTGGAGCCATAGGCCGCCAAACTCACTCGGACTCACTCAGACTCAGATCGAGCTGCGAGTCTGTGTCTGAGCAAGTTTGAGTGAGTAATATTTTGGCGAGTTTTAGCTCGAGTTAGTCTGGATGAAGAAAGTTTTGGTGAGTAAGTCCCAGTGAGTCTGGCTCGGGAAAATTTTCGCGAGTCTGAGTCCGAGTGAGATCCACAATTTTTGCCGACCTACCAGAGGAGCTGCATTTTTTTTCCTCTTCTGGTGTAACAGGAGACCCTGGACTATGTGAAGGAGCCACCCTTATCAGAGGTGTCTGTAAAGATGCTGCAGGGCCTTCTCACCACGGCCGACAAGCGGTTTTCCTACGACGACATGTGCCGTCATGAGTTCTTTGCTCCAATAGACCTGGATAATATAAGACAAAGTACGTATGACAAAGTGGGGCATGAAGCCGGGTCCGCTGGGTGCCAGCCCAGTATCCCACCACTGAGCTACGCCGGTGCATGTGACTTTTTGGCAAACTTGCCTTAGGCAGGCTTGGTGTCGGGAAAGCAATCGTGTTTATGCGACTTATAAACCATTTTAGAACAGCAAAAGAACAGCCAGTCATCGCACAATGCGAATAACGTAACGTGTGGGCCGTCCGATGCTCCAACGCATTACAAAGGTTGTTCTTATTGACCTTTAACTGTGGCGCATACCCACTTCAGCCATAATTATGCATTGTCGTCAGCTACTGCATGAACAATTGGCACAAAATGCCTTGGAAGTGCTTAGTCGATACCACGCTTCTCTGAAGAATGATGAAAAATAGCATAGCGAATGCCGGTCTACTAGCCCAAAAATTTTGTTATTTATGCCCTAGTGGGTATCAAGCAAGTGTGCTTGCAGTAGTTACCCAATGAGTGTTTTAAAAGGCTCTGAAAGGCCGCTCTTCTAGCTTTCGCTGTGACTGCGCTGCGCCTTCCTCGCAGGCCCGGCATTTTTTTTTTCCATGCATATGTACATCGGTTAAACCTCTTTTAGAGATATCAAGCTTGTTAGTGTAAACGTTTTCCCTTTTTTTAAACTGGGCTGTGCATTATTGATGACCCCGCACTTCCCCATGCACCTTATTTAATATCAAGGGTAACATGTAGATGTAAATAAACAATTTGTCAAAGTTTCATGGCGGATTGATTGAATATACCAATACGTTTTAGGCAAGAAGTACACAATTGCTGATTATCACTGAAAGAACTTATTGTGCTTAAGAACGCGAATTCTGCATGTTTTAGGTTGTTTTGTAAAAAGCTTACCTAATCTGATATAAACCATAAGAGTTCTTTCAAAATAAGTGAGTTGGATTAAGCTTTCACAAAGGAAATGTATTAAAATTGGGCTGATATTCTTTGTAATAAACACACAGCTGTGCCCCCATTTGTGCCAAACTTGACCGGGGAGGAGGACACGTCCAACTTCTACGAGTTTGAGGACGAGCCGGCGCGTGCCAAGATTCCTGCTTTGCGGGATCAGAACAAAAGCTTTGAGGGCAAGAGTCTGCCGTTCGTGGGATTCACTCACACGCAGAGTGCCAGCAATGCAGCACTCGAGAGGTGAGTGCTGGTCCGAGAGCAGGACGAAAAATTTTCGTCTCTCCGGTGGCTATTGTTTTATTAAGCAACAATTTGCATTACTAAATATAAGCAGTCAGGTTGCTAATGTGCATTTGTATCTTGCTTGCAAAAATATTGCATGTTTGTTACTTCGATTGAAGAGTGAGACTGAATCTATAGGCAATCGAGTAGTATCAGAAGCCAAGTCAAGCGACGGTTGAGTAGTTTGTGAACAAACGTTCTCATCACTCGAACAATGTTCAGGTCCTGATTAGCAAGGTTCTGTAAATGCATTCAGCCTTATAGTTTAATAACGATTTAATAGTTACGTTTAATAAAGATTAAAAGAGAAGCATTAGGAGCAGATGTGTTTGTACATGTTTGCATTCTCGAGACTACTCTCTGTCGAATACAATCGCAGTTTAATCGGGACCGTCGAGTTTCTTTGCCGACATAGTCACTCTACTTCGTAACTTCTCGTTATTGATCTTTATGTCCGCTCTATGGCCACACAGGTCAGACTTGATACAGTCAAATTCCGCATAACCAAGTCCGCTACAACGAAATTTTCACCACAACAAATACTTTTCGATTCCCTGTAGTCGCCCATTGAAAACAATCTGGAAAATGTCTCATCACAATGAATACTTATTCTGGGTACTTCCGCTACAACAAAGCTTTTTCGAGTGCTGCCACCTAAGGAAAAGGAATTTGCAAAGGATTTTTGCGAACTTCCGCTACCAGCTTGGCCATTTCTCGTTGGCTCGTGACATCCTGAGTGTGTGGCCGTATTGCAACACAGTGTCTTCATCGGAGACCACATGCACATCCTCGTAAAGGTTTCGCCATCGACGTGCTCGGCAACAGGTCACTCAACCGCCATTTGCTGCCAGTGGGTTTGATGCATGTGCGGGCCGCGGCAGAATTGTTCTTCAAGCACTCTCGCCATGTTTTCGACATCGCGCTCAGAACAAAACTACCGTTCACCGACACTAGCCCAGCGATTGTAAATGACATCCATGGCGTTATGTTAGCGCATGCGAGGTCAGGGCACACCTAGTGCCAGCATAACTACATTCTGCCGCAACCACTGCGAACACAAATACGGTCGCGGCGATCATGGGCGACCTTGAAAGTATGTGTGCCAACTCGACCCAATACTGCTTGCTGTAACACTGCGGACAAAACTGTGTCTATGCGAACAATAATAGCGGGGACGCAGTTCTCAAGGCACCCGCACTCCCAGTGCGGCGCCTACGCATTGAAAAAGGAACTACCATTCGCCGCAACCGCTGCACAAGAAACCACAGTGGTTGGGTGCTATTTACCGCGGAGGACCCGCAGTGATGTCCACCGCGAACCCACCGCAAGAGACAACCGCCACGCGCCAAAAAGGCCCGCTCATCTCTCAATTGCCACCACATAGGCTTCCAGGCGTGACAGGCGTGACTGCGCTAACCATGATGATGATGGTGGTAATCATAAACCCTTGAAAGCACAATGCCACCTACCGCCTGATAGTTGTGAACCTTAAATGCGGCCTATGCATGTAACTGGTGGTACAAACGACATTACAGGGGGTGTTACCACCCCACAAGGCCTAGGTACTTATAATCAGACACATGCTTCAGAGAGGAGCCATTAAAAGAGAAATCGAAAAGAGAAACAGGTGCATGTACAGAACGAAAGAGTGACCGTTTTAACAAAGTTTATGTTCATTTGCCATGTGTGGAACCATCTGTGAAATTGTGCAAAAGAATTATTACAGTTAAATGTGGTCATTATTAGCATTAATTACGCTATACAGTACACAGTCGTCAGCATAAAGACTGATTTATGCTGATACCTAATTGGAAAAATCATTTATGTTTAATGAAAACAAAAGTGGTCCCAGGACTGAGCCTTGGGCGACTCCTGATGACACATTCACAACAGACGAGTTTGTGGAACTGAAAGAAACATACTGGGGACGGTTAAAAAAACCGGCAGTCTAGTCAACCAATGAGTAATTGTTAAGAATAGAGTGAGGTTTATGCAGAAGTTTAGAATGTGTAACAGTGTCGAATGCCTTTCAAAATTCAATTAAACTAGCATCGATTTAGCAACTGCAGTCTAGAGCGTGTGAAATGTCATGCGAGAACTCTACAAGTTGAGTTATTCTACTATAACCTTGCCGAAAACCATGCTGAACATCACGGAGGATGTTATTTATTATTTTCAAGAAACCCCGTAATATGCTTAGAAATTATGTGCTATAAAGTTTTGCACGATTGAGACATTAGTGAAATCGGGGAACAGTATAATGGTGGCTGCTTGTTGTTAGATTTGTGCATAGGAAGAATTTTGGCTAGTCATCAAGGTAAAGGAAAAGTTGAGGTGCATAAGCACTTCTGAAAAATTTTAAGGACTTCTGAAAATATCAGACCATGCATAAGGACTTCTGAAAATATCTAAGAAGAGAAATATTAGGAATGCCATCAAGATCAAGTGATTTCTTATTTCCTAAGCTCAAAATTAAGTTCATAACACCATTAACAGACACTTAAATGTCACTTACTGAGTTATTTGAGCCAAGATAAAAGCTAGGGATATCCAAGTTGTTAATTGTGAATACCGACTGAACATATTAATTGAACGCATTGTAAATAGTTGGAGGGTCACTACAGAGGACGTTGTTTGCATAAATAAGAATTATTTCATCTGTCACTGAAAGGTTCCAAGTATTTGCACTCCTCTAGGCGCACGCACCAGCAGTGGTTGGCTATAGGCATTCTCCGGCTGCTGCATAGTATTACCCATTGCAGAGCCTACTGGCTACGGTGTTGCAACCCTTAGCCGCGATGGCTATTGCTCAGTAGAGGGGAAATTAAAAAACACAGCAGCATTAATGAACTTCAAATAGTCAAAATGAATCTATAGTTTCTCACTACGGCAAGCCTCATAATCCTTTTGGAAATTGATGCTAAATGCTTTATTTTACAGCAAAGTTGTATGTGGTTGTCTGGGGTTCCATGAATTTTTCCTTTGCACCATCAAGAATGTATCAAATACAACCACTCGGCACTGGTCTATTAAAAATGAAGGGAGCAACGAGGGTGGCAAACACCAATTGAGATTGTGTACGAAGCGCCAATTACGTGTGGCAGGCCAGTCAAGACTTCGCATGGTGAGAGATGGAGAACGTGACAAAAAGGCTCAATTACCACGTTACTCTGGTAGAAAGCTTTAACAAATATGTGCTAAATTCAGTTTTCTGTTTTGCTTTGTTTTAGTGGGAGGGTGTGTAGTTGGCTACGGTTCTCCTCAGTGTCGGGTGCTAAACAGCTTCACCAGTAATCCGCCTTCATAGAAGGAAGTGTGGAATTGGGCTAGTTTGTATTCCATTATTAAACTGCTCAGCGCAAAAATTTAGGCAACGCACACAGAAAAGGCATGGGCAAGGGTTCTCGTGTCCCGGCCTAACGAAGGCACTAGAATCATAATTGAGGCGGCAACTATGGCTCGAGACAACTGCATTAGTAGATCGTCCATAGCTTTATCAGAAAAATAATTGGCCTATTTAAATTCTTTGGCACATGGTGTTCCAGAGGGATCACTTGGTTTTTTGTAGACTCTGAGTTGTTTGGCTTGTGCTCATGGATAAGTATGTGGTCTTTTTCTCTAGCCTACATATATGTGCGTCTTAGTATTAATAATAAATCAGTCGAAAGCTGCGCTTGTCCTCGTCTTTTATGTGTGCATTGTCGAAATATTTGTGCTCAGCAGTTTCGCAGAATAAAATGGCTCGAACTTCTTGTCCTCGTCTTTTCTGTGTGCATTGTCGAAATATTTGGGCTCAGCAGTTTCGCAGAATAAAATGGCTCGAACTTATTCTTTTTTTTTCCTTTTTTTTTTTTCTTTGCCGAATAGAACGGTGAGTTATCTGGAGGTGGGCTCCCCGATGCGCGAGACTCTTAGCTCAGGGGCATCACTGCGTCGACGGAGCCAGCGCCAGGAGCAGCTGCTGTCCGAGGTGACCCAGCGGGAGGAGAGCCTGCGCCAGGAGGCACGAGAGACGCGCAGCCGTCTGGAACAGGCGCAGGCTCGACTGGAGGCCCTCGAGAGCAGCCTGATGGATGCGGAGGCCCGCGAGGCACAGCTGCGCTCGGACAACCAGGTGATCCTGCTTATTCGTATTCTTGTTGTTGTGGTATTTATTGTTGTCTAGGCAAATCCGTTCTCCAGAAGTCCACAAGATGGTGCTCATGACAGGGTATCACGAAACTACGAAGGCGGTTGATACAGATTTCTCAGAAAAAAAGTCTCAAACAACAGAGCAGAGGGGGGTGAGGGAACGAACGGGTGTTGGGACATGTTGTTCAAAATCAAGAAGAGGCACCTGCAGAACGTGTAGCATGTTGGCAAGATAACGTCTGGTCATTAAGAGTAACAGACCAGATTTTGAGAGTAGACAAGTGTGCTAGGGGGACGCAGAAAGTTAGGCCAAGGAGATAAAAGTTTGGATGGATAACATAGTCACAGCAAGCACAGGACCAGGTTAGCTAATGGACCATAGGAAAGGCCTTCGTCCTGCAATGGCCATAGTCAGGCTGATGATGACAGCTTCTTAGTCCCTCACCCTGGAGCCCCTTCTTGTGTATTGATTTGTATTAACTTTACCCTTAGCAATCAAAATCAATTATATGATACTCTAGGAGGCCTTCTTAAGTCCGTTATCATTTTCTTATGGTCATGGTGGTCACCGTAACAATTCAGACTTCCAGCATATTTGAATGTCAAAATTGAAAATATTACCTCTCTAGAAGACCACACCCCAAAACCATGTTAATTTTTAGAGAAAAAATATTGTAGTTATTATGGGAGTATGTAATGTCAATTCTTCTAAATATGGAAGTCAAGTGAGCCAAATGAGAGGTGATGTCAAGGTATAGAAGGAAATTTGATTTCGATTTGATTCGATATATTAATCACCACGTATGTGATAAGAGGTGAAAGGAAAAGCGATTCAAGGACGGCAATTTTTAAGGGAACAACGTTCCCATCCAATGTAATGGTAACTGCACATTCTCCTGCATATACCGGTAGGTTGACACCAACTTTATTTTTCCGGCCTTAGTTGTCTTTCTCTTCTTTGTTCCCTGCCCAGAACCTGAACATGCTGGTGGACCTGGAGCGCAAGAACCGGCTGATCTCGGAGGAGAAGGCTGTCCAGCTGCTGAATGCCATGAAGCGCAAGTACCGCAGGCAAGACGAACTTCTGCGGAGCGGCTACTTGTGAGTCGAGGCACTAACCACACCCGAGTGCCCGCACTTGCATGCTGCAATGCTTGGCATGCAGCAGCTGCTGCTGCTGCTGCTGCTGCTGCTGCTGTGGGGCTTTCGGAGGAGATCCCGCGGGCTGTGCTTGTAGCTGTTCGTTTGCCGTATTTCCTCATGTATACATAATCCTCACAAAACGATGCAGAAAGCTCTGAGCTAATGTTGACATAAGAGATTTAATGTGGAATTCATTGTTCAAGGTGGCTTCACAGCTAGTTGTGACAGTGGCAGCTGAAACTGGCAACAGGACAGAAGAAGGGGCGCTGGAGGCTGACGCCAAATGAAAATAAGGTTTTTGCAGTCTTCGAGCACAGTTGGTGTGGTCATTCTTCTGAACACGTAAAATTTCTACAGTTGAGAGGTGTAGGTAGTGGGATCTTGCTAAAATCGTCTCTGTGGGTTGTATTTCTGGATTTTGTTTATATGCAAGGGTATGTTATACACGAGAAAATATGACATATTTAGAGCAAAGCTTTGTTTTGGTGTGGTTTGTGCAGGCTTTTTTTCTTTTGGTTGTGATGCAAATGATAGGCTGAACAAGTACAACCCAATGGGTTTCTCATGCACGTGTGCATTGCTGTGGGGTTTGGCGAGTGTATCTGCATGTTGAATGATCATTATCATTAGCAGCATCAAATTGACTACATCCACTGCAGGACAAAGGCCTTTCCCGTGTTCTGCCAGTCAACTCGGTCCTGTGCTTGCTACTGCCACTTTGTACATGCAAAATTCTTAATCTCATCTGCCCACCTAACTTTCTGTCTCCCTCTAACCCGCTTGCCTTCTCTGGGAATCCAGTCAGTTACCCTTATTGACCAGAAATTAATCTTCCTATGCGCTACATGCCCGGCCCATGTCCATTTCCTCTTCTTGATCTCAAGTATGATATCCTTAACCTTGGTTTAGTTCCCTGATCCACTCTGCCTCTTCTTGTCTCTTAAGGCTACACCTATCATTTTCCTTTCCATCGCTCGCTGCGTTGTATGATGAATCACATGACAGTAAATTACCAAAGCTTACGAAGCGGAGTAGCTTGGGTGAACAAGCGAATGAACAAGAAGTCTAAGGAGAGTGAGCAGGTGAACAGAATTCAGCGGCAGTTCTGTGGCACAGATTTACTGCATTTCATGTGTTATAAACAATGCTGTGAAGACTTGACATTTCTCTCTCTCTCTGCACGTGTGACCATAAAATATATGTGCATCACGTGTGAAGGGAAGAAACGGGTGCACATTGTGTTATTCTGTATAACGGTACCTTCCACATCAAACGAGTGACACATTTATTTGTCTAGAAGCTGCAGAACACTGGCTGTGCCCATGGCCAAGTGATTGCATGCTTCACATTAGTAGCTTGAGTGCACTCAATAGCCGCATGAGACTCAGCCTTGCACACTTGTTCGCAGTGCCAGCGCCACACTGTAACTGCTGCAATTTGCAAAGTCCTCTTGTACATGCATTGCATAATCATGTGTTGTTATCTGGCCAAGAATGAGAGAAATTGGCTGAGTGACGAGCCTGGCATAACGTCTTGAGTGCTGCCGGTGCCACCAATATAGAGGCGCGAGTGCGTGTTCTTGACACCCTTGCTGGCATCCAGATTCGCTGTTGACATACCCAGAAAGCGAGTTTTGTGTGTTTTTTTTTTTTCACCGTGCGTGCACTACAGTGTGCAAACGTTACACCGATGCAAATTTTCTTCATGAAAGATGCTTCTATTGTCTCAACAGTGTTTCTAATTTTCTTTGTAATACTGCTTCATGAAACTGCATTAGCTGATAGGTCTGTCTCATTTGTCCGGTATAGTGTGTTTTCTTGATAAATATGAAAAAAATTTGTCACTCAGGTCTCACGAGGATATAGTATTTATTTGTTTTATTTAATACATACTGCGGACCACACTTCGGTCCAAGCAGGAGGGCATGGCGCAATACAAAGAGAAATACAATACACGCAAAACAAAAACAAAACAGTGCACAGTTACTCAGTATCGCAAGTACTAGATTCGATTGTCTGGTTCCAGTCTGAAATGGTGCGTGGAAAAAATGAAAATTTGAACGTGTCCGTTCTCGCGAAGTACGGAGTTAGTGCATTTGGTTGGTGATGTTTTGTCGGTCTTGTGTTTAATGGAAAAAGAAAAGGGGTTGGATCAAGGGAAAGTTTGCGATTATATAAAAGAGACAGAAAATCAAGGCGGGACTTCTTTCTACGATCCTGAAGGGAAGGAATATTATTAGCTAGCATTAGGTCTGTGGGGGAGTCCGTTCGCAAAAACCTAGAATAAACAAACCGAATGGCCTTCCGCTGAATCCTTTCAAGTTTTTTAACGTTTTGTTTAGTATGGGGGTCCCACACGATACTCGCATACTCCAGCTTCGGCCTAACGAAAGTGAAATAACTAAGAAGCTTTACATTTGGAGGGGAATTTCTCAGCTTATATCTTAGGAAGCATAATTTCCGAAAGGCAGACGAGCAAATATTATCTATGTGCATGTTCCATGATAAGTTGTTTGTTAGCGTAACGCCGAGGTACTTATAACTGTCAACCTGTGTGAGAGAAGACGATCCTAATTTATACACGTGTTCACTAGGGTTTTTCTTTCTCGTCACACAGAGATATACACTTTTTTCCAAATTTAATTCCATTCCCCATTCTACACACCACTTCTGCATGTTTTCAATGTTTTTCTCGACAAGTCTTCATTTACAAGTCTTCATTTAGTTATTACTCTCTAAATGAAGCAATAACTTTGGTCTCACAAGGATATAGCATTACAAGTCTTTAGTTGCTGTACTCCATATGAAGTAGTGCTTGAGGAACTGCTTAGCGAGACTTCTATGAGTGCACTTATTGGCCAGTTTCCATAGCATTGAACTTCAATTGTGAAATGCAGTACAGTAAATAAAGAAAAAACAAAAGTAGCTTGTGTTGCACAAATGGTGAATTTTTAGTTCGAAGCGAGTTCGAAGCAAATAGTGATTTTGGTCAAATAATTTCTAGTCGAATTCGAATAATATACTTGAGACATATTGTAAAAAAAAGGGGGGGGGTGCACATTTGCCATGACAAAACTAACCTGCACATTATTTTTTTTTTTTTTTTCAAGTTGAAACAAGCCGTGTGCAAAGGCTATTTTATTTTACATCAAGGGATGTGAAGCAGCTTGTGATAGTAGCAGGATATGACTTTTGGTAGAATGCAAGTGATAGCATGTGAAATGTGTGACGTTTTGAAATTTGCTGTACTTAGAGCATATAAGTTGGTATGACAAGCTTTGAAACTCATGCTTTTAAGCAACTTCAGGTAAGCATCTTCTGCTTTGGCAGTGCACAGCTTAACAGCCAAAGTAGATGTACTGCCATGCGCTGCAGATGCGGCAATAGTTTGTGGGATCTACAGCACATGACAAAGCAAAAGAAAACTGCATTGCTGTGCCAATTGCAGTCACACGATGTGTTGAGGATATTGAACACAGCCTTCCCAATTAAAAAAAACTGTTTCTTGGCCTAGTTGGTACTTGCTTTATGACATATTTCAGCCGCAAAATATCACATCCCCAATTAGCTCTGGCAACGGAAGTTTACATTGCAGGGCCTAAGTGCAGACAATGTGGCTGATATCTTCAAAACCATGCCCCGTGACCGTAGATTACACAGCAAAGCAGTCTTCCATTGGGGAGGCTGTGTTCAATATCCTCAACACATCGTGCGACTGTAGTTGGCACAGCAATGCAGTTTTCTTTTGCTTTGTCATGTGCTGTAGATCCCACAAACTAGTGCTGCATCTGCAGCACGTTGCAGTGCATCTACTTTGGCTGTTAAGCTGTGCACTGCCAAAGCAGGAGATGCTTACCTGAAGTTGCTTAAAAGCATTCGAAACTTCATCTGAAATTTGAGGATGAAGCTAAAGGTTGCCGTACTTGTTACCAATGTACGTGGTTGTGAAATGACTGGTTTCAAGCATTCAAAACGTGTTTTGTCATTTCGCAAAGTTTGTCAGGTACCTGTCAAGGTAGTTTGTCAAGCATATCGCCTAGTATGTTCTGTGTGCCAAAGCACATTGTATAATACGGGAGTGCAAACTTGGATGTTTCGGCAATTCGGGGTCAGAAATATGCAGCAGGAATAAATTGCAATCAATAGTGATGGCACCATTTGCTTTGCTTTTTTTTTTTTAGTCAGTGCCACTCGTTTGAGCTTTTGTTGGCCAAGTGTGTGCTCACACTTTAGAATTATTAATATCAAAGGTAATTGAAATTGACAAGCCCCATTGGAGCTCACTTCTGTGGGCTCGCATGAGGGAGCCAATCAGGCATCTACATTTCAATGACTAGATGGTGTTTGAGGAACAAGTTCAGTAGTAAAATTGAGTATGTGTGCCGGTCTGTGTTTACCTTTATTCCTATTTTTTCTTTGCATCTCAAACCCCTTCTAGTTGTGTACGGACCCTAGATGTTGCCAAGCCATTTTAGCAGCTTCTGGCTTCATTATTAATTTTTACAGGGCAAGTCTCAGCTCTAACGCACAGTCTTAAAAAAGTGGCAAAAGCAGGAGTACTTGGTGTTCACCGAGGCATTGTACCACTGTGCGGTATGTGTGAGTGGTGTTGTGTTGTCGTGTATGTTCGTGCAGTGTGGCCAGCCCTCTGCGGAAGCCCACTCCGAGAGCCTTTGTGGTAGAAAATTCGAACGGCGACGGAGAGAGGGTTGACGAAGAAGAGGAAGGGGACGAGGCGTCGGTGCAGAGTGAACTGCAGCTGGTGATTCGCGAGAAGCACCATTTGGAGCAGGAGCTGGCCAAGGAGCGAGCCCTGTGTGCACAGTACAAGGAGCAGCTCAACTCGGTCAGAGCCGTTTGTTGCAATAGTGAAGTTTCCTAGAATTAGCTACACTTGGTGACAACTTTTCTTGGCTTTAATGAAGCTAAGGCTACAGAGCCAAATTGCGTGCGTCTTACTGCAACTTCTATTCAGTTCAGTTTTATTTTCTTAAGAGCCCCTATTCAAAGGGTGTTACATAAGGGGCGGGATTACAAGTCAAAATCAGTGATTGTAGTTTCACAATAGCACCTGTATTCTCAATGTGAACTATAAAAGTTGCTCCTTTATTTTCTACATGGTGCTATTTGAGACAGGACGCAGCTCACATTATTAAGATATTTGTATTTTTTAAATTTATTCATTGTGACTTCGCATTCTTGAACGCACGAGAAAGGCTCACCTGTTTACTGTGTACCTCAAATGCTAAGCGGCATTTGCATCTACATGAAACGCTGATGGTGCGTCCCCATCACTTTCGACAGCATTATGAGACCCTCACCAAAATAGACTGCTTTGAGTAGTGCTACATGTGTTGAAGCTCCGCCCCCTTAGCTTTTATTTCGCTGCTTAGAAAAGTTATCGACGAGTATAGAGGGATATCTGGGGCTGGGTTTCGTAGTACAGGGTCTGCCCATCAACTAATAAAAACGTATCTGGTGAAAAAAATGTATTGCTCCGAGCTGTACATATTATTGAAGTTCTTTGAAATAGTTTCCTTGGGCATCGATATGCCATTCACAATGTGTTTTCCATGCTGTAAGAAGTCTGCGGGTCTCCCATCAGGGCTGATTCAGGTCTGATACGGCCACAATGGGAGCCCTTGTGGACGTCTTCCTGTTTCAAAATCTCAAGAGAAGCATAGAAGGTCAACATTTTGACAATTCCACCATGCAGTGAGCTTTCAGAGTCCCCGGGAAAAGCCATTGCAAATTACTTTCAAGGGCCTTTGCGTCGTTGGAATCGTGTTGGAATTGACGCTTGAAGAAAATATTTTGAACACCTTAAATAACATGTGCAGCTCTGAAATTAATAATCAGAACTAAAAATCAATAAACTCTTTTTATTAGATACGTCATTACTTTATGGACAGACCCTGTATGTGGGGAAATGCTATAATATGGTGATTTCAAATTCGCACAAATTCCTCAAAGGCCTCGGCACCCTCAAATATCCATGCACATGGCTAGTGGCATTGTCTGTCACTCGGGGTCACCTTGGGTTAAGAAAGCATGTAAACAGTTTTTTTTTTAATTGTTAGTACAGAAAGGCTTGTTTAATTTTATTGTGATGGCTTTTTTTTTTAACGTACAGTTTTATAAAAAGTAAAGGTGTCAGCTCTACCGATGACAAGGTCAGTTCCCATTTTGTCAGTTTGTCATCTATTTCTGTTTTTGACTGCTGACACTACAGGCAGGTAAATGGGAAAAATGAGAGCCAATAATAAATTTTCTGTTTTAAGAAAGCATTACCTGTGTGGCCACATCTTTTAGGCCAAGCTTCACTCGAAGCCAGCTAACACAACCTCACCGACACAGTTACCATTGTACCCATGATATAACAGTTCTGATGAGGAATGGGACCTAGGCACTGCTGCCACATTCAAGAGGGATATGCCTCTTTTGATATCCTTGTTTCCTTTGCTCATTTGCTGCAGGCTCTCTCGGAAGGTGTCCACTGCGTGGAGGAGATGCAGAAGAAGCACAGAGCTAACGTGGACTCCGTCGACGTGGTCCGCAAGGAACTAGCTGAGGTGTGGAGCTGTTTTTGAATAATGATCTGTTACGTTTGTGCGTAATTGTTGCAACCTGTTCATTCTTCTGCCGTAACCGAAGAACAGGGAAAACTCTTTCCATAGTGTAAATGAACTGTCATGGCATTCAGCCTCGTAACTACACCGCATAACATACTACAGTACTGCATAGAAGCCGAACGCAAAAATTGCAGGGCACATCGCTGTACTGTGAGATGCCAAGCAAGCTCCCTCGCCAGAGCAAGCGCCTCCTACCTTTTTCGGGAGATCTGAAATAAGTGCCAATGGTTGGTCCGGGACCGAGCAGGCGCTTTCCCCCAAATCCGGTCGAATTATCCTTCACCGTAGGGGGGGCACTTGCTCGTTGTTTTATGGTACTTAGTCTGTAGAGCAACACAGAAAATTTGAATCTGAGGTCGAGGTGCAAATTGTCATGAATCTTGGTGTTCAGTGCAACATTTTAACAATATGCGAAAATTTCTTTCAGTTTCTCTTCTGTTTAGTTTGTCATTGTTTGGTGTCATAGGTGCAGATTACCCTCAGAAGTGGCATATCTAAAAAATACAGTACTAATGCGATGCTTCATCTGCCAACATATGCACGACTGCAATGTGGGCTCGGATATGCTGCATATGTGAAACATGAAACATAAGTAAGGCAGGTGAACAGATAGTCTTGTGACGCTTTGATGTGGTACGTACAATGTGAAGTTTTTGTGCAGACAAAGCAGCTGCATCTGTTTATTGGTGCGTTTTAGTTATTCTCTCCGGCTTTCTTTGCTGGCACTGGCGACGTATATTGCTGCATACGATGCCACTTTATCGAAGGGGAACTGTCATCGGCCAGGTTTCAGACAGACTTGTCGTTCTGACACTTGTTTGGTCCCTTCCTCGGGGTCGATCTTTCCTGTGATCCTGTGTATACTGGGCAGTGAGAGTGCTCCATTAATATTGTGCTCCTGCGAGAACACCACAGTTTTCATAGAAGGCACATGACTGCCTAAACTGTAGATGCGCCACCCCGTGCGTTGACGCCACAATCTGTACAGTTACTGGGGAACAAATGCAATGAGAAATTGTGCCAACAGCCCACGTTGGCAGACCGTTAAGAGATCGTGTTGCCTCGCTCTCGATTGCCTTGCCTACTAAAGAACTTGCTTACAGTTGAGGGTGTCATGCTAGTAATATCCTTGCCTCTTGTCTTCTTTCTTTTTTTTTTTCTTCGTACATGCCACTCTTTTCTGTGCTTGTGGTGCTGTGGATTTTATGATTATAGGGTATGTTTTTGGCATTAAAGTCAGTTCTTGTTCTGTGAGTTAGCTCTTTGTGCAGTGCCATTTTGTTTGTCTTGTGGTCTTTTATTGAGCCGTAGCACCCCACTGACACATTTTGGTGTGAACTATGATTAAAGGTGTCAAAAATAATGAAAGCAGGTGGGAAAATTAGATACACTCATACCTCAACATAACGATCCCAGATATAACAAAATATTGGTTATAATGAAGTAAATGATAAATTGTCTTGCAATAGATACAGTGCTAGAAATATACCTTTATGATGAATTTTGGGATATAATGAGCTCATTTATGTATAAAGGTATAACAAGGTTTGAGTGTAGTTGAAAGTGTGGAATATAGTAATAGACATTTTGAAACGAGGAAATCCAGATGATTTACGGCAGGATACGAGAGAGTGCAGGTTGAGGACTGTTTTTGTGGATGTGACTTGCTTCACAGTTGCACTTTATAGCACATCCCATGTAACAATGCAATCTGTAGGGGGGGGAAGTGGATGGAAGATAGTTTTTTTTTTTTTTTTAATGCTTCTAGTGTACAGCAGGTGCACCGATGTCACAGGCACTGTGGCGTTGTTGTAATTGCTCGCAAACGGCACATCCGAACAACACTCCAGTGTGCAAATTCGTTGCCGTTTTTGCGTAGGCCGGTGTCAAGCAGCGGCAGGCCGAAGAGGCCCTGTCGGTGTGCCAGGACGATTGCTTCCAAACACCAGGCAACTGTAGGTTCACTGGAAAAGGAAGTGGCAGTTCCTCAAAGGACAGGTGTCTGCATCGATGGACAAGGCGGCTGTCAGTTCTGGGGCCGCCTGCGCACGGTGCACCACATCACTGTCAGAGGTCAAGCGCCTCACCGAGGAGAAGACGAAATTGCCACCTCGAAGCAGCCGAGATGCGGGTGAGAGTTCCAGCTTACTTGCGTGGGCAAGTCTAGCACTTTGGCCACAATTTTCAGGACTTTATGTTTGTACCAGAAGAATTACGGCATGCTGTTGAGGAAATGTAGAATGCATATATATGATGCATGCATATAATGAATTATTGGTCATAATGAAGTACTAAATGAAGAATACCGTATTTACTCGATTCTACTGCGCCCTCAACTGTAACGTGCACCCGATTTCCACCGCGAAAAAAAAAAAACGTAAGACATCGATCACAATGCGCACCCATTTTTCTCACTGGCCCGCACGATCACACCACTCGAAAAAACGACTCCTTTCGGGAGCGTCTTCCATTTAAATATGAGGTACGGGCGAAGCTTGTGCCCATCTGACGTGTAACAGAGCATTGCCGTCACTGTAGTTTTACCGTGGACCGATGTCAGCACGCGAACTTGCTTCGCCCCCTTCTCGACGGTTGTGGTGCCAGGCATGTCAAAGTAAAGAGGCGTCTGATCGGCATTTCCGATTTGCTCAAGCAGGTAGCTGTTGTTGCGCCGCAAGTTTAGGACGAACCTCTGAAAACTGTGAAGCTTTTCATCGTACTCCTCCGCAAAACTTTTCGCATATGCATGTTCCCCTTCAGAGGGAGAGCCTTTCCTCTTCATAAAGTTAGTTAGCCAGCACCTGCTCACTTTAAACTGGCTCCGCATTAGACCTTTTTCTAAGACTAATTGCATAGCCCGCACTTGGAGCAGTTCTGTCGTCACGGGCCGCTGTGCCGCTCGCTGCTCAAGCACATACTCGCCGAGCAGCTCTTTAATTTGCGGAAACCGACCCTGCTGTGGTCCACTGAAGCCTTTGCGTGAAGCTTTGCTGTCGACAATCTTCTGCTTTTGTTTCCGCCGGTCCCGCAAGCACGTTTCGGGAACTCTGAACGACCGCGATGCGGCCCGATTTCCGTCCGTTTCTGCACACGCGATGACTTTTCTTTTAAAAGCGGCATCGTGGTGCACTCGAGTTTTTGGAGTCGGCCCTTTCACGCCGTCGATGCTAATGCACTACTAGATGACGAACTCCTCAGCACACGTACGAAGTGCCGCACATGGGAAACACATAGGCAGAAATTGCGGACGCGCCATGCCGACGCACGTAGGGGGCGGCCATTTTGGATTTGCCGATGGCAATAGATTGACTGTAATTTTTTTGTTCGTACTCGATTCTAACGCGCATGCGATTTATGAACTCGCTTAACCGGAAAAAAGGTGCACGTTAGATTCGAGTAATTACGGTAGTCTTGTCATAGTGTTACAAGTTAACAAATTTTCAGATATGACAAAGCTATTTTTGTGTCACGTGCAACTTCATTATGAGGTGTGAGTGTAGTTAGTACTGTATTGACTTCGGTGTTTGACCGTCATGATGGTTAATTACATTTTTTCTTTTCTACTTTGCATGGTGAAAATGTTATTGCAACTTGCCAAGCTGACTAGTGAACAGTAACGATTAGAGCTGTGCGAATAGAAGACTTTTGGGTGTGAAGATAATTCGAATATTGAAGTGTGGTTGGAATCGAAAAGAATATTTTTCTGATATTTCTCCGATATTTCTAGAAAATTTTTCTAATGTTTCAAAGCGAAATGGCAGGAAAAAAAAATTGGCGAGGATCCTTAAGCATATCCTCACTAACTATATCAAGCAGAAGTGTTTTTTTTTTTTTTTTCGCTAGGTTTATGAAGCACTGAAGGGTAGGCATGTCAAAGTTTTATCAAGATTGAGGCAATGTAAAGGCCGAATAGTATTAATGTACATGATTTGGTGCAACCAAAGTGTTGCCGACGACGCTTTACGCGTGAAAGGTAAATCCACTATTTCCTCAGCGTGTCCTCCTCTTTCAGCTCTTTCAACTTCTGTGAAAGCCCAATTGGCATGGCAGACAAGGTAGTGCTCCCTTCACGTTAGGTGTTCCAAATCTGTCTCTTAGATGTCACCATATAGAATACTAAAAATTCTTTAGTGTCCGATCACTTTCTGCCCAAATTTCAGGTTTGAACAGCAGTTAAGCATCCATGTCTGCCACGTCTATCTTCTCCTTCTAGAAACCAGCCTTTTCTCAAGTCAATACAGTTGCGATTGTAGCGAAGCTTGAAAGGCAGCTTTGCTGCGATACGGGAGTGTGGTGGGGTGATGTGTGTTAAAGATTTGAAGGGGTCACTTTTAATTAAATGGTTGACTGCATATGTCTTTGCGAAGTTCGAATAGTGAAAATTTCAATGCGAATCAAATAGCAAACGCTATTAGAAAAATATTGGAAATCTGGAATAATCGCACACCCCTAGTAACAGTGCTGGGTGTTGTAAATCACTGGGTCTCTGGAATCTGCTGCTGGCTTTGCAAGATCATAATTTAGCATCATCATTTTTATTAGTCATTATCACTTCATTTTGTTTTTGTTTCTTTTGTTATTCACCCCCCCCCCCCCGCTCCCATTATGGCAATGTGACCGTGTGACTCCACCTACAACTGCATACTATGATGACGACAACAGTGACTGCATAGAGTAGACTACAACAGCTCCGGTTTTTAAAAAAAGAAGAAATTGTGGCTGCATAACTTGGTTTATTTTTTGACATAATGTAATTTGCAGCAGCATGTGTGGCAGTTTGCAGCAGTTCCTCGGTACCTGCATGCCTTCTTTGTTTGCGGCGGAATACGCACCAATTTGTTTCCTCTATTGTCTTCCGATGGTTATACTATATGTCTGCATATGCGGCTAGAACATTCTTTATCTGGCTTCGATTGATTGCGGGCTAAACACGGCTTAAACCTTATTTTTCATTGTTTTCTCCATTCATGTGGATTTCAGTCCCAGCACCAGCGACTCTTGGTGGCCTTGGAATCTCAGCAGAGGCAGGAAAACCAGCTGCAAAGAGACGCAAACGGTCTCCGCTCGGTTGTGACGCGTCTTGAAGGTGTCGTCAGCACTGTCGAAGCCTCTTGCGCAGAGAGTGCTGCCGCTCCACAGCAGGTGTGTTTGGCTTGATGTATTAATTGAAGGGTGTTTGAAATAAAATAGCACTTCATCAGCTAACGTGATGGGTTTCAGTTTGGGACGTCACCCTCCCGCACAAGTAGTTCACATGCACAAGCGTGTGAGTAATGTCGGTGCAATGCTTATGTGCAACGGATAAGCATAAATCTTTAAAAATGTCAACAAGGTTTCAAAAATCGGATTTGGGCTTTTGCTGCTGCGACCAAAGATGCAACGCTCTATCTGCCACAGCACGGGCATTGTTGGATTTGGGCACCTTAAACATGTCCTACGGGCATAATCAGACATTCAATGCATTTCCGCAAAACCTATGTTTTGATGCGAATTTCATTCAGGGAAGTCAGTTCGTTAGATTTTCAGCTGCCAAGTATGCAACTTGCATTAATGATAATAATTGAGACTGGTCAATCTGCTGTTTTGTTTGTCATCAGGCTTAAGATGGCACTGCGTGTGTTGCGGGGACGTTATATTAAATTTTCAACTGATATCCAGTTCCATATTTCGAAGACAAAAGCTACTTTTCTAAATTTTTCATTTCATGGATTTCAAGCATTGCAAATACCATTTTGAACCTAACAATAGCAGCTGGTTGTTTTTTGTCTCGTCTGTTTCTTCACATGCTTTTTCTCGTTGGCACTCCTACCAGGTTCTCGTCAAGCAGGCGGAAGAGCTTGAAGCTCTACGTAGAGAGACATGCAAGTTGGAAGAGGCCAATGCACGCTACGTTCAAGAGATTGAGAAGTTGAACGCAGTAAGTTACCCTTCGGGAGTGCTCGCGGAATTCACTTCTTCTTCCCAAGTTTTGTTAAAATTGCAGGTGGCTGCATTCGGATATCATGCGTCAAGTGGCACTCGCAAAATGAAAAGACACATAGGCAGGACGGGCGCTAGTGTCCGTTCCTGGTGTGAATGTTGCTTTGCGCCTGTTAACATGCCTTAAGTTCAGCTACCACAAACTAGCCCAAATTTCTGCATTCACATGTTGCATTCGGAGCTTGGTCTATGCGGCAGCTTGTCACTTCATTCAATGTGCTGCAATCTTTGCTGCTAATCTGAGCAATCGAAAGGCTGTCGCATTGGTAGGGGTGGAAAAATGTTGAAAATGTTCGATTTCGAAGCAAGTTCTAGTGCTGAAAATGAAGTATAAGTAAAGTTGAATATGTTGACAACAATTTACGAATCAACTGCAGTAGATTCTCAGTAAACGTAAATCTCTTAAACAAAGGGCTACCTAATGAAACTTCCTCCGAAAAGATTGCTTTCATACTTTCATTCTGTGCCCTCGTTCATCTCTCAATAAATGGAGCTCCTGTCGAACGGAGTGCACGTAGGTCTTTGTGAACTTCAGTGATGCTAAACACAATGCTTTGAACTTTGAAGCTCCTTTGTTTCATTGATTTCTTTCAACTTTGTTTCATCACTGTATAGGAAGTTGAGGAATTGACCAGGAAACCCAACATCTCTGCTCCATCCAGTGCCGAAGTAAATGGGGTCAAGACGGCATCGTAAGTTTATTATAATTACGTGTTTGAATGTGTTCAGATAAGTTTAGTCACGCCACAGTTGCACTTGGGCTATATAATGGCAAATTGCACGCTTGTTTTTTTTTTTTTTTTTTTTACATGAGCCTGAAGTCTAAGTGAAAAATAAACTTCACTTTTGCTGTGTCCAGCCAAGTGTTCATTACTGAGTTACTTGTGTAAGTTGTTTGATGCTGTTTGTTGTTTTAAGTTAAGTTGTTATTAATGCTTTACTTCCCATAAAATGGTTGGAAAGAACATTTCAAAGTGGCAAGCTACCTTATTTTGTCAGTGCTTTTTGGAATCTACATTTAATAAACACAAGAAATACATCTAAAACAGTTTGCTTGTAGAGTATAGGAATGAAATATGAGTCAAAACAAAGTTGGCATTCCTGCACTGCTTGCAGAATTGGTAAACGAAATTGTGTTATTGTGTACAAGCACCCTCATTGCATGAAAAACGGAACCAGACACATGGTCTTGATCAATGAATCTTTTGAAAGAAAAACTGCAACAACCTGCCATAAACAGTTTTTCTAGTCTATGGTCATGGGCATGCAAAGTGTGTGGGCAGGCTGTGTCCTTGTATGGCAGGTAAAAAGTTGCAAACCTGAAATGAGTCGGGCCACTAGTACAGAAGTAATGATGTGGGTGGGTTATTCTGTTGGATCGCAGTCTTAGAAAAGAACGTGTAGTGGAAGAAAGACCGGATGGTGGCTGACGTGTCTGTGCCGTGCTCGCCAATTTATTAGAAGGCAAACGCTAAAGCGAAGAGGCAGCAGGCTGCAGTGTTCAGTCCGGTTTGGATAATAAGCTTTTCTGCTGGCTTGCCCCTTGAGGTCTCTGCAAGAGTTAACTCGTCGTGAGCGTGTGACAGTGTTACAGCGGTGTATGCATTGCAGGTCGTCGCTGGAAGCCGAGCACCAGGCCCTGCTCGAGTCCAGCAGGGCCCTGGAGGCTCAGCTGGCGAAGACGCGGGAGTTCCTCTCCACCAGCCGGGCCCGCTGCGGGGAATTGCAGCTGCAGCTGCGAAAGGTGAGGCGATGTAGGCTGGGGCTCAGCGGCATTTAGGGGGCACGCATTTCTTCAAATACCTTATTTGCTGACATATAGTGTAACAATGAATTGTTTGTTCTATGTTAGAGTACGCCGTGGTGATTTGGGACACCTCCATTTAATCTAGCATCAAATAATTAGAAAGAATACAGAAAAAAGCTACAAGATTCATTTACAACTCATTTGGTCGCAGCTGGATCAGCAAATCAATAAAAGAAAGGTAATTTGCCTCAGGCTACTGGAAGAAACTGTGTCTGTTGACCGAAGTTGCTTTATCAGTCGGTAAATGGTCATTACAAAACTAACTAATCACATATCTTGATTCCGTCTAGAGGTTACGCAACTAGAACCTGTCTGTCACAAACAATTAAGCCTTTAAAAGAAACAGTCAATTCTTTTAAATATTTTCTTTCTTTCCTCATACAATAAGCGATTGAAATAACCTGTCTAATGAGGCTATAATTCAAAAATACTTGTTATCGTTTCAAAAGCATTTGATTTGAAGTGTTCTGTATCCTGTTATGACTGCTTTGCCACTGTTTTGTTGCTCTTTTTGCCTAAATGTATATTTTTTTTTTTGTACCACTCTGCTGTGGCCTTCGACTGCAGCATATACAAGTAAACAAATAAATAAACTAATTTGGCAAAACTGGCTGAACCATGGATGAAGGGTAGTTGCGGGTCCAATGACAAAAATATTCGATGACGAATACATAGCGAGATGCATACATAAGTGCATATTTATGTTATGTCGAACCCTCTTATAAGAGACATGCACTGGAGAGCAATCTTTTTCTTTTTACATGAGATTTCTCTTATAAGTGGGGTACCATGTATGCATTTTCTTTTCAACACCTATTTTAAAGCAGGTATACTGACATCTCTTATACCGGTTTTTCTATTGCATCAGTGTCTCTTATTAAGGGGGTCAGCTTTATACGATGTAATATGCTTGACAGTACAAGAAAATGCAGCATGGCAACAAACATATTGAGTATTATTCATTTTTAGTGTAAACACTTCCAAGCACCAGTAAGGGTAACTAATATTTTCAAGTTAAAACATAGACTATATACATAAATGTACGAAAACACCAGATAGGAAAAATAATATTGTAAAGTTTCTCTAAGTTGCAATCACCATAAACAGTATTGCATCACAACCGTTCACATTATGTAGCTTTATTCAAGCTGGTAAAGTATATTTAGATGCAAATGAAAAATTATTTGTTTAATTTCTGCTGGGACTCTTTCAGTACTTTTGACCCATAAAATTTTAGAAAATGCTGCCCATAGTAGGAGGGAGATTGAAGTTTTTGAACGTTTGATTTCTGTTCTTTGTTTTTGGCGAAGGCTCCTGTCTTCCACCTCCACCCATCCCTCGTCTTGTCATTGAAGTGTTTACTCTGAGTTAAACTTCTGTGTGCTCTACTGCTTACTTGCTGATAGGTACTACGTTCTGCTGTGTTGCACACTCGATTTCCACTTGCAGCAGACGCCCTCTGATGACAGTAGAATGCAATTCTTCTGTACATAGTTCTTTGTTGACAGAAAATGATCCCATTGAAAATGATGCCAAAAGCTTGATGTGTAATCAGTTATTGATACTACTGCTTCATTGAGGCTATTGTAGTACTAGTGGGATGAAGAGCAGACTTATGGGAATCATTGCAGTGGTAGTGAACATATGTTTCTATGTAATGAACTCCAGGTTTCAATTCGTCTTGAAAAAAAATTGCAGCATATTCACATAGTGAATGATGATGAGTAGGGGTGAAGCGTCTGTCCGGGTGTCTGTCTATGTGTCTGTCCGTCCATGTGTCTGTCTGTGTGTCCGTCCATCCATGCGTTCATCCATCTGTTTGTCAGCCTGTGCGTTCGTCCGTCCGTTTGTCCCTGCTTCTGTTTGTCCGTCCGTGCGTCCATCCATGCATCCAACCAAGCACGATGCGGCAAGCGCACGATCCAGGAGAATGAAAAATAATAGGAGCGAGCACCCTTTTATGGCACTTGCACCCTGCTCAGCCTTATGCAGCCTGCACAGCAACCAATTGGAGAACAGCTGCACCTCCAACACCATCTAGCATACATTCACCCAACCGCCATATTGCTACGGGACAGTGCCATCTCTTAAATGATAAGGGAGATGCTACTGTGGTGGTACGCCGTATGGAGCGACGCCGATCGACGACCAACCAGGTTCGCCCCTAAAAGCTGTACATTATGATTTGCCATCTGCCTTTCTAGTTCCCACACGTGCCATGCGCAGCTAGTGGAACAATGATCTCCGAGTCCTGCACGATATTATTCTGGGGGTGCTCTCGCTTGGATTTGAATACTGTTGATTTAGAAGTGCTGCAGATCTACGCACAGGCAGATCACCTTCCTGCTGCTCCGCACACGTACTCGATAACTTCAATGCCATCGACGGCTCGCGATGACTGCGACACCACGAACCCACCACAAGCGGTGCACCTCACTATGTGAAAAGCACGTGCCACGGTTGTCCCGGCCTGATGTTTCCGCATTCATGGACCTGTGTACCTGTCCAAGCACACCAGACGTCCTACAATGCTGAGTTAGACATTGCGTCGACACTGCAATCGACTCCGTAAACACCAACTCACTACCAGCGTTAGCATCCACAGATCGCGACAGCTGACTCCTTCCCCATCGATCCCTGCAAGTCATCGTAGAACACGCTTGTGCATGGCCAGAGCACCCCGACGTCTACTTCTTCGTTTATTGTGATTCTCCCAGTGACGATCACCGGAATAATCATGAATACCCCGTGCCCTTTCATGTTGACGACCATGACTGTCAAATGGAAACTTCTTGACTATGACTCCATCTACATGGCGGGGGAGGGGGCCCTGTCACGTGCTGCCGTTGCTGACGCAGCGACGACAACGAAGTTCATGCAGGCGCAAGTCATGGAATAAAATTGTCGGTTTTTGTTATTCGATGCAGCAGCGTCCTTTTTTCTCTCCCTTTCTGCTACACCAACATTGAGGGACTGTGCACAGATAAGGGCATTGTGAATGAAGTACCCGGCAAAAGCGAATTGGAGGAATCGCATGGCGAGGGCGACGAAATGAAGCCAGTGCCCACAAGCGTGCTTGTAGCAATTGGCTACATGAATAGCCTCAGGCAGCTTCTATATGCCACGGGCCTCGGCGGAGAGCACGCTGCCGCTTTACATCAACTTGAGGCAATCCTTATCGCTTCTACTTTTCGAAACAAATGCATCACGGACTTTTTGGGGAGAAAAATGTGTGTTTTCACTCGCAACTTTTTTAAAGGTTGTGTTTCAATTACTACGAAATTCGGGATACAGTGAACGGATGTTGCGTCGCGCTCAGGTTTGTTATAAGCGGGCTCAACTGCATAACAAACTTGTTCTTGTGTTAGATGCGACATTGTTATAATGAGGTTAGAGTGTGTACCTATCTTGAGTGAGCTTCAGTGGTCTCTATATTTTTTTTTTCTGGCCCTTGTTTGCGCAATCTTCCTGTCCGCAGAAGGAAGACGAACTGGCCGAGTGCCAGATAGACGGCCGGGTGGCCAAGCGGGAAGCCAAGCGTCTGGAGGAGAGCGAGAGGCTGGCACGTGAGCACCGCGATCGTCTCCAGGAGGAGATGTCCGAGCTGCAGAAGCAGGCGGAGGAGATGAGGGCGAGGGTCACTCAGCTTGAGCACTCCCTGGCTGTAGCAGAGAGGGAGGCCACTTCAGCTAAGCTAGCTCACGAGGTATTCAAACTTTACATTTCAAGCTTGGTAAATAAGTACGTGTATGCGAACAGCAATCCTTGAGACCAAACTGAATACTGTATTTACTCGCGTAATCCTCGCACTCGCATAATTCTCGCACCCCCCACTTCGCCCAACAAAAATACGATTTCTTTTTTTCGTCGAGTAATTAGCGCACCCCCGAAAGCTGATGCAATAATGTCGTCTGCTCGTTCCAGCCACTGATGATGATAGCGCATACCATCTTTTAAGCATCAAGCGTACTATTGCACGGAGGTTCAATCCAATCTAAGCCAAGCCAAAGCGGCAAAGGTGTGGCAATTTGGGCTAGTTCGTATGACATGACGATAGTTATAGCGCGAAAACAGAAAAACGACAAAGAGCTCCCGTGTCCTTCTTGTCTCTTTGTCGTCGTTCTGTTCTCGTGCTATAAATATCGTGTTTTGTATGTTGTGTCGGTGATCTTGTCACGTAATGGGGCGATACTGAAGCAACACTGCTGCTTTCAAGTTGAAAGTGATAGATCATGCACTAAACAACGGCAACAGGGCCGCCAGTAGGCGCTTCAGAGTTTACGAGTTTTGTGTTCGCTACTGGTGACGACAGCTGAAAGCCACCAAGACGCGTTGGGCCTGCCGTGTGCCTAAAACTGGGATTGATGGTAAACTTTACTTCTCTAGAAGGAAACTGCGGACGATTCTGTTAAATAGCTATCAGCCCAATACTGACGTCCTACGTTTACCTTTTGAGGGCTCCTGTTGAGCGACGAATGCTACTGCTACGCCCGCAACGCTCACAAGCTTTGCTTATGGTATTCTAATTCTCGACTATTCGCTTGCACATTTTGTGTCTCAAATAAATCTTGCCTTGTGTTGAACCTGTGCTTTTATTGTTGAGGTAAGTTTTAATTAGTACTTCTCAAAACTTGCTGTTAGTTGCTGGTGTGAGAATCCCGATTTGCGGCCACTTCGTTTTCTTTTTTACTCTGTACGTTTTCGTGGAAAGTTTTCCCCGCGTAATACTCGCACCCCACAACTTTACATTGGTTTTCTGCCAAAAAAGTGCTAGGATTATGCGAGTAAATACGATATGCCAGAGTCAACTTGAACACTGCATATACATTAAAGGGACGTTAAAGGCAAATGATAAGTCTATGTTTATTGTTGAAATAGTGTCCAGAGACACCACATAGTGCTACTTTCGTGCGAAGAAAGTGCTTATTTTTAAATGAAATCAGTTAATCACGTTTTAGGGGTCGGTCCACATCGCGTTAGCGCGCTTCAAACCGCCTAAAAGCAGTCTTTCTGGCGTCACTGTTGCCGTGCCCAACGTTACCAGCCTTTACTGCACGGCGGCCATGACCACTACCAGCAGAGTGAAAGTAGGGGAAACCACAGCAGCAATAACGGCCATTGTACAATTTGCTGCTTGCTCGGTTCAACTGAGCCCCGCTGGATGGCACCACCTATCCAGCCCAACCAGGCGAAAACGAAACTTTTGAACCAGTGCGTCATTCCCCATAGTAATGGCAGGCAGTTCTTTTTTTCTATAAATTGAACAGAAATTGACAAGCAGCATTTTATTACATTTCTTAATGCACAATAGGTTTATTTTTTATTGCAGCTAGTTCAATTACTAATGATTAATTATTTTCGAACGCTCTCATGTCATTGGGATTCTTTCCAAAATGTCCCACTCATTGCGCATGTCGTGTGATACATTTAGCTTAATTTGTGGCTAAGTAGGGCTTTGCTGTTCATAATATTGCCATTTTAGACGTCATACATTGAGCTTTAACTCTGACATAAGTTGTTGTTCGCCTTTAGTGTCCCTTTAAATGTGAAGCTCCTAGCGTCCATGCTCTGTTTCATACATCAGATGCAACTCTGTTAAAGCTATGCAAAGAACATTGGTCAGCGAGATGTAAAACTCTGTGCATCTCACAGTTGCCTTCCGTCAATATAAATGCTCGTGCAAGCCTCTGCGATTGGCTCTAGCTGTGCGCTGCCACGGAATTACAGAGGCCAGGATACGAAAACAGAGATTCTAAATGATCCAGAAATATGGGTTTTTGTATTACAGGGGTTTATTTAAAAGGAAAAAAACATGGTTATTCGTTACTTAGCTTGAAGATGAAAATAGTAGAATCACGGGTGGTAAAATAATCGGGCTATTTTATAGTACAAACAGGCCTACTTCTAAAAGTCTCACTGCCTTCCGCAACAGTGCATCCGAGTATAGTTGATTGAATTTTGTCACGGCAGCATCAGTCTTGCTGAAGAATATGGGCCGATTCTAGAGACAATGAAAAGAAACAAGAAACGCAAAGTGTGGTGCTTATTGAACATGCGGACATCACGCATCATCGTCGAGTGACATCATTGCAGGAGTAAGTTCATCGTGTGACGTCATTTTTGGCACAGTGTCATGAGGTGATATCGTCCTGTGACAGTGACGTCATTTCTGGACCTTTGGCGTAATGACATCGTCGTGCTAAATCTGAATGGATGACATGTTCACATTATGTCACGTCCAGTGTGACCCCACCCGTAGGTCGCGTGCATGTTGGTACCATCAGACATCCAACACCGGATTTCATGCTTATTGTTCAAAAAGTTCACCTTCCAAAAGTTGCATATATTGTAGGCCCGTGTGGTTAGATTTGGGTGCACATTAAAGAACCTCTGGAGGTCGAAATTTCTGGAGCCCTCTACTACGGCATCTTTCATAATCATTTGGTGGTTTTGGGGCATTAAACCCCACATAACAATCAAAAGTTTCATATTCATGAGCCTGACTCGGGAATATGTAACAGATATTTAAAATTTTCTAGGAAAACTGAATGGCTTTATTGTTTGGCACAGATCATTTACGCACCAAAAAGGTGGTATATTAAAAGTTTTACTGAGATCAGTTCACATGGAAAAATCGTTGGAGTTGCTCCTAAAAAAAAAAATGCTATTTCTTAGCACTAATGTCTTGTGTTACTGCCAAACTGGTCGTATAATACGTTTGCCTGCTGTCAGATCTCGTATTATTAAGAAAACGTGTGCAATCTGCACGATGATGAGCCCACGTATTAACACGGCAACTTTTCACATTACTTTACCAACCCTGTGAAGGTCAAATGCGGGCGTGCAACCTTGTTTCGTTAAGCATCTTCACCTATTAGTTGACTGTGCGGGCAGTTCGGTGCTGTTGCAAGCTGTTCCAGTTTCAGGTTTATCACTTCCTTTGATCATGTGCACACATATTGTAGTATGCAAGAAGCGATTCCCAAAGAGCTCCCATTCACGAAGGGATAATGTTCTGAATTTCGAAGAGGAGCAAAAGAAAAAAATAGACATTTTGCTGAATCTCGCAGACAGGCAGTAGCATCCGGTCTTAGTCCTGGAATGTCTTCTTCTTCATTTTCATTTGTTTTTCTAATCTATATTTGACTGTTATTATATTTATGTATTTTACTAATTTATTCTGATACCTTCATTGTGGCAGGGCTTTGGGCTGGCAGAATAACTTTGAAGTTTATGTTCTCTCAATTTTATCTACCTCCCAAGTTTTGTAAGGCCTTGTTTTCTCCCTTCCCCTCTAACCCCTCCCTCATCATTGCAGACCGAAAAGGCAAAGCTGGAAGAACGCATTCAGATGCTGAGGGACAGTTGTGTTGTAGGTGGCACTTTGTATCGATTGCCTGCGCATGGGCTTGGCATCCTTTCTCAATTCTTGCTTTCTTCCTGGCTTCATTAGCACGCTCATCTTCTGATTTCCTTTCTCTCGCTTTATGTTATTAAATATGATCGTGCTGTGATGCAGAAGGTCTTGACTGGAGATCTTTAGTTGTTAGTATAAATGATTAATGACAGATGGCTGAGGGCCTACGCTGTATTGGAACTTCGTGTGAGATTTGCAGGTTTGATTATTTTTTTATGGCGGGTGCATTTCTTCAGAGGTTCACTGCGAGAGCACTTGCTTTGGGTGGACCATGTCTTGGGTGCACGTTCAAGATCCCTGAATGGTCACAATTAATCTTAGGCTTCCAGCAAAGTCAGCAGCTTTTGAAAGTTTGAACATCACTTTCTGGTTGTCGGTTGCCGCGCTATTACGTCTAAACTCAACAGTTGAACGGACTCGTTTTTAACGACTCATTAAACATTAGAGTGTATATCCACCACGCTTGTTCTCACTAATGCATGTAAGCATCAACGCTCGTGTTGTATGACATGTACACGCCACTTGTGTTATGGTGGAGACTTAATCTCACAAGTGTACAGTGCAATGTCTGAGGTACTTACACACCAAGTACAGTGTGGAAGCTGTCTTACATTAGTGTGAAATTGCACACCTGTTTAAATGATTGTAAAGTGATCAGCTTGACGTGACTTGATATTTAATTCGTACCATGGTGTCGAAAGTACTAATCAGCTACAGCTATCGCTTTTGTGCAACATATGCGTAATGCTAACCAGCTGGCTCTGGTGACAAGGTGGTGTTATTCAGTGTGCAGAGTCGCTAAACCTTTCAATACCAAATTTGAAGGCCAGTCCAATATGTGCAGTTGCAAATTCGCATGCTAGAAAGACATTCACAATTTGTTCTCACAGCGGTTGTCTCTTTCCATGCAAACTAAGCGCATTTCAATCTTCTTTTCCTATGCATTGCCTCAAGTTCTTTGTGGTGGTGGTTTCGTTTTCCACGCCTTGGCAATCACATGCTTTTAGCGCCTCCAACTTGCACAAAAGCTGCACACGCTTTGCCGGTAGTTAGGATGCCATGCAGGCGTGCATTTCCGGGATTGAATTTTTCACATCTCCGCAGTCGACGAAAGATCTCGAAGCCAAGTGCGTCTCCAAGGCCGACGAATGCCGCGAGCTGACAGTGAAATGCAAGGTATGTGGAACAGTGTTTTCTATTTTGCCAAAAGAAAGGTAATTGGGCACTTGGCTTAAAAGTGTTCACTGTAACAGCGCTACCCGAAACGACCGGGCCCGTACAATTATAATGTACGCTTTTGTGCGCGTCTAATGCTGTCATTCATTACATTACCAAGTAAAATTGCACACTCCCTGTTTGTTGACTTCATCCAAAATGATATATGTTTGATATTTCTCATTATAACTCTTAAATAGTGTTTTTCAACAATGCTTTGCCTTAAAATTTCTTTTGTAATAATGCTTGAGCTAGTATGGGATGGAAAATGTCAAAATAAGGGAAAAGCGTTAATGCCAGTGACATGCTTGTTTTCTGGGTATAGTAGTTTTAGAATAAGCAGTTTAAATAGTCGTTCATAATCGAGATGACTATTGTATGTACAGTCATCTCATGAAAACCTGAATTATGAGAAAGTTGTGGCTGAACCTCAACCATAAAATTTAGAATGTATGTTCTTTAGAACAAACCTTCTATCACATTTTGTTTCGCATGCTTGGAACAGTGCTTTTAAGATCTTGTTTGTAAAGTTATCAAAGATTGAACTTGAAGATTTATGTGGTGGCACTAGAGAAATACTACTCATAACTTTGCCAATGTCACTGTTTATGCTAAGCTATATCACCCTAATTTTCTCTGCAGACTTCTACTTATTGAAAAAAAAAAAAGTAAATGACTCACTTACCTTACCGAAAAAATGTCATTGAGCAAAGTTGTTGATTGCAGATTCAGCAAAGAATTAAGGAAATAAATGTAAGTAAACTGGCAGACGAAATCCGTTTTGCGTTGACCATATTTCAAAAGCAGCCATGTCTCCCATATCTCAGAGTTTCTTTGTGAGAACAATGCTCTCTAAAGTTTTGCTCTTTTCAGAAGTGATGTGGCAGGCTCATTTTTGCTTCTGTATGTTTTAATAACATTGTTAGAGCATTCAAATATGACTAATTTTATAAAAGCAATGAATGATAGGAAAAGCAAATCTCCATTTTCCTTGGTCTCATATGGTGAAAATGGCAAAATACATGTTATGAAGTGAACACCTCGTACTCTGTTAGGTAAAAAGTAAAGCATTAATCTCATATATATATATATATATATAGACAAGGAGGGGGAGATATTTTATGTCCACTAGGTGATTAACCCGACTTTTACTATATTACCCTGCCTGGCTTTTTTGTAGTTAACTTTGTTGTCGAGAATATAACGTTTTAAAAACGACTTTGAGCAAGAAAGGCTGATTGACCATGTTAACTTTTTTTTAAGGCCGGAACTTCTGGGACCCTCCACTACGGCGCCTCCCAAAATCGTAGGGTGATTTCGGGATGTTAAGCTCCACATATCAATCTATCAATTTTTTAAAGCCTTTTAAATATGTGAGCTGAGTTTTTCTGCACTGATGATATTTCTACTCGCTCATCTCTTGGTGTCCTCACCCTCCCACCCCCTCCTCTGTGCCGACGTTGTTACGACTGTGAGCAGCTCCTTTATGCCACAGCCTTGGTTCTGATGTTTTACTACTATATTTTTGTCTAGCATCGTCCCGCCTCTTGTCGTGTTTTGCCTGATTGATTACTGGAGGCATGGTTTTATTTTTCTGTTTTGAATACGTCTTGAAGGCTTTATTGAATGGTATTTCATTTTTCATGTCCTGTCTCGTTTTGCTCTGGGGTACTGCATGTATTTATTTGCAGGATGAGGGGCTTGTATCTTTTGTGTAAGTTAATTTTTCTTCTTGAGGTACTGTGGTTACGTTTATGTATTTAAGGCTACAAAGCATGAATTAAGTAGAGAGCATCCGATGGGGTAGGATGCAAGATATTTCCTTGCATTTTAATATTGCTAGCGCCGTCCAAACATTGGGACATCATGCAAAGAAAACAAAAGAACATTTGCTGTAGGCAAATGCAATAACTGCAGCATTTCTGAAAGGGAACAGATAACAAGTATGGTATGTGTGTATATTAAAAAATTCACACACATTCATCTTTTTCCTAATACATGGTTTGATGAAGCCCATACTTCATAACCTACTGACAGTGAATTTATTGATGACAGCATTTAAAATGTTTGGTTATCGTCTTATAGCCTTTGGTAGTCATATGTAACAAGTCTTGGAATTAACATTGCCTACTTACAATACAAGCCCAAACATTTCAGCACTTAGGCGTTAGATTAAATTAGCTGTGTTCTTTGCTCACTATATAGAAATGCAGCAGATTGTGAGTATGACTTTAAACTGTAACATTGAAGGGGGCTAAGTATATCTCAGTATAAAGTGCTCTTGATGCTGTCGTGCTATCAACCCGAAGTGCAATCTTTTTTAATATGTGTTCTGCCACCAGGAACGCATGCCAGCACAAGTTGGGGAGATGATGTCATCGCTTGCTACCTATTCTTGTAGCTCTTTAATTAGCTGTGTAGCTCGTGCAGTGAGATGTGAACCTCTTCTGGTGCCTGAAAAACAGTATGCAAATGTCTATATTTTGGAAATGGTGTACATTAGCATTTGCCAAAGAGAATGTGCAACTTGTAGTCATATACACTTTTTTGTACTCTTATACACACACAGAGTAGGTTAGCTTACATTATGCACGGCAGATAGCATAATCAAATACCTTTATCCTGTATCTGAATAGTTAATGGGGGGGTGCTTGCTTTTCTGTGTGCCGATACTGTATGCCTAGTGTTCCTCATGTCTGCCTTAGAAAACTGCTTTAAGGTGCTGACCAATATTTTATCGTGTATTTCTGTACCGAAATGGTGCCCGCTAATATTTTTTTTACTTCAGTTTTTGTGGATGCTTTTAAGCAATGCTTTTTATAGTGCAAGAGGATAGTGTATGTAGTTCCTGAGATTTCTTTTTGAGCATGAAGTTAAAATGCATGTAACTTGAACAATGAGGATCATGCTGTTGTTTGTACATTCATTACTATATTATTTCTGGTACCACCAGAGCTCTCGTATACAAGCCCTATTTTATTATTTGGGTTATTTCAAGAAGTTTATTGGGCTGGTGATTGCCTAGATATATGTTTGAATATATATTGTACAGCTTTTGTAGATAGAGCGATTTGCATATCTGATTTGCATGTCGAAGAGTTTCTACAGGTTTGGTTAGCCATTGCCCAAAATCTATTAAAGACTTTTCTAACATTCATCTTTATATTTTCAGTGCGATTATTGGCTATATAGGAAAATTATCTTTAATTGCTTTATTACCTATATACAACTCTAATTTCACTGCTTTTATACTTTGCTATGCTCATTAAAGGTCCTGAACATTTTTTTGTGACCTACTAGGACGCCAAATACAATGTCTTTGACAGGAGAACAACAGAACAAATACTAGCAGTAATAGAGGTTCTGACTGACAAGTTCACAAAAGTAGTTGTTTGGACATGTCGATATTAGGCAAAACTGGAAAGAAGTATCTACCACTTGCAAATAACATGTGAACTTTTGTAAAACAAAAGTTGCAATGGAACTCTCTTGCGCAGCTTTACTGCAAAAGGAATCGCCTCTGATGCACTGAAAAGCATCAAGAGGCTTACAGCGTCACTCCTTTAATCTTGTATGGAGAGAGAGCTCTGAGTAGTCAGCATTATTTTAATTGGTGCCGAACTGTTTACGTTGGGAACCCGGTTCGGTTCTCTGGTTTGGAATGACACGGGTCGTCGTCGTGCCTGCTAGTTCTTGGTGCTGTGCAAGTGTCCTCGTTTTAGTTGTGGTATTTTCATCTTTTTTTTTTCATGTTTATTTCACTTGGTTTTGCATGTATTCTTGTTTATCATTCCTTCTCTACCCCCGTCTCCCTTTTATTATTTGCTTTTCCAACCTCCCCCGTTCCAACCCCCACAACAACCACGGCCTCGCACGAGACAGGTGCTGCAACTGGAAGCACAGCGAGAGGCTGAAGTGCGCGCGCAGGTGCTGAACAGCTCCAAAGAGCTCGAAGAGGAGCTCAAGAGAGAGCAAGCCAAGAGTGAGAAGCTGCTCAAGGTGAGGCACGAAATTCATGCTACTCCTCCTTGCGTAAGCTTAGCTGGTAACAGTTCTGGGTTAACGAGCGAAATTTCAATCAAGTCTGTCGGAAAGTGAGTCGTTTTCGAAATGTGAGTGCTCATGAGTGGTGTGCTTGATCGGGCTGGTTGGTGCATAGCACGTGATAAAACAGTACGTAAGATGGGACGAGACGGAGACACACGCTAACAAGCAAAGCTTAGAAACAACAAGCAAAGCTTATTGTAAAACAGCTGCTATATACAGGAAGCAGGCATATGTGCAGAACAAAACATAAGATGCAATGCATATACATGTAATACAGGCCATACAATTATAAATCTGCTCGAGCACTCTATCAGGAAGCTGTCACAGTATTGCCCTTGAGATATCCAATTTCATTGCAGTGAAGGGAAATTGATGGCACGTTTATGCGAGAAGCACCATCCTGCTGAATTTGAAAAACTACTTCACTTCTTGCTTGCATTTCTCTGCAGTGCCCCAGTAACCACACGCTTATGTGGAACCGACTGACATCTGCAATTTTTTCAATGGTCAGCCAAATGAGGGCTCCTATCATAGATAGTAAGGTTCAACAGTTGGTGCTGTCATATCATGGTCCTTATCGAACTTGTTTCAGCATCACGTAGTGGCTATAATAGAAGAAATAGTCCCTGCAGAAGACACCGAAAGGGGTTAATTGTGTAACCTTGGGACAAATGTGCTTGCCTAGATTGGAACTTTTGCACCAATTAAGATGAGTACACATGTCGTAATGTTGGCTGCAGCAGAATGCATCTTTCATTCTACTTATGTTGACAATGTCAGGAAGAAGAGTGTAATGATAGTACGTAAAGCGTTGTGTTCACCGATAGCAAAGTGGTATGGTACAGGCACCCAAATCATTAAATATTGTGCTCAAGCAGCAGTTCTTTTTGCGTATCTTCGTCATATGACCGAAGCAAATTCCAAGAAGGGTGAGGACAAGTACATGCTCACAAGGCAATGTTTTGCAACTTGGTTCCATCATACTGCGTTGACAGACAAAAAAAGTTACCGTTGCGCATGATAATTAGATTCTGGCGGCGGTACACTTACCCATTGACCAATAATACCTCACTGTCTTTGCTTCTCAGCGGCAGAGTGCAGTGTTATCACTTCACTTACTGCTGAGCCCGACATTGTTAAAATCAATCCGAAGGCCTTCGTCCACCCCACAATTTTAAAGCCCCACGTTGGAAAAGGTCGCGAGCATGTCTGTGAAAGTGTAAAGGCACAGGTTTTAAAATTGTCCTTGTGTGGGGTTGCACGCTGCGACACCTAATGCATTAGCCACTTTGCGTGTCAGCGTTGTGCCTATAAAGAAATGAATGAGGGCATTTCACAGCTGATGAATGCTGAAATCAAGGTATGTGTATGTAGTAAATTTCAGTTTTGAAGGAAATAGTGATTTGGGTGAATAATTTGGATAATCGAATTGAAATAGTATGTATCAGATTTTAATTTTAAAAAATGAGCATATTTGTCATCACCCAAATAACTTACCCATTACTCTTTTTTTATTCGAACTAGGTTTGTGCAAATGCCTTTTTTTCTTTTGTTTAAAAAGTAGTTAAAGTAGCTTTGAATAGTTGCAGCATTAGACTTTTGGTAAAACACAATTTATAAAGTGTAAAATATAATACGTGCTAAACTTGCCATAAATGGAACATATAAGTCGGTATAAAAAGCCTTTAAGCTTGAATATGATGAATTGATGCGGGGGGCAATAACCTTGAACGTTCATTTATTTATTTTTTATTAAATACATACTGCGGACCACACTTCGGTCCAAGCAGGAGGGCATGGTGTAATGCAAAGAGAAATACAATACACGCAAAACAACAACAAAAAAAAAACAGTGCACAGTTACTCAGTATCGCAAGTACTACATTCGATTGTCTGGTTCCAGTCTGAAATGGTGCGTGGAAAAAATGAAAATTTGAACATGTCCGTTCTCGCGAAGTACGGAGTTAGTGCATTTGGTTGGCGATGTCTTGTCGGTCTTGTGTTTAATGGAGAAAGAAAAGGGGTTGGATCAAGGGAAAGTTTGCGATTATATAAAAGAGACAGAAAATCAAGGCGGGACTTCTTTCTACGATCCTGAAGGGAAGGAATATTATTAGCTAGCATTAGGTCTGTGGGGGAGTCCGTTCGCAAAAACCTAGAATAAACAAACCGAATGGCCTTCCGCTGAATCCTTTCAAGTTTTTTAACGTTTTGTTTAGTATGGGGGTCCCACACGATACTCGCATACTCCAGCTTCGGCCTAACGAAAGTGAAATAACTAAGAAGCTTTACGTTTGGAGGGGAATTTCTGAGCTTATATCTTAGGAAGCATAATTTCCGAAAGGCAGACGAGCAAATATTATCTATGTGCATGTTCCATGATAAGTTGTTTGTTAGCGTAACGCCGAGGTACTTATAACTGTCAACCTGTGTGAGAGAAGACGATCCTAATTTATACACGTGTTCACTAGGGTTTTTCTTTCTCGTTACACAGAGATATACACTTCTTTCCAAATTTAATTCCATTCCCCATTCTACACACCACTCCCGCACGTTTTCAATGTTTTTCTCGAGTTCGTTCTGATCATTAGTACATGTGACTTCCCGAAACAAAACACAGTCGTCAGCAAACAATCGAATTTGAACAGTAGGGTCAACAACAGTTACTAAATCGTTAATATACAACAAAAAAAGCAATGGTTCCAAAACACTACCTTGTGGAACCCCAGAGGTGACAGGAAGACACCGAGATTCTTCTTCGTTAATTTTTACAAGCTGTTGGCGGTTGGATAGGTAGGCTGCAATCCAGGAAACAAAAATATCCGGAATGTGAATGTTTTTAAGTTTTGCTATTAATTTGTCGTGTGGTACCTTGTCGAAAGCTTTTTTGAAATCTAAAAATATAGCATCAATTTGGCCGTTATTGTCAAGACACGCTGCTAACGAATGAATTATTGTCACCAATTGGGTTGCCGTGGAATAACCTTTTCTAAAACCATGTTGAAAATTTCTTAGTACGGCATTTTCGTCTAGAAATTCAAAAATCTATTTGGAAATAATATGTTCAATGATCTTGCAGCATGGAGACGTTAAAGATATCGGACGGTAATTTTGAAAGCTGGACCGGTCACCTTTTTAAAAAACGGGAACAATCAGAGCCATCCTCCAATCACTCGGCAGCTTGCCAGTGGACAAAGAAGTACGAAATATTACTACAAGAAACTTAGCAAGTATTTCGGCATATCTGCGTAAAAAGGCGTTTGGAATCTGGTCTGCACCACATGAAGACTTGGTTTTCAAATTTAACAGCATAGATAGTACACCAGAGTACGATACAAAGTCAGCGTCATAAATGCCAGGATCTGATATTAACAGTGGATACGTTTGCGAAGGAGAAAACACACTGTGAAAATAATGATTAAAATATTTAGCAATGATTCCAGGGTCAGAAACGAGGTCACCATCGATTTTCATTTCCCTTACAGGCTGCTTTTTGTCAGTAATGTAATGCCAAAACTTATCAGGATCATTTTTTATGAAGTTTGGTAGGAGGGTTTGAAAGTAGTGGTCCTTTGAGCAGCGCACTGTGTTTTGCAAAGAATTTTTAATCTCACTGATAACGTCAGACTGTGCCTTCTTCTTCTTTAATCTTTTAAGTTTGCGTTTCAAGTGAATAATTTTGCGTGTTATCCAGGGTGTACACATGTGAATTTTTTCGCGCTTGCTCGGTATAAAGTTATCAAGGCAGTAATGGCACATGTCCTTGAACCGGTCCCATAGGTTGCAAATGTCATCACCATCAAAATTAGCAAGACATATTTCTAGATGGTCAAGTACAGATTTGTCATTAGCTCGTGAGTAATCTTTGAAGCGCCGTGTCGTCGACCTATCTTGGGAGCTTAACTTGAGAAGGGGTAAAGTAACGCATACTAAGTGGTGGTCAGATATCCCTGGTTCTATTGTAACAGAGTATCGATCAAAATTACGGGGAATAAATACAAGATCCAGAAGGGAACTACAAGGGCCCTGTACACGAGTTGGTTCGTTTACAACTTAGGTTATGTGTAAGCATGATATCAAACACTATGTTTGTGTGTTTCAAAAATTCTGAACCAGTCATCAATCGTTTCCAGTCAATTCCTGGAAGGTTAAAGTCCCCAATCTGAAAAACTTTGCTGTTCACATATTTCGACATGTGCTCTCGAAGTCTAGTTAGATATTCCTATGGGGAATCAGGAGGCCTGTAAAGCGCGTAAAGAATGAAAGAGTACCCCCAGCACAAAACCTTCATGCACAGGCATTCAAGTTCGTCGATATCAGGTAACAAAACGACCCGTATGTTGTTCTTCAAAAGAACAGCCACGCCCCCGCCTCTGGAAGCCCTGTCTTTACGTAAGATCTGATAGGATGCGGGAAAGACGCTGTCATCTGATATGTCGCTTCGGAGCCAAGTTTCTGTCACTACAACAATGTGCAGGTCATTTTGAAGCAAGATAATTTCAAGCTGGTCAGTTTTATTTATTAGACTACGAGCATTCAGGTTCAGCAGGCGCAGTTGCTTTTCTTTGGTTGGGTTCGCATTACTGTTAGGGGTGTTCCTGGTTTTTCGGTTGATTGGCCTTTTGGAAGTATTTTTGATCATGATGCGTTGTTTAATGCCTGAGCCTGTTGCCTCGTCTGTGGACGATTTGGCTTTCGTTCGCCGTTTTTTCGTAGGAGTAGGCGTTCACCTTTTCCGGTATCCCAAGTGTAAACGTTGCTATTGATGAATAGTTTGTCGAAAACTAGCGACACTTTTTTTTTTTTTTTTTTGCGGTTTGGTTTCGAACTTGCCCACAGTTTACGTCTGACATCTCGCACTCTACGGGAGAAATCTTCACCAATGGAGAAATCTGAACCTTTTAGCTTAGATCCTTGCTTAAGAATTGAGATCTTGTCGTGTGCGTCTTGCAGCTTAAAAATAACTGGTCTAACCTTGTTTGGTGCAGGCCTACCTATTCGATGGATGCACTCAATCCTAATTGGTTCAAGCTCCAATAAGTCTTGAATTACTTCTTTGTTGAGAACGTGTTCAAGTGTGTCACTGGTCTCATTGTCCCTTTCCGGTAAGCCGTACACTATAAGGTTTGATCTTCTACTATGGTTTTCAACCTGCTTTTCTAGTTGATGAATTACGGTGCTCATAGAAGCTATTTGAGTTTGGCAAGCAGCAATTTTGTTCTCTAAAATCGTCAAGGCGTCCAATTTTTTCTCTATATCGGTTAGTCGCTTTTCTTTTATGTCCTTTATGTCAGTAGCTATGCTCTCTAGTTGTTTAGCAATTTTAGCCAAATCAGGACCAGGATTGGTCTCAATGTCTCCGCCCAGAAGGAGCAGTTGTCGCAACAAGCCAGAAACATCATAAGACACACCAGAAGACCATGGGCACGGCAGCACAAGTAAGAACGGGTCGCCTGAGCGAAAGCATTTTCCGTAACGCCTGCTCACCTGCAGAAGGAAGACAAACGGATTTTCAGACCACCGCATACCGGCTGTGCCGCCGTGCCCAGTGGCCGAGGAGTGAACAGGACGCTCATATATAGCCGGAATCTGCAACGGCGCCGTCTAAACGGCTTCTGGTATCAGTGATGCCCACGTGGCTGATAGCTGTAGAGGCAGGTGGTCCGGGTGTGCAGTTGATGACCGGCAAGGAAAGATGAGGCTGGTCGCAGGGTGCGGCGCATGCGCATCTCCCACTCGCAGATCGAAAGGTTCGGCAAAAAGGGGGCCCAGCAATCCAAGGAACTGTAGAAGGAAGACAAACGGATTTTCAGACCACCGCATACCGGCTGTGCCACCGTGCCCAGTAACCTTTAAAAAAAAAAAAAAAAACCTTGGAAAAAAAAAACCTTGAAGGGGGCTTCGGGGCAGTGCAATTTTTTTTTTTTTTCAGACACGTGTATTCATGGTATAGCACTCCTTCACTGCAGTGAAACCACCTGTACCGGGGTGGTACATGCATTTTGTTTGTTTACTTATTCATATCGGACACTTCAAAATATAGAATAATTAAAATTTCTGCAGGCGTAAGTTACACTACTGTTATATTTGTTGGAATATTCAAAGTGCTAGAATAATCGCACATACCTACTGATGTCAAAAGACTTGACCATGGTGGAAAATTTGATGCATGTCCCTCATCTGAGTGTAGCACTGTGCAGTGTTTGACCTTTTTAGAAGTCTCTTTCGTCCGTCCCTTTTCATTTCCATATGTGCCACGCTAACAAGAGCTAAGTTCATGGATAACCAACTCGGTCAAACCACAACACTTTTGAACTAAAATTACACATTTTAATGCTGAAAAAATTTTTCATTTGCTCTGCACAGTGTAGTGTCTTAAGGGCACCTTTGTTACGGAAGTCTAAAAATAGTTATTTAACAGAAATCTGTCTTGCTGGGTCGTTACAAGGGTCCTTAAACCAAGTTTTGCTTCTGGTTTTTAATTTTAAAAACTGGCCCTACATATCAAGACCTGTTCGGTTTCTTTTTCGAAGGGTTACTGTCTGGTCTATTCGGTAACTCCTAAGTGAGCATTTTTTTTTAGTGATCTTGATCAATGCTCTGTCTTCTCTCTTTATTCCCCACATTTAGGCTTCTACAGATATATTCTTTAGTTTTTGAAATTAAAAATAAAAAACTAAATGTGGTTGAATAGTTATTTTTATTCTCATTGAAATATGCAGTGTTTCTTACCATGGTGCGTCATACTACGCTTCGATGTTTCAGAAAATGTCTCATACAGCAATGCTTGTAGCCCATGGAATCTTTGTTAGTAATGTTATTACTTCGTCATGTTAATGTTCAGAGGGCAATGTGTACTGCTCTGTAGTCTTTTGCTCTGTAGTTGCAGTGTGTGTGCTGCTCTGTAGTCATCACCTGAATTTTCGCCCACCTTTCTTAGTCTTATGTTAATCAGTAGATTCATCTCTGTTCAATGTTTCTTTTTCTTGCAGACGCTTGAAATGCTGAAGGAAACCTGTGAGGAGTTGGACAAGCAGGTGGTCAGCTATGAAAAAGAGCTGTCATTGGCTGACAGCAAGAATCAAGAGTTTGAGGCTCAATGGTGATTGTGCTTTTTGTTTCCCAACCGTTCGCTCATTTCAGCCGAGCTGCTGGTAGTTTTCAGTCGCGGTTGACCTGCTTATTTCATTTTGTTTTTTTTGAGGTGTACAGTGCTCACAGAATGAAACTCGTCATCAGAACTAAGTTTAAAAAAGACACAAATGCCTAATGTAACCGTGATGCATTACTACGAATCTTACCGGTAAAGGTGATTTCAGATCTGATGCAAGCCGAGATTACACCGATATGACACGAATTCCAGATGGTGGAAACAAATTTGTATATGCATTGGTTAGCCCTAACTTGATGCCTTTTATTTCATAAGCAGCAATGTATGCGCACAGTGATCAAAAGACTTTCATCCATTAGTCGAAGTAGTTGCGAGCCAGTATTCATGTACATCTTTTAGCAGTTAAAGGTGAATGTAAATATTTGATGTTTACTCCAGTTACAATGCATGAAACCAATATGTGTACATAAGTGGCAAGAACATTGAAGTGATGGGACGTAAACGACTTCTGTCCCCAGAAGAGAGCATGCCACATATGTTAAAGAAAATTAGTGCAGCTCTTAAGGGCAATATCGCGAGTGAAAATGGAGAAGACTGGTTGGTGCTTTGCACAGTTTTGGTGCATAGGATCTCTGATAAGTGAAATATTTATTAGTGCATGCAGAGCTGTTTACCATTTCTTAGTTGTGAAGGCCTTCTAAATGGAAGTTATGTATTGCTGCTACCTACTTTTAACAAACGTTGTGTTTGTTTTTGTTACACTAATGTTGAAGTTATGAGTTTCTTGCTTTGAAAAATCTCAGGGTGTCTTATGTGATACATTTGAGAATTAGATGATCAAGCCTGGCTGCTGCTGAATTTCATTTAAGAATGAACAGGTATTATTGTTCATTACCTTGTGAAGATGATGGGGAAACACTTGTATGGGGCATAATGACCTGCACAAATGGTTCAATACAGCGAAGGTCGTTTGCTGATGTTATCGCTTCTGTCTGATGTGATGAAGTAGTGCCCATCACTGGCTAGTTTGATTACCAAAATTTGGGAATGAAAAAAAAAAAAAAAAGCCAGAAGCACACTCTTGATACATGAATGCTCTCAGTAACTTGAAACTTTCAGGTGCACTGTTAATTTTTTCTGTCCGCAGTGAAGTGCTCAAGCACTCACAAAAAACTCTGTACTGCAACTATACTTAAACACCAGATATAACGAAATAATGGTTATAATGAAGTAAATGAAAAATAGTATTACCACAGTCCCTCAATACTTTTTACTGGTCATGAAACTCCCGCGAAAGTTTCATATAGGGACAAAAGTGGCCACCAGAGGCGCCACCGTATACAGGAGGGCATTGATCTGCCGCGCTTGGTAGGGCAGGTGCGCGTTCGCAGAAGCGTTTGCCGTCAAATACACTTCTTCTAAATATTTTCCTTCTCCATGTTCTCGCTAACAAATCATAGCAGTGATTAGTATTATCAATATTGTACATGATGCGCGATGTCAAATTGCCCAAGTCATTGATTGCTGGCAATGTTTTGACTGAGAGTATCTGTCAAGTGACGGATGCGTTCGTGACATTTTTTACATTTCTCGATTTCTGTATAGTCGCTTTCAGGCTTAAACCGAACACTTTCTTTTCTTTGTCCACTTAGATATCTCTTTCAATTTTTTTCAGCTTTTTATGTGCGAAATATTTTTGCCTAACGGAGATAAATTTGTGTGCCACTTACCTAGCAGTGGGTAGCATTTTGAACTTTGCAACAACGCTGCGCCTTGCAAGAAAATGTGGGTGAAATTCTCGGCATATTTTTTTGCTGCAATTACTGGCAATTGTCAAGAATTCCAAACTGCCATGAGCACAGGTACATAGAGTTTATTTAAATCTGCATGGATGAAACTGTGGATGAAAAGTTGGGAGATAGAGTGAATGACACAAAAAAGATCACTGAAAAAAAGAAAATTTATGCCCCTGGTTTTCTCCCTCCTCTGGCCAGACAGGATGGGCGACCACCAGCACGAAACAGTTTGTTTTGTTCGCGCGTAAAAAAGTGCAGACGGCACTTAATAAAGTGCACAACTTCTGCCGTGGTGCTCACAAAATGTGTTCCACGGCCAGCACTGGCCGAGGAAGTGCGGTCGTCCAGCAAGATGTTTTCAACAATGTTCATGTAGACATTGGCACAGGCTATATTGTCTATGGTGCGCATTTCAACATGTTCCTCCACAATTTGCAAGAGGCGCAATAGTTGCTCCGATGGCACTTGCAAAAATCCTCTCGTCTTAATTGCAGTCAATGCAGTTGGCTCTCGGGAGTTGCTTCTAAGTGTTTGGAGGCAGTCCTTGCAGCTTATTTTAGCAAACTTCTTTCCAACATAGCTGCCAAGGTAATCCAAAATGCAGTCCCTCGTTGACTCCGGATGAATCATATCTTGTATGCATTCAGCAGGCTCCAGCAGTATATCATCAAAAAGAACCGCCAAGGTATGAATCTGAAACGTAAATATTTTTTCATGCCACAATGGCAAGAGTGAGAAATTTGAAAAGTAAAAAAGCAGAATATAAGCTCGTTGTATATCATACGACCAGACGTGCATGTCATTAGCATCAAAGGGCTAGACAACATTCAGCACATTTCCTTACGATGGAGAGACACCCTACAAGCAGCGTTGGTGTGCTATTAAAATGTTTACCTGATTAACAGTAGGTTCTTTATGTTGAAAGAGATCCTACATTTTTAAAAGGAGACGTGGACCATCCCCTTCAACTGAGGCTCGCTGTGGCGGACGGATCAAGTTGTTCACCGAGAGCAACCGGTAAATGAACAAAAATTGCTGAACCATTGGCTGTCCCCCTGCTCCAGCAACATGCCTAGCTATGCCAAAAAACCTCTGAAAGAGAGAAAAGTGCAAAGAAAATGTCTTCAACTAGCGAAAACGTTTAAATTTACCTCGAGGTGGTCTTGTCCAAAGTTTCCAACTAAAACGTAGCGAAAGCCACATTTCAGCAGCTTTTCGACAAGCGTTACTGTGCTGTGCAAAAGTCATTCTCAGAGCATTGCATGTTGGCTTGCTCAGAAAGAAGAGTTGCTTTTGCTTTGGTAAACTCTGGTTGTAAGTGTGCCACCTGTCAAGCCACTCGATGTTCTCCTTCAGTGTCTGAAAAACAATCTGATTTAATTGGAACTTCAAAGGGAGCGACCATAGCTTTGAAATATTAGGGCTTACAGCAATGTGTTCTGCTTCATTATACTGCACATCTTGTGGACTCTTGGAATTTAAGCAGTCGAATAGAATATTGAGCTCTTTCACTGAAGAGCTGAAAGATTTTAGAGAAGTTATATGGCAGGGTGCTGTATTTTCATGAAGGAACAGCACTTTTTGATACATACTAATAATTAATGACACATGCTAGAGCAGACTTGCCTGGACAGCAAGTTTCACACTCAGTTTTTGGAAAGCGTTGGGCCTGATGTGTGCTTTCGTAAGCTTTGGCACAGCCCGAAGTCCAGCTTGCTGCTCCTCGTAGTCTAGCAGAGCTTCAAAGTGGAAATGCTGTACTTCTTTGTCACCAGGCAACTGTTACATTAAGAAAAAGCCTGTGAGACAGAACAGCCAGAGCACTGTGATGACTTATCTTAAACTGTGTTTTACCCACCAGGAATTTTCCAGCCTTCAGAAGGTTATTCCTGATGCCCTTGAAGATGTGAGGTGGGTCAATTATGACCTGAATGACTTCGGAGGAGTCACATGGATGCTCAAATGACGTTGATACTCTGGCGATATCGCCGCTGACACCTAAAAGGAAGACATTTCTATTATTAAGATCACGTACTAGATACCATGAGGATAAATAATGTCTATAAACATTTACCCAAAGAGTTCAATGCTGAACGGTTCGAAGTAGAGTTATCGCAAATGACTGCATCCACAACGACACCGGCATTCGACAGGAGTACAATGCAATGCAGGAGCAGTTTAGCAATAGCGGAGCCTGGTGCAGCCCCTGACGTGCAAAACGCTCCGACAGTCTGCGACCAGCCACCGAGGAATGGTCGGAAAAGGAACACTAACACATGGTCACCATCTTTCACTTGGTCCGTAGGCTTCGTGTGCTCAGCTAAGTCGACCTTTCCAAGCAGTGTCATATCCTATTCCATTACATGAAGGCTCCTTCTCACGCTCATCTCGTCAAACATCAGGACCCCTAAAGAAAAAAACTATTATTTCAGCTGTTTACCTAAAGTTCAGAAAAATCAAATGCAAAAAAATAAAAATTGATACCTCGGCGTTCTCTCTCTGGAATATTTCCCACTTTGTCTTTGAGGATGGCAAATAAATTTTCATCAAATCCCAAGCCGGCCTTCAGATTTTTTAGGTAGGAGTAGAGTGTGCGAGAGTGTGGTAGAGGCAGAAAATTATTCTCGTGAAGAAATGTATAAACTGCTGTCGATTTGATTTTCAGCAGTAAACAGTCGTCAAGCCATTCTTTTTTATACTCGCAATAAATAAAATGCAGATTTTTGTGTTCACGATTCAGCGACAGCACCAGCAAACAGCACTATCAAAGTAAAACAAAATATTGCATTTTGGTCCACGGCATCACTTTTCAATTTCTATCATTATTCAGAAAGAAAACGCGCACACTCCGAAAACCGCACTTCACATAAAACTCCAAACACACTTCACAAACGGGATCTTACCGTGCTGCTTTCGTAGACTTCATATTTGCCTTCATGATGCACTGGTCTATAATGAGCTTCTCGCGGTCTGACAGCTTGTGAATATCTCCGTAGCATTCCACCTTTTTTATTCGCGTGCGCCTCCGCTTTTGCGAGTTTCCGCTGGCATGATTGAAGCTGTTGCTTCACGCTGCGAAGTTGCGCCTTCACTCTCTGCAGCTCCGATGCTGAACAAACTGGGACCTCTGTTTGACACTCTGCATCAGCAAAGCCTGGGCGATTCTCAGTTCTTACAACATCTGCAAAGACTGACAAAGAGCAAATTTCATAAGGGAAGGAGCCAATTTTGTTAGCGTATAGTGAGCGAAATTTGTTAGCGTAGTGAGCGGTTAGGATACTTGCAAGCTTTGTACCAGACTTACCGTCGATTTCTTCGTCGGCTGCAGTGGAGACGTCCGCATTCGCAACTGTCGCATTGCAGTCTGGAGAAAGCTCTCGCGGCCTTTTTACAGGTAGGCGCTTTGTTAGTCCACGCAAACGCTGTTTTGGTTTGGAGAGGTAAGCAGGCAAACCTTAGAAAATTCTTGGCGCGGCGCCTTCCACCAGTCTTGGCCGATCTCGAAGCAGTGAAACGATGTTCCCATTCACTGTACACACGTCCGCACGTACGATGTCACTTGCATCGCAATGTTTTTCACACACGCGAACATACTTCGAGTCGAACGAAAATCCGACAGTCTCCTGTCGCGGGACTGCACGTTTCCACCTGGCGTGTTGTTCTGCGTCGGCTGGTAAACAGAACGGGGAGACTTTTTCGACGTTGCCCTTGTATCCCGAGCGACAGCCCGGCACACAGCAGGTATTGGGCATCGCGGTCACGACGAGGTGACCGCGAAAAGAGAAAAAAAAAGGTGCAAGCAGCACAAACAACACCACTCCGCGCTCACACTCGGCTAATGGCGGCCAGCAGCAGGCGGCTTCCTCGTCCCCCTTGTAGCTACGCCAGCGCCACGGCGCGGAAAGTGCGGGCGGTATATGAAGTTCTCCCATTGAGTTACGCGGGAGCTTCATGACCAGTAAAAGTATTGAGGGACCATGGTATTACAATAGATATAGGGTTAGTGGTATACAGTCTAGCCCGCTTATAACGAACCTGAGCATGATGCGGCATCCGTTGCCTGTATCCCGAAGTTCATAGTAAATGAAACAAAGCTTTTAAAAAAAGTTGCAAGTAAAAACACAAACTTTTTTGCCCCAAAAAGTCCATTATGCACGTGTTTCGAATAGCAGAAGTGATAAGGGCGGTCTCAAGTTCATTTAAAACGGCAGGCTGCTCGTTCGCCGAGGCCCGTGGCATAAGCTGCATGAGGCACTGGCTCCAAAGTTTCGTCGTTCTCGCAATCCGATTCCTCCAAATCGCTCTTGCCACGTATATCATTCACAATGCCCCAATCTGTGCACGGTTCCACAGTGCCGGCATCATCCGCCGTTATTAAACCATCGCAACAGATGTCCCACCCGCTCTCCCAGGTCGGAGTCGACGACGCGCTGCCTCAAATCGCCCCCGCAGTGATCCTATTCGGAAGCTTCAGGCTCGGCATCGGGCCCAACTGTCGACGAATTTGGCCTCGCGAAAACAGTTTCGCGCACATGTAGCCGTCACCGCCGCCCACAAAATATTCACCATCTCCACAGCTGAATACCGGGACGCCTGAAGCGACAAGTTGGCTGCCAGCTGGTCAACAGCTATGAGCAAGTGCTCCGCAATGCGGCACCTAACGCGCTGATTACGCTCAAGCCAAGCAGTCACACTTTCGACGTTTTGTTGAGCGGCACGAAAAAGTGGGCTAGTCCTCCGGTCGGCCATCATGACCACACACTGCACACCAAGAGCGAGCAAGACGCGCACTCGCGACACACATGCCAGAACGCATGGAACAGTTCTGGGCCCGTTTCAGTCAGAAAACGAAACTAATTCCAGCCAGCATGACAGGCGTCGCGGAGCGGTTGAGACATGCGAAGGGGTTGTGATCAAGAGAGGAGAGCAGACTTGCGAGAGAAGGGCAAGGAGTTGCGATAAAGAGAGGGGCGGATGTGACGGGAGGGCGACCTTGAAAACCGAAACACACTGGAAGGAGGCAGGTTGGGTAGCTTGCTTGGAAAGTCCACGAAACTCGCAGGTTGAAAAACTTGAAAAGATTGCCTGCGCGCGCAGAAGTCAAAGCATGGCTGCCTTGATCGGTGCGTGCGGCGGTGTTCGAAGAATCGGCGGCTGTGGTAAAAAAATCGTTTTGCTGCGCTGGCGGGTTTGCGTGGCCTCACAAACTTTGATATTTCGCAATTCGTTCCATTGCAAATTAACAGCTGTTTTCGCACTTGCGCAAGCGCGCGGAAGCCATACTGAGTTGAGTGCGAAGTGAGCGAGAACAAGTCCTTAACACGAAACGAATCGCAAATTATCAGAGTCGGTGGGGTAACATACGCGCGTGCACTAGACGCAGACTATCGGATACAGTCGGTGGCCGACGATGTTGGCAAATGGTCTGGTCACTCCAGGCGTGCGACGCCGACAGTACCAGCGATCAAAAACAGGGTAGATGGCCGACCGATTTTCGAAAGATCGGTGGCAGTGTGAAAACACGAGCCTTGTCTGGCAATGCGGGGTGCTCAGAGTAGCGGGGAGGGCAAAGGATGGAGGGGTGCGTAGCAAAAAGCGGTCGGGGAATGCTGCAACTAGAGGAGCGCTGAGGCAGAATCGGCGTTTTTCAATAAGAATGTATGGGCACCTCGCCGATGCCTGATCGGTGGTCGAAATTGGTTTCCCGGGAAGTCGGCAGACTGCTGACTCCATTCGCTGTAACCGATCAGCGGCGCTCGGAGACGTTCTGTGTAAGTGTGATCTTGTGCCATTGAACCAATGTTTATTTTCACAATCTCACGAATATTATTCGTTTTAAGCAAAAGTTTCTTTTAAATGGGGCCATTATTAGTGGGCTCGACTGTACCTTTATAACAAATTATTGGATATAACAAACTTATTTTTGTGCAAGATGCAACTTGTTTTAACGAGGTTTAAGCGTAGTGTTTCGAAGGGCCGAAAAGAAGTGTGGCGATAAATAGCTTGGCCAGCTGCAGATTGTTCTAGGAAAGCAGTCGCTTCAGAATCGGGCTGCTTCAGCATAGAATAGTTAGCAATGTGCACAGTGTTGCTAACAGTTGGCTTTGTGGCAGGGCGGCACACAAGGAAACTGTGGACAAACTCAACAAGAAGATCTTTGAGCTCAAGGAAGCCCTGTTGCTGGAGAAGACTAGCAAGTACGTCGTGCACCTATTGCGTTCTTGTTTACTGATGCCTTTCTTTCTTTCTCTGATTGCGTTTGTCGTGCTTCGTCTATTAACATGAGGACGCTACTATAGTATTTATTCAGATTCTCGCAATTTGAATTTTGCTTCTGTGAGAAATTTGACTTCTTGCAAAGCAGAGGGTCAGTTCTTGGAAATTTAGGTCTTTTTGTAAAGCGTGAACTAAATTTAGGGCTACATATTCCCACCCATCAAACTTGCTGGGGTAGTGGTGTGTTTACCCTTTTGGTTTATTAATCTTTGTTTTTTTAAGTATCATGAACTCCCTCCAATGTAATAGCTCCACTGGTACTCATTCATCACTGTCCTTCTTTGTACTTCTCTTCGTTCTCGCTATGTTTCATACCATGTATCCGCTGCATCGATTTACAATTTGCTTGTTGGTATTCTAACTAAGAAAGCATCTTGGTGCTTGCGACGTGACCAGTATGTTATGTTGACCACATGATGCATTATCGCGTCGGATTGTAGTCTTCCTCATTCTGCCCTTGTCTGCTGGTGGTGAGATAATTTTTGAAGATGCATTCTTATCCCCAACAGGCGCAAATTACAATATTGACCTGGTTCAAATGTGTCAAATTTATGTAAGATAACTAAAAAGATTAGTATTACATTCCAAGAAAGAAAATAATTGTGTTGTTTTTAGGAAGCATTGAAAATAAATTTAAGTTAGTATGAATGTAAATACTTATTTATTCTAGAGTCACTTGTGCTTCATTATGAATCTTTAGATCAAAATATATTAATCGTAGGCTCAGAATGCATATGCAATATCTTTTTGGATGTATTCATTTAGACTGCTTAAAATTCTAGTGCTTTTATTGGAGTGGTCGCTTGCAGTCGTGTGCAGCACATTGTGGTGAATAAAAAATGCATCGGTTTTGCTGGAGGTCCAATTCATCCTGTGTGCATTGTATCTTGCTCTGTCTTTGCCACCAACTCAAAGAACTTACAAACAAGTTGTGTCTACTTATATAGATGTTTGGCATCAAGGAGGCTCTAAAATGGAGACCTTATTGAAATGAATCTATGCATACCCTATGTAGGCAACGGTTGGAGGAACAGCTCCAGGACCGTGCACAGGGGGAGAAAGAGGCTGAAGCGGCCCTGGAATCCGTGCAGGGCCATCTGCGCGAACGGGAGGCCCTGTTGCGGGAGCTGAGTGATCAGGTGGCTGACCTGAGACGTCAGCTGGGCACGTACGAGGCCTCGTCCAAGGCGTGGCAGCGCCGGGAAGCCGCCTATCAGCAGGAGGTTGTCGCCATCAAGGAAGAGGTACCGCCTGACGTTGGTGTAAAGCTTACTGATAGTGCTAACTAGGATTCAGGGAACTTCTTGCTGAGCCTGATGATTCATCCACAATCCTGTTGATAATAGAAACGTTACTTGCTGTCAAATATGAATGCTTCGTAACGCTACGTGGTAGGCCATAGTTAGCGCAAGAATCACAAGAAGTCGAATACAACTTCAGAAGTGTTTCCTCCTCAAACGTGCGTGCACGCCTGCACCAATGGGTGTGCACTTCATATTGACATCATCAGTGAGACGAGGCTGACTTAGGAGAGCATTGCCAAGTGCATATGTGGGACCATTTCTTTGTTGCAGGGGCAGTCAGCTGCCGTGCATTGGTTGTTGGGGGGGGGGGGGGGATGTACTTCTTAAAGGGACACTAAATGCAACCATTAAGTCGCCGTTGATTGTTAAAATAGCAGTCCAGAAACCTTGTAGTGTTACTTTTGTGCCAAGGTAGGGCCTATTTTGAAATAAAGTGACGTTTTAGTGGTCCGCATCGGGTTAGCGCACGTTAAATTACCTGCCTCAAGAAGCGGACCAACAGGACCGACTCACGTCACTGTTGCCGTGCACAACGTTGCCCAGCTTTACGGCACTAATAGCAACAGACTGAAAGCATCGGGAGCCACAGCAGCAACAACAGGCCATTGATCAGTTTCTCGCCATTGGCTTCGAAATTGCAAATGCTTTTCGGTTCTAACTGCGCCTCGCTAGATGGCACCACATGTCCCGTGTAACCACGCGAAATTGAACTTTTGAACCACTCGTGCCATTCCCCATAGTTACGTCCGGCAGTTCTTTTTTCTATTAATCAAACAGAAATGAACAAGCAGCATTTTATTGCGTCTCTTGATGCACGAAAGGTTCTTCATTTAGTGCAGCTAGATTGATTACTAGTGATTTATTGTAGGCAGTCCGTCTGATGTCATCGGAATCATTTTAAAAATGTCCTACTGCGGCGCATGTGTTCTTGTGCATTTACCTTAATTTCTCAGTAAGTAGGGCACTGTTGTTGATAATATTCTCGTTTTAGATGTTGTCACACATTGAGCTTTCACTCTGACCTAAATTGTCATTTGACTTTAGTGTCCCTTTAAGTTTTATCCGACTATAAAGGTATGGTGAGCAGAGCCTTTTACAATGTGCTGCTTCTATGTTCTAACTTCACATAACCCCTAGGAGTCTTAAAAACAATGGGGAATCAGTCCCCTATCTTTTCCTTCCAACTGCGGGTTGTGTTAGCTTGAAAAGTGGGCCTTCTCATACTTCCGTGCAATGAATGAGAATGTGGTCGATGCACTATGCAGTTGTCCATATTAGCTCACTCATACAAGCTTTTTCTTGCATCCACAGTTTAGAACTAAAAGGGTGCTGTGGGATCTTTCACATTAAATAGACAGTGGAGACAGGCAACTGAAGTTGAGGGCTACTGAGGAGGCTGGGAAACCGGCTTGGTCTATGAAGACGTACGCCTTGTCTTTACATGGGTATGGTGACTGTCACGCTCGTTCGTGTTCGTTAGGCCTCACTCTCATAATCACCTGCCACTCACGTCCAACCACCACACCGTCCGCGCACACACTGCCCGCACACAGGCCTGATGTCCACTGTTGCCACCATGCCCAGGGGACGCCACATACCCCCATCACTACCAATGGATGTCCTCACAGCCCGTTCCCCCCCTTGAAACGTGAAGCTTCCCCGCTGACCATGGAGGATGGTATTTGACGAGCTGGTCGGCATGGGCCTCGCCACAAGCTCTCCCAGTCTGTGGGTGGACGGGCTTGAAAGTGTTTGCACCATTACGTCTGCAGATGCAAAATGGACCATTTCGCCTTGGTGCCAGCTTCGATGAGATGCCTCTTGCAGCGTCACTGACTATGTGGGTTTCTCGCAGGACAAGGTCGCCTTCTTCCAATGCTGGTCGTAGTGCTGCTTCTGGGCACGTCAAGCATTCATGACCTCTACCAAATGGGACTGAAGTTCTGCTGCGAATGCGTGAGAAGATGATACCGCAGGCTCAGCGTCTTGCTTGTCTTCGGTGGGTTGCCAGAGTGTTCGGAGTTCACGGCCATAGCAGAGGAGGGCTGGGGTGTATCCAGTAGCAGCACTTACAGCGGTTCGCATTGCAAAAGCAATCTCGGGAATGTGTTGGTCCCAGTTTTTGTGCTCGTTGCAGTATGCACGAATGCACTGCTTCACGGTGCCATTGTGCCGCTCGACCATCTGTCCGGCTGGCCTGTAAGGCACCGTGTGGCGCTCCGAGATGCTCCATCGCCTAAGCAGGTTCTTCCATAATTTACTAACAAAGGGCTTCCCATTATCGCTAGAAATAGCAGTAGGTACCCCGTCTCTGCAGATGAACTCTTCCACACGGCTGGCTATCTGCTGTGTTGTTGCTGCACGAAGAGGGAAGAGCTCAATGAATTTGGTAAATTTGTCAACAATGACCAGCAAGAGCTTGTGCCCCCGAGGGCTGGTAGGTAACGGCCCCATTAAGTCTATACTAAGTTCTTCCATTGGTGCTGCAGGCCATTGGCTTGCCATAAATCCTTGGGGTTTGCAACGCTGTGCTTTCGTCCTTTGACAGACTGAGCAACTGCGGACATACTTCGATGTGTCATTGCTCATGCCCAACCACACAAACTTGTCTCTGATGCACCGCAGTGTCTTGTAGAATCCTGCATGGGCACTTGTCGGGTAGGTCATGGGCCATCTGCAGGACCAAGGGGCGAAGGTGAGTAGGCAACCAGGCTACTGTACGGTCGCCGGGACATTGCACCAAAAGTCCTGATGGCTCTAGATGAGACGTGGATGCTAGGTCCTCCAGACGACGGGTTTCGGCAGTGCCTTTGTGCAGGCACTCTCCCTGGATAGTTCTCGTTATGTCACGCAAAAGAGCATCACGTTGTTGTTCCTGTGCTAGTTTTTTCGCACAGTTTATAACACTGAGGTTCTCAATGGTGGTTGGCAGGCAAGGTTTCAAACGTGACAGAGCCTTCGTCAGTGTCCAAGTTAAGTGGCAAAAGTCTCTCAGGCAGGCTTTCAGCTGCTGTCTTGGAGTTTGGCTGAACAGGTGCCCGGCTTAGGGCATCAGCAGGAATGTTGGCCTTACCACGACGGTGCTTAATTTTGCACTGAAACCCTTGAAGGCGTAGCACCCAGCGCCTGCACACGAGGAGATGCCTGCTCAGTGGTGAACATCCAAGCCAATGACGCATGATCACACTGCACTTCGAATTCTGTGAATTCCAAATAAGATCGGAATTTCTCTACAGCCCATACGACGGCCAAACACTCCCACTCCTGGACAGTGTAATTATGCTCCGCATCCGACAAGCCTCTGCTGATGAATGAAATTGGCTTCAAAATGTTATCCCGACGTTGCAGCAGCACTGCGGTGATACCAACACTGCTGGCATCTGTTTCAACTACAAATGGTGCATTGAGGTTTGGCAAGCTCAGAACTGCATCTGTTCCCAGCCTTGCTCGGAGAGTCGCAAATGACTGTTCTTCAATGCTCGTCCACTGCCATTTCTGTTGCGTCTTGAGCAAGTTGGTTAAGGGCTTAGCAGTGAGGGAAAATTGTGGAATAAAGTTCCTGTAATATCCAGCTAAGCCCAGAAATGCCTGCAGTTGCTTCATGTTAGATGGCCGTGGGTACTCCGCCACTGCACGCACCTGCTCTGGGTCTGGTCGGCACTCTCCTGGAGATACAACGTGACCAAGGAAGGTGAGGGATTGAGTGCATTGTTGTACTTTGGTTGGATTAATTGTAAGCCCTGCATTCTTGATGCATTCGAGGACTTCACGGACGTGTACCAGGTGTTGTTCTATTGTAGGAGAGTACACCAAAACATCATCAAGGAACGCCATGGCAAATTTGTGGTTTATGCCCTCAAGAACTCTGTCCATTAAAGCTTGGAATGTGGCTGGGCCTCCAGCCACACCAAACGGCATCCTTGTGAATTCGAAGGTGCCCCTATGACATATGAATGCAGTCTTCTCAACATCTTGTTCCCGCAGTGGAATTTGGAAGAACCCTTGGGAGAGGTCAAAGCTTGTAAACCATTGTGCATTACCTAGCTGAGCCAGGAGCCAATCAGTGCGAGGCATCGGGTACACTGGTACCCTTGTGCAGGAGTTCAAGCATCTGTAGTCGACAGCCACCCGGTAGCCTCCGGATTTCTTTCCCACCAGGACTGGTGCACTTGTCCAGCTGCTTATGCTCCGCCTGATTAGGCCTGCTTCTAGCATCTCGTCCAAGCAAGCATCCATGATGCATTGTTTTTTTGGATTGACTGGGCGCAGTTTCGTGCGCACTGGTGTGCTGTCACCTGTGTCGATAGAGTCCTCAATGAGTGTTGTACAACCAGGCAACTTTGTGAAGAGTGCCTCATATTCTCCCAGCAGGCCCCTGAACTCACTGCATCACTTCTGCTTGCTGTCCTGAGCCACTAATGGTGTTGCATGCCACAACGTCTGGCTGTTGCTCAAACAAGTTTCCAAGGCAATTGGCATCATCTACTGGATCTGGGGCAACCTTCCTGTCTCGTTTGGCAAATGGAACAACAAGCTGTGGCTCCATACCTATAGTCCACCCGCCCAAAGCTATGTGCAAGGACATGCCAGTGGCTGTAAGGAAGTCCCTTCCGAGCACAGCATCCTGGCACAGGTCAGGCAGACAAATAAATTTTTGAACCCGGTAGCCGCCATCCCACTCTATTTTGCATTTTGTAGCCTCGGAGCTCTGGGACCAACCTGATGCCAAGCGAAGTGTTCGAGTTTCGCGTTTCTTTTTTCCCCCCGAAGAGCATGCCTCACTAGTGGGTAGTGGACCAAGGAGTACTCACGCTGGACCTAGTGTCGAGCAATGCACGGAACGTCGTACTGCCGATTCGAACGTCCAAGAGCGGCTCCTTCCCTCCTCCGGCTGCAGATGCAACTTGCATAATAAAATTGCAGTACGAACCCGCCGAACCGGTGCCTACTGGCGCCCGTTTCCCGAGCACTGAGCCTGGAAGTGCCCTGGACGGCCGCACTGGAAGCAAACGGCATTGTCTTGGCGCGGTCTACTCGCACAGTTGGGTGCAATGTGGCCGACGCCGCCACATCGTCAGCAAACAACTTGGCTCGGGGCCCACTGAGGTCGACGCCCTGCTGGTGGTCGGTACGTTGGTGCGCCGACAGATTGGGCCTGAATTATGGGCCACTGGTCTCGGTGGTATGACGGTTGCACTGCTGCGGGGTGGAGGGGCCACGCGCACCCAGGTGTCCAACCGGCATTCGGCGCGGAGACGACTGCTGCGGAGTGCTGGGGCACTGCGATTGCGTCAGGCATGCCATGCGCCGAATATGCCAAGTCGTGCGCGACCTGATTTGTTTAGAGTGGAGGAGGCCGATATTGTAGCCGGCGCCGCACTCGCTCCATCAGGCCATCGGCCGCATCCGCCAGGGCCTTCAAGCTTGAGAAGGTGGACCCCGCTACCAAGTGTTGCAGCTGGGGGGTGCATTTGGCGTAGCACTCTGTCGACCTTGACGTCGTCGGCAACCTCCTTTCCGATTCGGTCGTAGAACTCGGAAATGACATAAATTCTTTCAAGTTCTCCTTCGGGTGCTGAGTGCGTGCCTCCAACTCTTCCTTCAGGCGCTTCTTTTCGTCCGGCCGACGTGAATTCCCGTCGGAAAGCTGGTGACAAAGGCATCCCACGTAGCGAAGGGACCCACGAAACGATGCCACAATTTCGCGTTGCCGTCAAGCGCCGCGGTAACGACGCGGCGAACTCGGTCCTCCAGAGCTATGCCGTTAATCAGGCAAAAATTGTCCACTTTGCTGAGGAATTCCTACGGGTGTTGCAGATCCTGGAAGCCCGCGAACCTAGGCAACGTGGTCGCAATGGGCGCTGTCACCGCCGCCGACATTTGTGTAGCCGGCGGTCCAACAAAGGCCAGGTCGGCGCTCGTTGCCTCCGGGTGCCACAGGAGCGGCCATTAACGCCTGCCGCAGCTCAGATGCTATGCGCTCGCGTTCGATAGCCGATTCATTTGTCTGACGCAGCATAAACTGTACGAATTCATCGGGAATTTCAGTCGGTCCAATCCCGGACGAGCCCCCACTTGTCATGCTCGTTCGTGTTCGTTAGGCCTCACTCCCCGAATCACCCGCCACTCACGTCCAACCACCACACCGTCCGCGCACACACTGCCCGCACACAGGCCGGATGTCCACTGTTGCCACCACGCCCAGTGGGCGCGACATACCCCCATCACCACCAATAGATGTCCTCACATGACTTTCACATGCCTTTTTGTTTTCTGGCATTATGGACATTCCTTTTTCTTCCGGCATGGACATCCAGGAGTCACATTATGTTAACAACCGATAATGTCACATGATTGGCTTATTTCTCTGTAAAAGACATGCAAAGCTCACGGTACTCAATGCTGTACTCTATATATTGTTAAAAAATGGTATAAGTGGGTCCGACCGATGCGAAAGTTGCGAGTTTGGTTCCTGCTTGCATCTACTCGTTTTCTTGCCCAGATTTGTTTATTTTAGTCTGCCTAGTGTGCTTTTATTGAATTACCTGTTGACTTCGTATTGTTGTGTCTGGAAAAAATTATCCTCTCAATCAATTTCTCCACTTCTTGTTCTATGATGATGTTGTTGGGACACCACTGATAAGTACATGTGTTGCACTAAATACCAAATCATGTCATGTGTCTCTGCTTCAGCTGCCATTTGTTATTAGGTCGACCGGAGCAAATTCTGTTCTTCGGCAGGACCTTGACGTGTGTATGAGGCGCAGATCCGAAGCTTGGCATGTGAACCATATGCTTGTTTTTCAAGCTTCGGAATTTTAAATATTCGTGTTGTGGTCCACAGGTTTTATTTTGGGTCACTTATTTGAGCGTCTGTTATTTGCTTGTTCGGCCAACTGCCACTACTGCAGGCTTCCAAGCATATTACGACCATTGCGTCCCTGAAGGCCAGCAATCTCAAGTTAAGCCGAGACCTGGAAGATTTCGAGGCCACCCACAGGGAGACCATGCAGTACGTGGAGAAACTGGAGAGTGACATGGATGGACAGAAGGTGAGTTGGCACCCACTGTGCTGCCTTGTTTGCTCGAGCACGCGGGTCTTGGTAAATGGCAGCCGTGTTTCGATGGGGTTGTGAAATGGAAAAAACGTGTTTTACTTAGGTTGAAATACATCATGATGAACTCAAGGTCACCAAAATTATTTCTATATCTAACCCCTCACTGTGGCATGCCTCGTAACTGTGTATAATATTAATGGGAACCAATAACAATGCAAACCAACAATAATAATATGTCTCCAAGCCCTTAAATTTACACTTGTTCCCTTCGTAATTGTATATACCAGTTTTGACATGAGTTGGATCCATGACCCATCGGCTGAAGCTAGCCACCTGCGGGCATGAACTATTAGTGCAAAGACGGGACAGCAACTTAAGAACACGCAGACATCCTCGCATCTTGTTGTTCATCTTTGTATGTCACGATGACTCGCCATCTGCCTCGCACATGCGTCTTGTTTAAGAAATGATGTGAAAGTAACCATTGTGGGTAACCAGTGTGCCTAACCAATGTGGCAAGCCATTGTCCACATTTATAGGAGAAAGGCAATGAGTAAGTCGTGAGTGAAATGTCGGCTACAGCGACCAGCCTTGCCTTCGAACAGAGATGAACGGCGCATTGATGTCAGACAGTGATGAGAGGTGACGATGATGCCACACTTGCTGCACATGATTGCACGCTTATTGTACACTCTCTGTCCTCAAATTGACAATGTTCACAGAGGAAGCACTGTTGGTGGCTGTCCCGGGCTGCGACGAGGGGTTTTAGTATATATCTTGTGGGGCACGCCCTGGTGTCTTGCAACAAAACAAAGATCACAAAGACTCACAGGGTCCCTGTGAGACAACATGAAAGCGAAAGAGGTTTTCTTTTTCTTAGTGGATGTCTAAGGAAGCAGGATACACTGGTCGTGGATTCACGTGCCACTGCCAAGTGCCTGTCTTTGTTTTGTTTTGATGAGGTGGCTCGCTCTCGAACTTTGTTTGCCACCTAAAGGAGGGCGTCACAGCAGCATCGTGTGGCGTTACATCAAACAATGCCACTCCAGAATTTGTGACATCATGATAATGTGACGTCATGTGATAAGAGATGTTTACATCACTCATTCCTGGAACCGCAAGGCGGTCACCACTGACGGTTGAATTTCTGGTTGGATGAGCCATCTAAAGCTTTTTTCCTATTATTATACTATGTATATCTCTGTTTCTGTTACATTTTCTGTAACCCTGGACATAGCTGCCCTAAACCCTCGCCCTGGGTTTGACTTGTTCATTCTTTGCATGCTGCAGAGCTTTTCTGAGACGGAAATCATGAAGTTGAACCAGACCATCGCTCAGCAGTCGAAGCTGATCAACTTCCTCCAAGCCAAGGTTACCGAAATGGAGAAAAAGAAAAAGGTGAGGCCTAGCAGTTGGTGTTGAAGCACATTTTGTGGCACTTTCAATGTAAGAATGTACCCATTTTTCTAGCGCCTTAAACATTGTGTTACATAGCTAAGACTTGCGCAAAAAAATTTTTTAAAAAACATGTATGAGAATAGACAGACACCACGGGCACACACTCAACTCTGATTTATTGAAAACAATAGATGTGTTTTTTTTTTTTTTTTCACAAGTCTTAGCTATGAATCAGTACTAACTCGACCAACTTTCAATACTCTTGCTACAAATGTGTTCCATACTTTACGGCCTGAAGGTGGCCATACAGCATCTTTTGTTCTTTGTTTAAGGTATTGCGAAACTGCTGACAATCTTGCAAGGGCACAGAAAGGGAGTTTCATTTTTTAAGAAATCAAGAACTTTCAAAAATCAAGAAATTATTAAAAACCAGCATTGTCCTTCCCTAGACGGGTCATAAAAAATATGTATATTTACACTTTGATGTGTAAGTTTATCATACATGCTAGCTTAGGATACAATGGTATCGCTACAAAGAAAAACCACCGGGATATTCTTCTGCTGAGCGTGGTTAGTGCTTAGCACCCATCAGGTAGCTTATCATCGGTGACTGCTTAGCCAAAGCCCTGGTTGGCCTCACTCCTGACCCTGGTTGGCCTCACTTCAAAAGTGGCAGTATGCAGAGCGGCATGTGTGCTTAAATATATGTGCTCAATAAAGGACACTTGGTGGGCAAAATTACTTTAATCATACATCAAAAAATACCATCTGCCACCTCCCCATTTACTGTCTCTGCTTGGATAGCTTGTTCTATTTCAGGGATGGTTATCATTTCATGTTGTTTCTTTCTCGTCCATATGAAGTGTATGCTAGGCACACTAAAACAAAAATCTCTCCGAGGCTCACAACCTCTATCAACCAACCAATGTGAGCCAATGTAGCTTTATTAAAGCATCACTCTGTCCTTGATACAAGGGCAACTACCGCGTTTAGACGATTGTAGGTCGACTCGAATTGAAGTCCACCCACCGGAAATTACACAGCAAAAACAAAAAAGTGCATGAGAACATTCCATTGAAAATAATTTACAATGTCTCCGAAAAAAAAAAAAGAAAAGAAATCCAGTGTGCCGATTTGGCTTCATGGTAGTGCCAAAAAATTGTGCGGAAAAGCTTGTAAAATGCTTTGTAAAAATGCTTGGAGATCATTTTTAGAAACACTTTACAGCCTAAAGTAGTTTACTATTATAGGCCAACCTCTCAACTTTTGATCCCAAATTAAGACAAAGTAGGTTGACCCATTAATTCGGTATAATATGCAAAAACATATTAGTCTGATCTTGCTAAGTGTCTCTCTGTTTAAATGAAAAACAAAAGAAAACAGCCATTCAACCAAAGTTGCCAGACAGTGTGACACCCTTTTCTTTTCATCCATCTTTTCTTTTCCCAACCATATAAAGGCTAATTGGGTAAGTAAATCTTCAGTCTACAAACGGACTGATCACTCTGGCTGTCTTTTATGCCCTGTCACTATTGTCAACATCCCCTATTTGTACAGCACGGAGCTTCTGACACTGCACACCAGAGCCTATACAGTTTGCAGTGGTCGTATTTCAGTGGCTGCCTGGTCTTATTATTCTGAAGACGATGTAGATGTGTGGGCATGATTTACTCCCCCTACAAGCTGGGTATCGCACTTCAATCACAATAATCATAGGGGCATAGATGCAGTGTGACACCACACCTCCACCAAAGTAATCGAAGGGTATACTCGCAGATACAACATTTTTTGTATGGTTTCTGTGTTGCATGTGTTCGCTTTCTCAGAAATCTCGTCGTCATTCTTTTTTGTGGCACTTTGGCTGATGCGATGACATAAACATAGCATGTCACCGAGCAGTTAGAGTTAGCAGCTCAACTATGTAGTTGTACACCACTGTTTTACCAATCATAGCACGAATATGCCTTTACTGTTATCATAGTACAGCCATATATACGTTGATGCAATGAATTTTAAGTGAAGTAGTGGTGTGCAAAAATTTGAACATTTCAATAGTTTTCATATAGTTTTTGATATTATATTTAATTTTCACTGAAAATTCATGATTCAAGCTACCCCAACTCCCCAAATACAAATGCAGTCAACGTAGGATTAAAAGTGGCCCCTTCAGATTTTTAATATGCTTCACCTCACTACACTTTGTACAGCGGCAAAGCTACCTTTCAGGCTCCACTACGGGCGCAAGTGTAATGACCCAAAAAAACACTGGTTCCAAAAACATGGAGACGATAAACGCGGCAGAGGTGGGGGCTCAATTGATGCTGTATTGGACCTGAAATTCAGACAGGAAGTCCGCAAAAATCACACGCTGAAGATTTTTAGCTTCCAAATTTGTAGATGTTCTTATACAGTAGATTCTCGATGATACGATTACGTTTGATGCGAATTTCGCGATGATACGAATTTTAAGGTTGTTTTGAATAAACTATATTATATAAAATACACCGTGATTCGGTGTTATACGAATGGTTTCTCCAGCCACCGCGGATGATAAAAATGTCCGATTGACTGCTGCATGCCAGCGACGCAACGCAGCAAAAACATGCCGCGAGGCCCACGCAAAAAAATCGGTCCGAGACCAATTTTCCCGCCAGACAATAGCATAGTATTGCCTTTTTGCTTCATGGCTTTGGCTTCGCCGGCTGCTCTATCTCAAACCACGTAATGTCAACAATCAGCCGCAGATCATCACAGTGGCGAAGGCATCGGCAGTGGGTCATGTCGGCGCTATCGCGAACTACCCGCGCGGCACGTCAAAGCTTACGGCCTTGCCCCGCCGCGGTGGTCTAGTGGCTAAGGTACTCGGCTGCTGACCCGCAGGGCGCGGGTTCGAATCCCGGCTGCGGCGGCTGCATTTCCGATGGAGGCGGAAATGTTGTAGGCCCGTGTGCTCAGATTTGGGTGCACGTTAAAGAACCCCAGGTGGTCCAAATTTCCGGAGCCCTCCACTACGGCGTCTCTCATAATCATATGGTGGTTTTGGGACGTTAAACCCCACATATCAATCAATCAAGCTTACGGCCTTGACAAGGACGCGGTCATTAAGAGCCTGGTTTTGATTACGATCACTAACACCGGAAGTAGAAGAAAGTGCAGCAGCAGCGAGTCGGCTTGCCCGAACCTGTCTTGCTTTTGCACTGTTGGCTGAATTCGTCGCCACCGCTGTGTCCACTCGTGTCAAGTCTGCTGGCGTGTCTTCTAAAATAACGTTAGTAAAGGTGTAAACTGTTTTTTTTCACTGCCTTGTATGCATAATTATAAGTCGGTACGAACTTCAATGATCAGGAACCGGGCAAAATGGAATGAATTCTCAAGCGGCAATGGCGGCGGTGGGGGTGTCATGTTTACGAGGGGCAGAACGAATGTGAAAACGTTTTCGGCGGGCATGTGGTTTTCTGGCTGCACCGGCATTTTCGCTTGAATTCTCCAATGCAAATTCTCCAGGGCTCATTTTCTTTTCGTGTCAACTTCGCGACGCGGTTTTCTGGCTGCTTAGGCGGGGAAGCGAGTGAATTTCCGATGAGTTCGGCCGCTTTCGCTCGCTTTGATATCAACTGTGAACACGCTGCGCCAGCAGCATGAGCGAGGAAACCGCGGCACTTAATTAAGAGATGGTGAAGGCAAGAAAGTTCAAAAGACTATCACAGACATTTTTTCAGCAAGGTGTACTAGCCAACGAAGTTCTTGTTGATTATTTTCATCAGCTTTAAGTTGTGTTTGGTTCATACGAATTCGAGCTGATACGAATATTTTACGCACTCCCTTCGAATTCATATCATCGAGATTCTACTGTATATTGATGCCTATGAGGCATATTTGCAACTTTGGACTTGAACGGAGCACACCTTTGTCTACCACATCAGTTGGGCTTCCACAGAAGTTGAAAGAGGACGAGAGCATGAGGAAATGGCATCTTGACTTTCCACGTGTAAAGTGTAACTCTTCGGGGGCACCAAAATTTGCATATGAATACCATTTGGCCTCTGCATTGCCTCATGCTTGATAAAAAAAACTGAAACACCAGTCAACCAGTGCTTCATTAACCTAGCTAAAGAAAACACTTTCATGTTCCTATGTCATAAGAATATGTTTATGAATCCTCTCCAACTTTTTCCAGAATTTCGCTTCAAAGTATTGGAAAACTATTCTAGCAATATTCAAAAAATATTATTCGATTCACACTTCAGTATTCGAATTTGCTTCTCATCCATAATTTTTGCTGTTCTTGCATATATAAAGTTAAAATATATTTTGTCTGAATCGGTATGTAACACATGTGCTTAAAGAATGACATTAGATGTAGCGAAGATATTATTGTCACAAAAAGCTTTGTTACAGTGATGTTTAATTTAATTTTTGTTCTTGCAACAAACTTCACTTTTCATTTTAAAGATAACATAGATAGTAAGGCCAAGATACAGCGGAAATAATTTCCACTCACGTACCCTAGAGGTGTGGGATGGCCTTGCACCTGATGGTGTGTTTGTGCATGCGGTAACGTGCATGAATTTCTCCTCTCGAACGTTTGCACGGAAGATGTTGCTAAAATGCACGCAATTTCTCATTTTTTTAAAGGCATTTTGTGTGTTGCCACATCTGTAAGCATATGTTATGAGATGTGCTTAAGAAAAGGGGGCACACATCAAGTACTTTATGGTGGGCTGTCTTAAGAGGTGAAGATATGATTGTGGTAGGTAGTTTTGGGGTTGCCTATGAAGTAAATGCAAAGGGACATTGGCATTCTGGGTTTTACAGAGGGTTTTACTCAGTGCTCCACTTGGAACAATTCTGCATGGAACGTGGCATTTCGTACGAAATTCATAGTATTAAAACAAGTGTTCATATTTTACATGCTGTTAGTTCAATCTGTGGAACCTGAAAGTACGTTAATTTTTGTGGTCTAAACGTTTAAGCACCATTGAAGGTACCATTAATAGTGGCTCAAGAAGCCGGCATTAAGCCGGCTTCTTGAGAAGACATTTCGTATGCAAGTTCACATAGGTATGTACTAAAAGAATGCACTAGCAGCAGTTTGACAAACTGTTTAATATTGCCCTTGGATTTTCACAGAGATTATTTTAGAAGGTGTTGGTTAGCGTGCCTCAAAGAACCCAAGTGAGACTTGGTCAGTGGCCATACCTTTCAGTTGAAAAAAACTGCATTGAGTGAAATGAGAACTGTTGAGCTTCTATGCCTAAACCTATGTCAGTGACATTGCTGTCGAATATTTAACGCACTTTGTGCACCTTTCTTTCTTTTTTTTTTTTTCGCAATGTGCTCATGTTTCTTGATAAAAGACTTCTTGATAAAAAGAGAGGTCTTCCTTGTTGTTCCCACCGCTACAGTGCGCAGAAGTTATGGGGTGGTCGTAGCAAGGACGGCATCTGCTGTGGCACTCCACAGACGTCGACGCTTGAAAGCAGCCTGAGCAAGTACCAGTCCAAGTGTCGTCAGCTGCAGGACGCCCTGGATCGGAGCCGCTCCGAGGCCATGAGCCTGCGCCAACAGTGTGAGCAGTCACGCCTTGGCTTTAAAGGAGTCATTAAACCCTTGTGTTTGGGGAAGAAGCCTACTGAGGAAAGAAAACCCCGCTGTTAAAATGCTCAGCCAGATTGTGTAGCCGTGCGTGGTAAGGAGAGTTGAAGGGGCACTAATGACCAAAACGATTTTTTGCGTAATTGAAAGTACAATTTAAAAATCCCCAGGTCACCACTTTTACCACAAGAGACGATGCTTAGTAAGCAAGAATACATCAGAAAAGAAATTGACAAACCATAATCTTGGTCTTATCTGTGAGTGAAATTACCCTTTTCATTTCTAAAGTCATTAATTAGTATGTCTGCTTGATTAGGAATTTTTCTAGCTCGTGAGAATTCTATGAGATGTATCTTTGTAAAGTACACTCAAACCTCGAGATAATGAACCCAGATATAATGAAATATTGGTTATAACAAAGTAACTTAAAAATAGTCTTGCAATATATATAGCAATAGGAGTAAACCTTTATAACAAATTTTTTGGATATATTAAACTTATTTTCGTGAAAGATGCAACTTTATTATAATGAGTTTTGAGTGTGCTTGGGTCTGTTCTACTTTTGGTAACTGTACCTCAAGAAAATGGCTGGCACACTTCACTGAAGCAATGCTGACCATCTCTTGTTGCTGTTTCTTTTCGATGCTTGTTCGTGCAGTGAACCACGCACTAGCGGCAGCCGAGTCTCGCCGCAACCACCCCCAGGGCTCCGAGACGGCTGCAGTTCCGACTTCTCCCAAGAGCCGTGCTCTGCTCACTGCGCTGACTCTCTCTCCCAGCGTCAGTGGAGCTGCACGTACAGGTACATAGCACTCTTTATAGATTTATTGATTGGTTGAGTTCATGCACTTATTCATGCATGGTTAAAAGTGTGAAAATACACAGACAAAAGAAGAAACCAGACATTGTTAGCACTTATGTCGTCAGGTATCTCCCTTGGTCAGTGTATTTTTGCACTGTGTTTTGTCCGTGTCTGTGAACTTGTGTCAGTCATTCCTAGAAGCTTTCATATACGAGAGCTCATGTTTAAATTTTATCATTAGTACATAGATGCTTACCTGGTTATGTCCATGACTGCAGTGTCATGGTGAGGTATCATTAGATAATCTGTGGCTGTAACTCACTAGCCTGCCACGTTCCATATGCATTGCCTTCTCGCATGTCCCAGGGGTGGCCAAGGCCCAGGTGACTCAAGAAGACGTCGGTGGGGAGGGCAGTGCGCTTCCGCCGCCATCTCTGCGCATGCACCACAATATCCCCCACCGGTTCCAGGTGGTGCTCTGCATGCGCCCCACCAAGTGCGCCGCCTGCCTCGATGCCATCCACTTTGGCCGCTACGCGTCTCGGTGCCAAGGTACGTGCAGCGGCTGAGGTGTACCGACTCGTGAAGCCTCGTACTAAAATTGCCGGCGGAAAGCCTGGTGTCGCAGTTGCCCAGCTACTGCAAGACTGAATGGAAGTAGTGCGGAATCTCATTGATATTTCGGCAAATCTAAGTGCTCAAGACCGTGTCGCCTGTTACGGCTTGTCTCAGCAGTACAGTAAACTGCTTGCTAGTAATTAGTTGTTAGGTGAAAAGAGGTAATTGAATTACAGTGGCCGTTATAGAGTACAAAAAGAAATGGACCAGCCGATTCTTTTTAATTGACTAATTTTGAGCAGTTACATGTGCTTCATTATCTACAACTATGTGTTCTGGTCAGATGAAACTGATATCTGAGCTCCTGTTATGCTCATTATTTTTATCAGAATATAAGTCAACATGGCCTACCATAATTATTTGCCTTGTAAAGCAATTTGTGATGACTCTATTCTTTTTCTCAATTTTTCAAGCATGGCAACTGCACTTCTTGGAAATAGTGATTAATTATTCTTGGATTTCAGTTATTTTAATAGAGGCGTTGCAAGAGTGTAAATCATGGTTGCCTCATTCACTTCATGTTGTGTTGGAAAGGGCACAACACAGTAGACTCACGGTAAATGGAACCTGAAGGGACCAGGAAAATGTGTCCACTTTACAGAAGTTCTGCTTACTCAGAGATCAACAAGGGCGGATAATTCAAGTATGAAACCAATCGTGCATTAAGCAGTTGTTCCATTTTTAAGCAGCAGTTTTGTTCAACAGATTTCCGTTTGCTGATAGTCTGCTCTATTTCACATCATGATACTTGCAATGTATCATAGGGTGTTTGGTAGGCTTGTGTAAACAGTGAATTTTAGGTTCAAAGCGAATAGTGATTTTGGTCAAATACCTCCGAATATGATGTATAAAGGAAAATGTGCATATTTATCATGGCCCAACCTGAGAAATATTTTTTTTTAACAAGGCCTCTATGCAAGAGCTTTCTTAATGTTTTTTCATTCAAAAGAAGTCAAAACACTTTGAGAAGTTGCAAAATTTGACTCTCAGTGGGATGCAAGTGATAACTTGTAAAATATATTACATTGTTCATTACAGTTAGAGTGTATAAGCTGGCAAAACAAGCTTTTAAGCTTAAAAAATGATCAATCGACTTGAGGGTATGTTATTTAATTCTTTCTTCTCGTCCCGACGAAAGCGCTTGAAGCGAAGCTGGGAGAGATGGCATGGGGAAAGAAAATATGTCACATGCATGTTGTCACCTTGAGCACTCTTTCTTTCCTTTTTTTCTTTAAATACGCGGTTTTTCAGTGCGATCGCGCATGTACGCGTGGTCATGTCGCAGCCACCCGCAGCGGCCCTAGTAACAACCGAGCGCCCCATGCTCAAATCAATGGCTGTCGTGAGCAATTTTTGACATAGTGGTGTCATTTGCCGAGAGAGGATAGCAATTTTTATTTGACTGAGAATTTATTGTGAATTCCAGGTCGCATGCTGTGCTATAATATTCAGCTCGCGTGTTCTCGGTAGCCTCGACTACAGATCGGTAGCGTTTGCTTACCATGCTGAAAAAAAGTATAGCAGGGCCCCTTTAAACTTGAGGTGGGGCTTCGCGGCAGAGCAAGTTTTTTTATTAATAAATGCTTTCACGGTTTGGCACTGTTGTAATGCAGTGAAATCACCTTTACAGGTAGCTACATGCGGTTTAGTATACATTTATTCGTTCATGATTCAGGCGTTTGATTCAGTAGAAATATCAGCAGTCATGCAGACACTGCGCCATCAGGGCATTGATGAAGCATATATAAACAACCTGGAAGAAATCTACAGGGGATCAACTGCTACCATAGTGATTCAAAAAGAAAGCAACAGAATACCAATTAGGAAGGGTGTAAGGCAGGGGGACGCACTCTCCCCAATGCTGTTTGCCGAGCACTTACAGGAGGTTTTCAGAAGTCTATAATGGGAACAGTTAGGGATAGGAGTTAATGGAGAGTACCTTAGTAACCTGCGCTTTGCCAATGACACTGAATTGCTGAGTAATTCAGGGGTTGAATTGCAGCTCATGATTACGGAGTTAGACAAGGAGAGCAGAAAGGTGGTCTTAAAATTAATCTGCAGAAAATTAAAGTAACTTACAACAACCTCGGAAGAGATCAGCGCTTTGAGATAGGTAATAGTCCACTTCAAGTTGTAAAAGAATATGTCTACTTAGGGCAGGTAATAACCGCGGAGCCGAACCACGAGGCTAAAGTAACTAAAAGAATAAGAATGGGGTGGAGCACATTTGGCAAGCACTCTCAAATTATGACAGGTAGATTACCACTATCCCACAAGAGGAAGGTATATGACAGCTGTATCTTGCCGGTACTTAGCTACGGAGCAGAAACCTGGAGACTTATAAAGAGGGTTCAGCTTAAATTGAGGACGACGCAGCGAGCAATGGAAAGAAAAATGGTAGGTGTAACCTTAAGAGACGAGAAGAGAGCAGAGTGGATTAGGGAACAAACGGGGGTTAAGGATATCACAGTTGAAATCAAGAAGAGGAAATGGACATGGGCCGGGCATGTAGCGCGTAGACAGGATAACCGCTGGTCATTAAGGGTAACTAACTGGATTCCCAGAGAAGGCAAGCGAGTTAGGGGGAGACAGAAGGTTAGGTGGGCAGATGAGATTAAGAAGTTTGTGGGTATAAATTTGCAGCAGCAAGCACAGGACCGAGTTAACTGGCGGAACATGGGAGAGGCCTGCAGTGGACGTAGTCAGGCTGATGATGATGATCATGACTATGATGATTATTCGTTCATGTCGAATAATTTGAAATATTTGATAATTTCAATTCGTATCGAAGCGAATTTGAATACTCTACTATTCGAAGCATTCGAATATTCGCACAAGCCTAGTGTTTGGGCTTGCGTGGTGGAGTCTATTTATTGCTTTAAACATCTTATTGATGAGAAAGAGAAAGAAGACAACCACACGATTGTAGCACAAAGCCACAAGGAAATCCGTATCGATTTTCTTGTGGCTTTGTGCTGCAAACGGGTAGTTGTCTTCTTTCTTTTTCTTAACCCTTTCGTCACCTTGCAGGTTTCCGCAGAAGATATTTGCAATCTTATTGATAACTCCAGCCGTGTTGTAAAATGGAGCAGGATAATCACTTAGATAACAGCAGGAACCATCTTTTTACCAGCCTTACACTCATGTGCTATTGACGCCGTAGTGCCGTTGTCTTGAGAATGTTATGAACACCTGTGTAATGCAGAAAAAATTAATAGCGATTGACCAGATGCTGCTAGAGGGATGATGTTAATCTAGTAGGCGAAGAAAAATGCTCAAATGCGAACTTCTTCAGAGATGTCAGTCGGGAAGAATTCTAGATCGAGAACTGGTACCAACTTCGGTTTTAGAATAGTCCCAACATTTCGAGACCAGTTATTCCCTTCCTTGGCGGCTGACTGCATCTGTCCAGGAAGTGGCATCATTTTTGCTTTCTGGGCAAAGCAGAAGACTTATGTTTTCTCTGAAAGTGATGCGGTAGCATACTCAAATTTTCTAGCACAGTTCTCTTAGTCTACACTATGCTGTTGTCATCATAACTGTAGTGGTGGAGATAAATTTGCTAAAGGCTTACTCTACGAAGCGACCAGGAAAGAATGCGACAATCTCCACTGCTGTTGCGCACAAAGGCACTATGCAGTTGGGTTTGCCCACTCTCCGACACCGTGCAGAGATGGCACTCAGGCAAGGTCGTCAACAAACACGGGTTAATTTACCCAAGATACAAGGCAGTGCGACAATCACGAGCTTGGGAGTCGGCAGGGAACTCTGCAAGGTCGACCGAGTGTACGCTTGCCAGCAGGCGCTCGGGCTGTCACACAAAAGGTGGCAAGTGAGGTTGCGTACGACAAGCCACCTGCTAAAGCAGTGCGTCAACATCTCGTGCAAGTCTGTGTGAATCTGCCCGGCGTTGGGCCAGCGCTGGGCGAAGGCAAGCCACTGTGGGAGGGACTGTCACGGGCGGCCAATGAGGATCGGCGGAGCGCTGTGACGTGTGTTAGCATGACGTAAGGGGAGGCGGGTTGTCCGGGCAAGTTCGGGCACGCGTCTCATGTGGGGAAGACCAACGCACGGCTCGCAGCTCACAAAAGGGCTTGGCAGTGGCGAAACCACGGTGGCCATGTTCCCGCTGCTTGAGCTAACTGGGGGAAGGAGGCGCCAAAGGAGAGGGCACGCTCGATTCTCACATAGTAGTACATAATAGTAGTAGTAGTAGTCATGCTAGTCATGTGATCAGAGGAGTGTGTGAATAAAGTGAGATGACTGGTGATGGTGATCATAGTGCACGTGATATCTCACTAGTCAATCACATACACCCGTGCACTTGAAGCCTCACTCTCTGATGGCTTTTGGAGCGTATTGACCGTATTTATTTGATACTACTGCTTTTCCTTTTTTCCCACTGTAGAGTGTGGTGCGGTGTGCCACCCGAAGTGTTCCACGTCTGTACCTAGCACGTGTGGAGTTCCCGCCGAGTACGTGCGCGAATTCTCGGACACCGTGGCGACCGAGCACTCGTCCTTGAGCACAACTGCTCCGCCGACCCCCGGCCCGCACGTGAAGTTCGCGCCAGACGTGTGTGAGGTGACCTTTGACAGCTCGCAGCCCCGCGGCTGGGTCAAAGTGCTCAGGTGATAAACGTTCCCATCTCCACAGCTATTGATCATCAGCCTCCACTGCATCATCATCACCACTTTCTGCACACCTGCGCTGCCACATTTCCAGCCTTACTCTGATGATATGTGCAACTGCGCATGCTGCTCGCTCGTTTTCACACTCCATGCTCATTTCACTGCTGTATGGCCTCGCTGGTTTTGGTTCTGGACTTTTCCTACGCATCATGTTTGTATGACAGCCTCAGTTTCTGTTCTCACGTATTCTCTGTTCTGAAACTATGCATCGTGTCTGTTTGTTTTTACTGTTTGGGCTTACTCACACCGACAACTTGTAGAGGTTGGGCGACCTGGTTGGTCACAAGTGTAACGACCAATAGAGCTCTCTTGTGACTATGTATTTGTGACTGCCTTGTAGTCGCGTGTCCAATCGTGACTACAAATGTCACAAGGTGGCCATTCTGAGCTATTTGTGAAAAGTCATTTTGCGACTTCGGTGCATAGAACATTTGTAAAACACTTAGGTGGTCACTCAACCTCTGAGGGTTGCTGGGAGAGTGAGTCATCAATATGCCTGATCTCGCTTGGTCTGATCTCACTTGGCTTGGTCTCGTGCTTCTGTGAAAAACCTTTACTGTACTTGCATTATGCTAAAGTGGATGCACGTTCTCTGCAAAGCATTTCATTAGGCATTATTAATCGCTTGTGCAAGATCAGTGCAGTATGTACGATCTAATAGTTGTAAGCTTGTTGGCGAAAAGCATGTGTTTACTACTGCTGTGGTCATTCAGTTGTCAGTCTTATGAGATGCTGGGTACTTACTGATGCATTTACTTTTCTTAATGTGATTTGCAATGCTGATTAGTTTAATTTTATTTGTATTTTGTATATTTTATTGCTAGCTTTATTGCCCTTTAATTCGACGCTTGAGTTTGGAGTACTCAAAGATCTATAACCGAATGTGTGTTATGTAAGCTCTAAGTTGAGTTCAATTCAGATCGTTATTTTTTATAGTACCTTATCATATATTGACTAAGTAAGATAGCCAGTTGTTCAAACTGCAGGCCACAACCACACTTGAGGATTTTTTGTTTTAAAGTATGTGTCAACTGTTAAGCATTGTATTGCAGGAGTGATTGCATAGCTGTACTTTTTGTTATAATTACTGTTATGTATTGGTTACAAGCAATGTTGCTTTGACTTACCTGTGTGATAATAAAGTAGTCCATCTTTTTGTTAGCAAACATCGAATTGATGTAGTTGGCTGCTTGTTTGTTGTAACGTTTCGGTTATATGCTATATTCTCACCGTATAAAGCTACATATGTGTTGCTTTGCCTTGTGAGAACATGTTATGTATAAAATTATAAATGTGGGAAGAACCCTATAAAGATCAGATATAAAGGAACAAGTTGGTGTTAACAGTTGGCGCACTGCAGACAATGTCTTTGAGGCAGAGAAAACTGTTGCTGCTCAGATCTGTGTTTAGTAGACATCGCTTTGGTTTAAAACTGAGTTAGTGTTTGTTTTTGTCTGAGTGCCCACACATGACCCATTGTTTGACTCAGTAATGGGGTTATGCATGAGTGCATACAGACCTGTTGGTAGTTTGACTTGATGTGCTAAATTTTAGTTCACATATGCATGCGTGCATGCATACATGCCATGTGTGCGTGTTAACTTAACAACCACGTGCATTAAACATGTGGGTTTTCACAAGGTTACACAGGCTTAAATCCAACATTTTGCTGAGCGTTCATTAAGTTAGTGATATAACAGTGACATAGTACCATACAAATCTTGTGTTATGCAGGAAGAAAGCAAGTTAGTGTACCTTTGCTTTATTATGTAGTCCTGCAGTTGTACGTTATCTTCTAAGGTTATGGGCCTCATGGTTAGAACATCTTTGGTCTTTTCTTGGATATTGCAAAGTGAACTCGTCAGTTTATTTTTGGTCGTGTAGAATGAAAAAAAAAGTAAGAGCGGCTCGTATGAACTTGCGTAAAGGTTGGCATAGCAAAGCACGGACTTCTCGCCACGCATACTTACCATTCACAGGTATGTCTAGCTTAGACACTCGACTCTCTGGACGCGATTGGGTGAAGCCTAGCTGTGCACTATAAAGTGAAGGTTGTGCAAGATGTCTCAGTTGGCGGGCATAGCTTAGCTACTGTGCGCGGCTTGGCCAGGTGGTGCATTATCTGGTCGCTAGACGACGTCGTGCTTGCTTCCTTTGACTTTTTTTTTCTTCTCTCTTGTATTGATGTTCTCTCTGTCTGTCTTTTTGCCTTTCTTTCCTTCTATTTCTCTCCTTATTCTTTCTAGGCTAGGTTTTGCTCTCTCCCCTTCTTTCCATCCTCCTCACCATGATATTTCTTCTCCTCGCGCTCACTTCTATTCCTACCTCCTGTCTACACTATACTGTACAAGGCTATGCTATCCTCTGCTGGCGTGCCTGAATAGCAGTGATTAGGACGCTTGCTTTTGGATTGAAAGTATACGGCTTCAAGTCACGTATTGTGAACCATTTTTTTTTTCTTTGGCACGAATTTTTCTGTTTTTCTTTACATCTGGTTCTGCATTTATCTCTCTCTTATCAGTCTCTCACCCATCAGGGTTATTACAGGCCACGCTGTTGCGGCGAGTAGTGAAAATCGCCCAATTTCTCTGGCGCATGCCCGTCCATGATGAAGATAGTTTTTGGGCACAGTCACATACTCTATGATGAGATGGAACATCTTTCCTGTTTAAAAAAAAAAATTACCGCTCCGGGCAGCAATTCTTGTCTTTTATATAGACCCATTCTATGTTTGTAAACACAGGTAGGCGGACGTCTGCATTATAGGTAAAATTATAGCGCCCTCCACACGTATTTTCCGCTCACATTTTCTGGCAAGAAAGCCTGACTCCATGACCCGCACCATGCCGTTGTCAGATAACAGGAAGACGCAGTGCCCAAAGACGCTTTGTCTCAGAGCCTCGCGTAACTCATCAATCTATCATCATCCATACGTCTATCCCGGCACGTCCTCACCCCCAGTGTCGTGTGCGAGGGAAGTTTTGTTTCGGGCAGACGGCCATACCCTGGCAAGAGGGCCCAACATGGGGTTGGGTCTCCCTGGCTTGGGTCTCCCTGGTTAGGGTGTGGTAAGTTCGATCACAACATGCAAAGTGGACGTACCCTGACAAGGTGGGCTATCGCAGCGCACAGGGCGTGCTGCGGTCACGGCCCGTCTCCTGACCGCTAGGGCCCAGCGAGACTTAACACCATAAGCGCTGAGATGAGAATTGCGATGTGCACCAACAAACTAAACGATGTTGTAAGACATGGCTCGCCATCACATTCTATGTTTGGCACATTACCGATGAGCCCCCATCGGGGACCAGTTCGCCCGTTTTACGGCTGTAGCCCATTTCTCGCGATGGTCCTCATCAAGTGGAAACTGATAAAAACTTAAGCTGCCTTTCTTATGCCTTTCAGCGCATAGAACCGCGACACAGCTCGTCGGCATACCATTTTTTTTTTCTTGTTGCTTGAAACACCACATGCACCATCGATAACCCAGCAGGAACTGTGGTAGGCAGAGCGTCTTATACCTACCAAGCAAAACCAAACGCTCGACGACAGCGCCACCGCATTTTCGTGACGTACCATGTCTGGTAAAGTTTGTCTATAAGATGTCTCTTATAAGCAAGGTGCCCGATATGCATTTTCATATTGACCCATATTTTAATGTAGGGACACTGGTGTCTCTTATACCCATTTATCTGTTATATCAGTGCCTCTCATAAAGAGGTTTGACTGTATTTGAATGGAAAATCGCCACCGTAGCATGTACACAAAGTCTGGGGATCACGCTTCAATTTTCGGATGCCTACCCTCTGTGCAGCAAAAACATACCCTTGGTGGCAAGGTTATCTGCAGTCACTAATGTAAACGATACTGAGCAAACCCAGGTAAAAAAAATGTGCCTTTAGAACAATGCATGTCAAGACCACTTCACGGCTTGCCAACTTTGTTTCAATTCACTCATCAATGTGGAGAATGGTCGGGCATGCCTTGTAGCAAAAGACACACAACATTAAAAAAAATATACATTTATTGCCGTTTTTTCTGGGAACAGAGCCTCCAATCGAATGTTGCAGCCTGTTGTAGTTCCTGTACAGCTACCTGCGATATCAGAAGAGTTATGCACTAACAGAGCGAAAATTCACATTTGCAGTGTACCTCATGTCTTGTGAACTTCTGCTTCTGAGTGTACATGATCAATTGGTTGGGTTTTATGTCCCAAAACCATGATATGATTATGAGGGGACTCCATAGTGGAGGGCTCTGGACATTTCGTTTCCATGGGTTCCTTCAATGTGCACCAAAATGCAAGCACATAGGCCTCAAGAATTTCCACCTCCATTGAAAATACAGCCGCCATGACTGGGATTTCCAGGTGTACATCAGTGACTTGGCGGGAGGTTGCCGGTTTATCACTGGTACTGAAAGGGTTTATAAATCATGGTACAGTTTAAGAGTATAACGATGTTGACAGCATTGTTAACCTTCACTACAGCCGATAGTAATGGGCTAAATGCTACTTGCTGAACCGTCACATGAATAGACTACTTCATTGTTGGCCAGCTATACTCCCCAGTCTGGGTAAACTGACGTGCGCTAATGCAGACAAACGACGACAGAACAGAAGAGACAGGGGCAAGCGCAAACTTTCAACTAACCATTTCACCCACCAGTTTACCCAGAATTATGAACCAACTCGCCCAGCTACAAGTTTTACTATACTCCCCATGTTGTCCCCATATGGAAAATGGGAAAGTTCAAGCATGTATGCAACACTTCTGTTACAAATTGCTCAAGGTATCTTACGTGCAAAGTGATCAACAGCTGAAGGAACGGAAAGGTTTCGGTCAGGATACCTTTTCAGTTGAACAACTGATACACCTTGAGCCCCACATGTTAAACATAGCAAAGGAGTATCCCGACCCTTTCACAGACCTGAATTGTAACTTAGTGAGTGGCAAAAGCTCTTGATAGTGAAGAGCCTTTAGCCGTGGTCAGTTTGCTAGCATGGAATTCGTTTGCTAAACCATGACGAACAAACGATCAGTTGCCAGCCACGTTACGTACAAAAGAACTAGTGTCATGTGCGTGCAGTGATGGTGGTGGCGGCAGTATGTAATAAAGGAGGGATGCAGAACATACTTTGGACTAAATAAATAGTGTGCTATGGTGCCATAATCGCATTCAGAACGAATTCACAGGGGGACGAAAATAGTAGCTTTTGCATTGCTTTTATGTATAAGAAGTGCAGGATTTATGTATTCGTCAAGAAAATGAAAATGTATCGATGTAACAGACATTTTCTTATTGCTTTCCTGACACTTTTGATAATTCAGCATTCAGTTGATTTGGACATTTCTTCTGGTCCCGTAAACTCCAAATTAACTAGTTTTCAATGTGTTTACACTTTAAATATGTCTTTTCATCTGTGAAGAGCAATGCCGAGAGGTTTTCCAGAATGCTAACTTGAATTTTTGCGAAAAATTAGTCGAAACAGGCATTTTGTTCATTTTGTGTCCTTTTTAGTTGTGTGAAGTACGTTCATAATCTATATTTAGAAGTGTGGCAGCTTGGGCTAGTTGGTATGGCATGACGATAGTTATAACGCGAGAACAAAACGACGACACAGAGACGAGAAGAACATGAAAGACACGAGCGCTCGTGTCTTTCGTGTCCTTCTTGTGTCTGTGTCGTCGTTTTGTTCTCGCGCTACAACAATCATCATGCTATATTTAGAGTTTGCGTCAGATCGCTCTTGTTGCTATGTTAGTGACTTTGGTTGCACATAGTGCCTTTACTTTTAGACATTTTGCTGCATTCACTGAATCGGAAGAGCTTAGGCAACATTAGTGGCACTAGAAAGCATTTAGTAATTCTTGATGGCATTTAGTAATTTAACTTTATATGCAGATGAATAATAGTCTATATAGATTTATATGCAGTCCTCTTAGTATTTATGTTATAGCTAAGGCATTGTTTTTGAGTGTCAGTAAAGCCGAATAATTTACCATATTTAGTCAAATGTAATGCGAGTTTTTTCCTGATTTTTGCTACCTGAAGTCGAACAACGTTGCATTACAATCGTATACTAGTATAACTACTTTTTTTCCTCGGGCGCAATAAAAATTCACCCCTTGCGTTGCAATTGTAGTCGCACTACAATCGAGTAAATCAAGCTACCTTCGCATTTACATGAATAGCGAGCGTCAATGTCTCCCTCCCTTCGCTGTGAACCTGAATGCAGAAGCAGTGGGGGCAAGCAGACCTGGCACAAGAGCTATCTGGTGCTCTACCGTGGCATCCTGTACATGCTGGACCAGGCAGTCGAGCCCACCAAGCCAGCTAGTGACAGCACGAACCCAGCGGCAGACATAGAAGATCGCTACGGAGAGAGGCTTGAGTCCGCGTGTCACGAGCGAGTGCAGATGTCCCCGTCGGACGGTGAGGTTCTGGTGAGCAGTGCCGTGCCTGCCTCCGAGCTGATGGGCACCGCCAGGTCCGACATCCCGTTCACTTTCAAGGTGGAGCTTAAGCCACACACCACGTGCTGGCCACCCAAGTTAGTATGCTCGGCAACATGTGTTGCTGTGTTCCGAGTGCAGCCAGAGGAATCCAGCCGATAATATGGTCAAGGAATGCATAGGGTACAATAATTGTTATCTTTAGGTGTAGTGCAGTGATTAGGATGTAAATTGAGATGGATTAAAGAGGATGAAAAACAACGTTATTTTTCAGTGGGATCTGAACCCATAACCTTTGAATTACCGTATTTACTCGAGTAATGAATACACTCGCATGATAAACGCACCCCTACATTCAGCCGCTGCAGTCCCGCTAACAGACACATGGTGCCTCCTTGCCATTTGGATCATTGTTTTTTTTTTTTTTTTTTTTTATTAGTATCATGCCGACCCCCCTCTTGGCTGCCTTTGGCTGCTTCCGCACGCTGTGTTGTTCTTCTTTCTAGCTGCGCATAGCATGTCCCCTGTCTTTTTTTATTATATGTGTACCACAGCAATGTTCGCGAAGGGTGCGAGTGTAGAGACATCGCAGTGGATAAGCACACAGCGTGCGGAGGTCATGAAACTGCCCGTACCTACTGACAATCGCTTCCGGCAAATATAAAACTTTAAGGCCCAACCACATGCACGCAATTTTTGAGTGACGACAACAGGATTTCCTGTTGCCATGGCAGTCGCGAAGAGCCATTAGTTGTTATTGTGTCACCAAAAAAAAATATAGCTTGTCACCCAGAAAAGATTGTGACTATTTCCATAACATGATAGCACGCCTGATTCGTGCTTCAGTTGCGACTTGCTCTTCGTGCTTGTTATCTACGTGTACTTCGTAACTTCTCATGTGGACAGCAAGGCGGCGGTCGTATTATGTCGTTAATCTTGTTATCGGCGGTTTGTTTTGTTGCTTCGGTGATAGCTTTTTGCGATGTTGGTTACTTGCAAAAATTTCAACAGCGGCGGCGCGGTCGTCGTGAGAGGTTGCCGCAAAGATGGCAAAGTGCATCAAAGTGCACGCTTCTGGGCGCCCCTCAGCAGATGCCACTATTGCGTTTAAGGGATTGCGAGAAAAGATAGCTGCGAAACGCCTTCATGGCATGGGCGGGTGGGGCGGGGACACTTTGCAGAAGATAGCGCCATTAACTACCGAAAATGAGTGAAGTGTAACAAAGAAGCTGTTTCTAAACAGTATACGCGTATGTCAATTGCGAAAGGGTAAACGACCTAACTTTTTTTTTGCATCACCACATTTATTGCTCATCCCGAAAAAGTTTTAATAAATTTGCTCTGCATAATAAACGCGCCCTCAACTTTTCTCCGATTTCTCGAGAAAAAAAGTGCGTTCAGTACGGGAGTAAATACAGTATGCGTCCAATACGGTCTACCAATTCAGATAGGATCGAAGGTTCAGATCGCACCAACAAAAATAATTCTCGTCAATGTATGTCCTAATTGCCACACTACATTTAAAGGACAATGATGTCTTCTACACTTTTCTTTACCTAATTGTCTACTGGATTCCTTTGTTTTATGTAACAGAAAATGAGCATATAAAAAAGTGCCCTTCTATCATGTGCTCTAAGGGTGACATGTTGTGGAGAGTACTTAGTACTCTCTACATGTCACCCTTAGAGCTAAGTACTTAAGGGTACTTAGCTCAGGAGAATTATGACACAGTTTTAGCATGTGCGGGTTCCCATAATAGAGCTGTTCACAGTCTGGTGGCTGTGAGCCAAGTACAGTGAAAGCTCGTTAATTCACACCTCATTAATTCGAAATTTTGGATAATTCAAAATGGTCGCCGCAGTCCGGTCCGCAGTGCATAGGAGACCATGTGTAAAACGATTCGTTAATTCGAACAGAAATTGCTGCCTCTACGGATAATTCGAAGCGCGTGACGCCGAGCGTCATCATCGTCAAACACTAGTGGAAGCTTTTATGGTCGAACAATAGGTGGCACGACCAGTTTTTTCGAGCTTCAAGTGGCCTCCGAGCAAAGGGCAAGCAAAGTATGGCCTCCAAAATCCAGGGAGCAACTTTTTTTTCCCGTAGCCCTCCCGCTATCTCAGCGCCTGGCGCCACTTGTACGCGGGACCCACGGGACACTGAGGAGTCGGCGGAGTAGTCCTAGCAGTCCTAGGCCGCTCCCGGCAGCGTCACTTTGTTCCTCGAGCACGTTGTTCGTTCACGCCGTCAAGCCGTCTTATTCCGCATCGAAGTTGCAAGATGCTGCCGGGAAACTACTGCGCAAAGACTGTCAAGGAGAAGGTGGAGATTTTGCGAAAGGTTCACCAAGGGAACTCGAGCAAATACGAAATTGCGAGGAAGCACGGCGTACCTCCGAGCACACTGTCAACCTACATGCGCAACATGACGGCCATTGAAAACGCCTATGAAGCCGAGGATTTTGGCGCCAGTCGAAAAAGGCTAAGGACAGCGAAGTTCCCGCAACTGGAGTCAGCTTTGATTATCTGGGTTAAAGAAATGAGAGCCCAGAGTATCGCATTGAGCGGCCCTATCATCGTGGTCAAGGCAGCCGATTTCGCCCTGCGCTTGGACATTGAAGACTTTGTCGCCTCCGAGGGATGGTTTCATCGTTTCAGGGAGCGGCACAATCTCGTATTCCGCACGTTATCCGGCGAGGCAAAGGAAGTGGGCGCCGAAACATGCGCTACTTGGAGAAGCGACACTCTGCAGCATTACTTGGAGAGCTACTCACCACAGGATGTGTTTAACGCTGACGAGACAGCGTTATTTTTCAAGTTGCAGCCAGACAAGACGATCACCTACAAGCGAGACAGCTGTGCCGGCCGCCGCAAATATGACCGGTACGGAAAAGGTCCCCCTTTTTGTGATTGGCAAAGCGCTCAAGCCACGGTGCTTCAAAAACATTCGCTCACTGCCGACGGAGCACGCTGCAAACAAGAAAGCCTGGATGACAGGTGACCTATTCAGGAAGTGGCTACTGAAATTCGACAGGCGAATGGAACTGGGCGGCAGACGCGTTCTTCTTGTCGTCGACAACTGTTCGGCGCACAAAGTCGACGTTGAGCTGAGAGCAACTAAGTTGGTGTTCCTTCCGGCAAATACGACTGCGGCCCTACAGCCAATGAACCAGGGTGTGATAAGGAACATTAAGTGCTTTTATAGGCGCCACGTGCTGGAGAGAATGATTTTGTACGCGGGCGACAGGAAGGACTTCGGCATTACGCTGCTCACTGCCATGCACGTGTTGGTGCGCGCATGGGAACAGGTGACTGCGACCACAATCGCAAACTGTTTCCGCCACAGTGGATTTGCTGCTGGAAGTGCGCAGGATAGTTGTGACGTCGACATGGATGGGGCTGAGGAGCTCATGCCAGTGGCATTGCGCGACACTCTTCGGGACATACGTTTTGCCGATTATGTTGAAGTTGACACCGGTGCAATCGGTGTGTGGTGCCCTGACTGATGAGGACATTATCGCTCAAGTAGCCGGTGCGCAGCCTGATGCTGAAGAGCCAGAAGGTGAGGAGACGAAAATGACGAAGCGCCTGTGCGCCGGTCAGCTTCTGCGGTGATGGAGGCACTTAATGTGTCGCGTCTCTTCAGCTTTGAAGAGGGTGAAGAGGATTCCCTGCGCCGCGTCCGCGCGCTGGAACAGACAACCGCAGCTGTGGCATTCAGAAAAAAGAAGCAGATGGTCATCCCCGACTTTTTTGGCCAATAAATATCTTTCGTGCCCCCACCCCCGAAATACACCCATTTTTGCTCACTTTCATTATTTCGAATTTTGTTTAATTCGAAGTTGCTCAGCGTTCCCATGGAATTCGAATTAACGAGATTTTACTGTAGCACCTTCCGTGTGGCACATAACATCTTCCATGTGAAAACAAGTATCCATTGGCAACTGTAGTATGCATAAAATTCCGAAATTCAATAGTACAGGTAAGTGAGTTTTCTATCTTACCAATATTGCCACGTTCCATTTCCCAAGTTTTTGTTATCGTCCGAAAACACCGCACGATTCTCAGCGCAAACCGCGCCTGCAGTTTTCTAGAAGGTTCCGGACTGTAGTAGATCATTTCGATAAGATCACGCCCACTGTGCGAACGGTACAGATTGTTCTGGAAGCTACGCCACCGCCAGCGATAACGCTAGAACATTCGACGGCAAGAGTATAAATGCCGACGCGCTTCGCCGCTTGTCAGTTGTTGATCGAAGGCCGCCGCTCCGTTCGCCGCTATCAGTCCGAGACTGCTATCTGTGCGAGACTGCTGCTGTAATTGGACTTTCAGTTTACCGGGCACAAGTTCGCCCAAATAAACAGTTAAATCCTAACACGAAGTCTCCTGTCTTCGGCGACGTCACGACCCCGTGACATCTGGTGGAGGTGCTGCTTCGTTCATGTACCGGACGCCCCCGTCAAGCCGTGAACCCAGCCCACGTCGCGGAGAAGACACCGACACCAACCAGGAGCAGCGAACAAGCCGCCGACAGCAAGGGCTACCACCGGAGTACGGGCTTCTACCAGACAAGGCGCGGAAGACGAAGGCCATGACCGCGACTGCAGCGACAATGACAACCGTAGCGTCCCAGCCCAGGATGGTCATGCATCAACCCAGGGAACCACCAATTTTCCATGGGTCATCGTTCGAAGACCCAGAGTCCTGGCTGGAGACATACGACCGTGTGGCCGCCCTCAACCACTGGGACCATGACGAAAAGCTGCGTCGTGTGTTCTTCTATTTGGAAGACACCGCAAGGACTTGGCTTGAAAATCGAGAGTCCACGCTCCGAACGTGGGATGTTTTCTGCGGCGCATTCCTTCAAACGTTCGCGAGCGTCGCTCGCAAAGAGAGGGCCGCTGCTTTATTAGAGACTCGGGTTCAGCTACCAAATGAAAATGTCGTCATTTTCACAGAAGAAATGACCCGACTATTCCGTCACGCTGATCCAGACATGCCTGAGGAGAAAAAAGTTCGTTTCCTCATGCGAGGGGTCAAACAGGAGCTCTTCGCGGGACTGATGAGAAACCCACCGATAACCGTCCAAGAATTTGTAGCAGAAGCGACCACTATCGAAAAGACCCTGGACATGCGCACCAGACAGTATAATCGTCGCCTGACTGCAGACTGCGCTGCTGCTCAAGCCAGTAACTCCGGAGACCTGCGTGAAACGATCCGAGCGATCGTGCGGGACGAGCTGCGCAAGCTGTTGCCTTCGGCCCAGCCTCAAGTGGACTCAATTGCCGACATTGTGCGAGAAGAAGTTCGGCAATCGCTTCAAATTCCCCACGCACCGCTGCCCGAGCCGGAAGCTATGAGCTACGCCGCTGCACTGCGCCACAACGCTCCTCCCCGTCTACGCCAAAACGCCGCCCCATCGCACTTCTGTCGACAGACGCCACCGCCGCCACCCCCACCGACGTCATACCGTTCACCAGCGGCCCAGCGCAGTGCACCGAGGAAGACTGACGTCTGGCGCACCCCTGACCATCGCCCGCTCTGCTACCACTGCGGCGAGGCCGGACACACGTACCGCCGTTGCCAGTACCGACAGATGGGACTGCGTGGCTTCGCCGTCAATGCACCGCGTCCACAGCCAGGAGAACGACCACGTGACATCGCCGACTACCTGACAGGAACTCGGTGGACACCACGAAGCCCTTCGCGTTCGCCGTCGCCCAGCCGCCGCATGTCACCGCACCACCGGCAGTACTCTGGCCCAACGCGGGGCCGGTCTCCTAGCCCGTATCCGGGAAACTAAGGGCAGCAACCGGTGGAGGTGCGGTTGCTGTGCGACGAACTACCGAAGATCCTCCGACGACGACGACGCCGCGACGGAGCTTTCCGAACACAACGCCAGCCAGGCAAAGCCCTGACGGCGAAAGCTCATTTACCGAAGGTGGCCTGACGACGCAGCATGGAAGCAGCGGAACAAGCCGACGCAGCCGTGACCCGACGCCACGCCCTAACTGTAATGCGAGACGGCGAACTAGCGACCTCGACGTTCTTATCGACGGCCACAGTGTGACTGCTCTCGTCGATACTGGAGCCGACTATTCTGTCATCAGTGGGTCGTTCGCCGCGAAGTTAAAGAAAGTTAGGACAGCTTGGAAAGGCCCTGAAATCCGCTCAGCCGGAGGTCATCTCGTAACGCCTGCAGGAATCTGCACAGCGAGAGTCACCATTAACGGCCGTATTTATCCTACAGACTTCGTAGTCCTACAGCGTTGCTCGAGAGATGTCATCCTTGGCATGGACTTCTTATGCCTCCATGGTGCTGTCATCAACCTAAAAACAAAGTCGATAACGTTATCCACAGAAGAAGCACTACCGCCGCGCACGCCGTCAGGACACCATGCCTTGAATGTGCTGGAAGAACAAGTCACCATTCCGCCTCGCTCAAGCGTCATTATTTCAGTCGGCGCTCCTAGATCACCTGACTTGGAAGGCGTCGTTGAAGGCAGTCAGCATCTGTTGGTCACCCGAAATATTTGCGTCGCAAGAGGAATTGCAGAGCTTCGGGGAGGCAAAGCAACGGTTTTGCTCACGAATTTCAGCAATGAGTACAAACATGTGAACAAAGGAACAACGGTCGCATACATCGAAGAAATTGAGAAATTGTCGAAGCCACCAGTGCTTTCGCCCTCGCCGATTCTGCGGAACCTGCTCAGAGGAACCAAGCCCCTCCCATAGCTTTCGACGTCAATCCCAGACTTCCGAACGATAAGCAAGAACAGCTCAAGGCCCTGCTCCTGCAATACGAAGATTGCTTTTCGTCGTCATCGAAAATTCGGCAGACCCCAATCACGAAACATCGCATCATAACCGAAGAAAATGCCAGACCACTCCGTCAGAATCCGTACAGGGTTTCGACGCAAGAACGTGAGGCCATGAAGAGACAAGTTGATGAAATGCTGCGGGATGACATTATCCAGCCGTCCAAGAGTCCATGGGCATCCCCCGTGGTGTTAGTGAAGAAAAAGGATGGGACCCTGCGTTTCTGCGTCGATTATCGCCGCCTGAACAAAATCACAAGAAAGGACGTGTATCCCCTCCCACGAATAGACGACACACTTGATCGGCTCCATAACGCCAAGTACTTTTCGTCAATGGACCTTAAGACTGGCTATTGGCAAATCGAAGTCGACGAAAGAGACCGAGAGAAGACGGCGTTCATAACACCGGACGGCCTCTTCGAGTTTAAGGTGATGCCCTTCGGCCTTTGCTCAGCGCCTGCAACGTTTCAACGCGTTATGGATACAGTACTGGCAGGATTGAAGTGGCAGACTTGCCTTGTGTACTTGGACGACGTCGTCGTGTTTTCCTCGAGTTTCGACGAGCATCTTCGGCGCCTTGAAGCTGTACTTCAAGCCATCAAGACTTCCGGACTCACACTGAAGCCAGAAAAGTGCAGATTTGCGTATGCGGAGCTCTTGTTTCTGGGGCACGTTATCAGCAAGTCTGGAGTTCGTCCCGATCCACGGAAAACAGCCGCCATCGCCGACTTCCCGCCGCCCACTGACAAGAAAGCCGTGCGCCGATTTCTGGGCCTGTGTGCCTATTATAGGCGGTTCGTGAAAAACTTCACCCGCATCGCCGATCCTCTCACTAACCTTACCAAGGCCGACGTGGAGTTTAAGTGGGAAACGCCGCAGGAACACGCTTTCCAGGAGCTTAAACATCGCCTCCAGACGCCTCCGTTACTTGCCCATTTCGACGAATTCGCCGAGACAGAAATACATACTGACGCAAGCAGCGTAGGTCTTGGCGCCGTTCTTGTGCAGAGGGCTGACAGACTTGAAAGGGTTATTAGTTACGCCAGCCGATCGCTATCCAAAGCAGAAGCAAATTATTCCACAACAGAAAAGGAGTGCCTCGCCATCATCTGGGCTACGTCGAAATTTCGCCCCTACCTCTACGGCAGGCCCTTCAAAGTTGTGAGCGACCACCACGCATTGTGTTGGCTAGCCACCTTGAAGGACCCCTCAGGTCGCCTCGCACGATGGAGCCTGAGACTTCAAGAATATGACATTACTGTCATTTACAAGTCCGGCAAAAAACACTCCGACGCCGACTGTCTCTCTCGTGCGCCTGTCGACCAACCGCTACCCGACGACCCGGATGACGACTACTTCTTAGGAACGATAACTACCGACGACTTCGCTGAACGACAGAGGGCCGACCCGGAACTCAGGGCCCTAATAGAATACCTCGAAGGCAGGACCGCCGAAGTCCCGAAGATATTCAAGCGCGCACTTGCGTCGTTCTTTCTACGAAACGGTCTTCTACAAAAGAAAAACTTTTCACCGCTTCGAGCTAAGTACCTTCTTGTGGTGCCTTCAGCTCTGCGACCAGAACTCCTGCAGGCCCTTCACGACGATCCGACGGCAGGGCACCTCGGTGTTTCTCGCACGCTCGCGAGGATACAAGAAAGGTACTACTGGCCACGTCTTACCACCGACGTCACTCGTTATGTGAGAACATGCCGGGACTGTCAACGACGCAAGACACCGCCGACAAGGCCAGCGGGACTTCTGCAGCCAATTGATCCACCTTGCCGACCTTTCCAGCAGATTGGTATGGACCTACTGGGGCCGTTCCCGACGTCGGCTTTCGGAAACAAGTGGATCGTGGTAGCTACCGACTACCTCACCCGCTACGCCGAGACAAAAGCCCTGCCAAAAGGCAGTGCATCTGAAGTAGCCAAATTCTTCGTCGAAAATATCGTCCTACGTCATGGCGCCCCAGAGGTCCTTATCACCGACAGAGGAACGGCATTCACTGCCGACTTAACTCAAGCAATCTTGGCATACAGCCAAACAAACCACCGCCGGACGACAGCGTACCACCCACAGACCAACGGCCTCACCGAGCGGCTTAACAAGACGATCGCCGACATGCTGTCAATGTACGTCGATGTCGAACACAAGACGTGGGACGCCATTCTTCCGTATGTGACCTTCGCATACAACACGGCGGTGCAGGAGACGACGCAGATATCGCCATACAAATTGGTCTACGGAAGGAGCCCGGCAACGACGCTCGATGCCATGTTACCCAACGTCACCGACGAAGAAAACCTCGATGTGAGCGAGTACCTTCAACGCGCCGAAGAAGCCCGACAACTTGCGCGTCTCCGTATCAAGAATCAACAGACGACCGACAGCCACCGTTACAACCTTCGACGACGCTTCGTGGAATACTAGCCCGGTGAACGTGTTTGGGTGTGGACGCCGATACGCCGACGTGGACTAAGTGAAAAGCTTCTGCGACGGTACTTCGGACCGTACAAGGTGGTTCGATGGCTCGGCCCACTTGATTACGAGGTTGTCCCCGACGGCATCACGAACTCTCAACGACGCCGATCGCGACCTGAAGTCGTCCATGTCGCGCGCCTCAAGCCGTTTTATGCGCGTTAACAAACTGAACTAGTGTTTTTTTTTGTATTATTGTTGTATCGTAATTTATTCATTGTACTTTCTTGCATTATTATTGTACTTTCATCTTTAGTTAAAGCATCGGGACGATGCCTTTTTTCAGAGGGGGGCAATGCCACGTTCCATTTCCGAAGTTTTTGTTATCGTCCGAAAACACCGCACGATTCTCAGCGCAAACCGCGCCTGCAGTTTTCTAGAAGGTTCCGGACTGTAGTAGATCATTTCGATAAGATCACGCCCACTGTGCGAACGGTACAGATTGTTCTGGAAGCTACGCCACCGCCAGCGATAACGCTAGAACATTCGACGGCAAGAGTATAAATGCCGACGCGCTTCGCCGCTTGTCAGTTGTTGATCGAAGGCCGCCGCTCCGTTCGCCGCTATCAGTCCGAGACTGCTATCTGTGCGAGACTGCTGCTGTAATTGGACTTTCACTTTACCGGGCACAGGTTCGCCCAAATAAACAGTTAAATCCTAACACGAAGTCTCCTGTCTTCGGCGGCGTCACGACCCCGTGACAATATGTTACAACGAGGTTTAGCTATACTACTGTTCATAACTTTTCTTTGTTTTTTTGTTTTTCTGTAGGTGCCTATACATCATGGTGCCAACATTTGCTGAAAAGCAAATGTGGGTGTCTGTCCTAGAGATGTGTGCTGGACACAATGTTGACCCTTCGGTAAGTTCGAGCGAATAAGCCACTTTCTGTAAAAGCATCAGGAAAATATAGCCGTAGTGACACTGTAGAAATAAATTGCTATACTTCATTATGCTGATGAGCACATAGTTGCATCTAAGATTCTTAGCCACTGCACGCTGTATCGTAACCTGGATACAACTTGACAATACTAGTGCAGTGTAGATTTAGCTGTGTTCTGTAGTGCTTCAGACAGATGAAATCATGTGGAGCCACTCCTGGCAGTGGTGTGAACTGTCTCTACTGGAAAGCATGGCACTGTTAAAGTGTTGTCTTCTTTTTGTCACATTCCAGAAATGCGATGTTGGCGACACAGTCCTCAGGCTCGCAGGTCAGCACGTACTAGATGTGAACTGCGTCCACGAACTGTCCTATGAGGTGAGCAGATGAAAAACGGGACACACATTTGGTGCCACAGGCAATTTTTTGTTGATTTTTTTTTTCACTTGCCCATATTTTCAATGCTGGCCTCGGCACTCTTTCATGTTGAACCACTGAAATTAAAAAAATCTTGACATTAGAGCATTGTACAGGGCGTACCGTATTTACTCGCGTAATCAACCCACTTTTTTTTTTTTTTTTCAGAAAAGTTCACGCCAATTTGGGGTGAGGGTTCATTACTTGGGGAATAAAAAGTCATGGAAGTTACAACAGTGAAAATTTCGCGTGACTGCTTTGCTTTTTTGGGCCCGTGACACGTGCGAGAAATCTTTTTTGTAGCCTGAAGCTCTTTTTGTTTGCTCTCGTAACGAAAGCGCACAGATCAACGCCGAAGTGTCGTCCAGCCGCTCGTTTCAAATGCTTGAACGCTTGGTGTTTGTAACCAGCAGTGTAGCTAGCGTACCGGCCCAATGCGCCCTGCGCAGCAGGTGTCCCAACCAAGTTCACGACGGCAAACCCGACAACAAAACAGTGTCAGTTTTGCCGCAAGAGTGAAGCAATGTATACGTTAGCAACAAGTTAGAATGTAACGCTGAGAACGGCTAGAAGATCGAAACGTGCAGCACGCTGTTCACGCACACGACGCACGAAACACACACACGACGAGAGCGAACTAACGTTTACCGCTCGACACGTAGTGCACTGTTTAAACAATAACGACGCACTAAGCGTAATCACAGGTATAGGTATGAGTGCGAAATAACAAGTAACAAGGGCCCTAGTTGTTACTTCGCTGTGTTTGAAAAGCGCACTCTTTTCGCAAACGGCGCCTGTCTAGCGAACGGAGGGATCTTTGTGCGCTCGGTAACTAAACGCAATCGTTCCAGTCAAAGTGGAAGGCCCAGGATTTTCCCCACCAAAAGATAAGCATGCGCGCACAAGCATCTATAGCCCTCCCACCCCCCTTCATTCGCGGGACATAGTACGCATGGGGGATAAGCGCGCGTCGACGCATCGTGACTGAGCTGGGCGTCATGCGAGGTCGGCTTTTTTTTCTTGAGTTTTCATATATACAGTTATACCTGCTTATAAAGAACCTCCATATAACGAATTCCTCAATATAACGAAGTCTTTCTATTCCCCGCTGTCGCTATATCGGAGCACATGTATTTGCGACCTCTATGTAACAAAGTAACTGCGGGAGACAACCTTGATATTGTAACGAACAAATACAGCGCCGGAAGCTACAACAGCTATTTATTTATGGCAAACTTGTGCCCGTCAACTAAATATACTAAGGTTGTCCTGAGCTTGCTAGTGAAAACCTTGTCAGCTTCTTCTTTTTGCGTCTTGCCGCGTGCCGCTCCTTCAAAAAACTGCCAGCCTTCTTTTTCCAGCGCGTGGTGTGGTGACACGTGCAGCCAGCGTTGCATGGCGCGTTTGGCTTGTCAGTTGTTATGGCAGAATTCATAAGAGCAGAAAGCAGCGCAAGGCTTCGGTAGGTGCCTAACAACATGCGGCATTAGTCCCCCTCCCGAAACGCATCGTCCCGATGCATACGCTGAGGCCGAACAGTTTTGTAAAGGAGTATTTATCTGATGCTTGAGCACATTTATTAGTTGTCTCGTTCAGTGCCTTTCGTTGTACGGTTTCATTCGTACTACATGTACGACTTCTGGGTGATTCCTGCGTCGGGTTGAGCACACTTGCCCATCAGGAATTATTTCGTAGTTTAGCGTGCCTAACGGTCGAAGTACTTTGTAAGGGCCGAAATAGCGTCGAATCAGTTTTTCAGATAGGCCAGGTGCGCCTACAGGCTTCCACACCCACACTTTGTCTCTGGGGTTGCACGTCACTCCGCTTCAGATTATAGCGACTTGCGTCGGAGCCTTGTTGCAAAAGTATACGATGTCTTGCCAATTGCCGTGCCTCTTCTGCCCTTTCTATGCAGTCGCTGATGTGCGGGTCACTCTAATTCAAATCGTTGACAGGTAACATCACGTCTAAGATCGTTGTGACCGTTTGACCGTAAACAAGTTGAAATGGCGTGAAGTGTGTCGTTTCTTGTGCAGCGGTATTGTACACAAATGTAGCATAAGGCAAAATAGTGTCCCATGTCTGGCGCTCAACATCCACATACATCGAGATCATGTCGGCGAAAGTTCTGTTGAGTCTTTCGGTTAATCCGTTTGTTTGTGGATGGTATGCTGTAGTCCTTCTATGGTCGGTGTGGGTGAGCTTCATAACAGACTGCGTCAAATGGGCAGTAAATGCTGTTCCTTTGTCTGTAATGACAACCTGCGGTGTGCCATGTCGTAGTACAATCTGAGTGACGAAAAACTAAGCTACTTCGTTCGCCGTTTCTTTTGCGAGAGGTGATTTCTCAGCATATCGAGTCATGTAGTTTGTTGCTACAACAATCCAGTGCTTTCTTGATGAAGAGAGGAAATGGACCAAGCAAATCCATTCCCACTTGGTGAAATGGCCCTTGTGGTGGCTCTATTGGTCGCGACAGACCCGCTGGTTTCGATGGTGGTATTTTGCGTCTATGGCAATCCCGGCATGACTTAACATAATGGTGCACCGCATCCCTTAATTTCGGCCAATAATACTTCCGGCGAATTCTGGCCAAAGTGCGGCTACTACCCATATGGCCAGCCGATGGGTCGTCATGACACGCTTCTAAGATTTCTGCTTGCAGTGATGATGGTACAAGAAGCAGAAACGTCTCACCGGTGTTTACGAAGTTGCACTTGTATAGGACGTCGTTCCGGAGGACATAGGCTGTCAATCCACGGACGAAAACTCATGGTACCTTAATTTAGTGACCCTCCAAGTATTGGATAAGCGGGCGCAGTTCCGGATTCATTCACTGAAGACAAGCCATCTCCGACACATTCAGAGCTCCTAGAAATGAGATGTCTTGTTCTTGGTCAGATGATGGAGACTCAACAGGTGCGCGAAACAGGTAATCCACATCGTTGTGCTTGAGACCGGACTTGTAGACCACAGTGATGTCATGTTCCTGCAGACACAGGCTCCATCTAACAAGTTTTCCTGAAGGGTCCTTGATATTTGCCAGCCAACACAATGAATGACGATCACTGATTGCTCGAAACGGTCTCCCGTAGAGGTATGAGCGAAACTTGCTGATAGCCCATATAACTGCGAGACACTCTTTCTCTGTCGCTGAGTAATTGGACTCAGCATTCGATAGAGCACGGCTCGCGTAAGCAATGACCTTTTCTTCTACATTCTGCCACTGAATGAGGATGGCACCGAGACCAACATTACTCGCGCCGGTATGTATGGCTGTATCGGCTTCTTCATCAAAATGGGCAAGTATTGGAGGAGACTGCAAACGGCGTCGCAACTTTGAGAAAGCTGCTTCTTGTTCTTCCCACCAAGAGAATGGTACACTTTCTTTCGTTAGCCGTGTCAAAGGCTCGGGGACCTTAGCAAAGTTTTCAACAAAGCATCTGTAGTAGGCACATAGTCCCAGGAATCGTCTGATGGCCTTTTTTGTCTTGCGGTTTTGGAAAATTTTCAGCTGCTGTAATCTTTTCCAGGTCCGGGCGGACGCCTTCCGCACTAACTGTGTGCTCGAGGAACCGAAGCTGACGAAATCCAAAGTGACACTTTTCTGATTTGATGGTCAATGCTGCCACGCGAATGGCATTCAGTACCGTTCTCAGTCGGTGGATGTGCTGCTGGAAGGTAGAAGAAAAAACCACTACATCATCGAGGTAGACGAGACACGATTGCCACTGGAATACAGTGTCCATCATTCTCTGGAAGGTAGCGGGAGCAGAGCACAAACCGAAAGGGAGCACTTTGAACTCGTATAGTCCGTCTGGCGCCACAAACGCCGTCTTCTCGTGATCTCGTTCGTCCACCTCGATCTGCCAATATACACTTTTTAAGTCCAATGATGAAAAGAAGTGAGCATTGCGTAACTTATCCAAGGCATCATCGATCTGCGGAAGTGAGTAAACATCACGCTTTGTAACTTGGTTCAGCTTTCTGTAGTAAACGCGAAATCGCAGAGTGTTGTCCTTTGTTTTGACTAGCACTACCGGTGATGCCCACGGACTATTGGATAACTGGGTTACGTCATCGTTGAGCATTTCCTGAACTTGATTCTTAATGGCTTCACTTTCTTTTGGCACTACTTGGTATGGGCGCTGATGCACAGGTCTCGCGTGTTTTTCGACCACGATGCGGTGCTTTGCGACGGGAGTACGTCCAACTTTCGACGAAGTTGAGAAGAACTCGGCGAACTCTCTGATGAGGTCAGCAATCTGTTGTTTATGAGATTATGAGAGCTCTCTGTCAATGTCTACTGATAGGAATATGTTATCTACTGTCTCTGAAGCTTTATCAAGAGTGCAAACATCTGAGACTTGCACATACTCATGCAGCTATGCTACGAATGTTGCCTTCGCGACATGCTGCAGCTAATTTCCAAAGTTAGTTAATAGGACATATGCACATCCATCACGAAGGCTCACCAGGCCTCTTGCCTCGCATAGTCCTTTTTCTAGTAGCAGTCCTATGTTTCCGTCCGCTAATCCATCACAGTCATGGAGAACTTCACTCCTCACAAGAACGGTCACACTGGAACGTGGCGGCACGATTACATCTTCGTCCACAATGCGGAGAAGTAGAACGATTGGTTTCTCCGCATGATGGAGGGCGACGGCATTTTCAGTAGAAAATGAAACCTGGAACTCTTGGAAGTCGATGACTGCATTGTTTGTTTGCAAGTCCATGCCTATAATCAGTTCATGGGAGCATTAAGGAAGCACAATAAAGCTGCCGACATAACAAATCCTCTTATTCCTATCCTTGCGGTGCATAACCACACAAGACTAACTAAGTGCTTTCCAGTGGTACGTATGTGAGATCGGGTCCATTCAGTCATCACTTTCTTCAGCTTCTTTGCGAGAGCACTACTGACAACGGAATAGGCTGCACCGGTGTCTATTAGCGCGATG